AAGGCAAAGGCGTTAAAGGCACAACACTGGCGCTAATGCTGGCGCATTGAGGGATTATTTTGACTAATATAGAGTTGGCTCAGCCGTGGGTTAGGTCTTATGAATAACCATTTAATCTCGTAACCATAACCTGTCGGAGTTGCCACGTCATCCGGGTTTGGTTACAAAACTTGTTGACCCGGGTGTACATACACTAGATGGGCATGAGACTGACGATCGAAGTCGACTTAATTAGTCCGACGGTGAAGCAATCTAGTTAATTAGCATCGATCCAACCACGGTATATTACGTGCGACGACAATATGTTAAACCTCTGTAATTTCGGCTTTCCTTTCTGCTCATTCACGACTTCGATTTTCCGCTCATTCACGACCTCAGATTCTTGCGGGCGGCAGGTTGCTCGATAGGCGTTGAAGCGGTCCACAATATCGATCGTACTCGAAGGTTTTGATGTAACGTCAGTTCAAATCGAGTATTCGATAATCACAATCCGTGCCATGAACCAAACCCATATAAGTCCAAAATCAATCATGCAAGCAAGCATAAGATTCAGTGGTTCTCCATTCACCATTGTGGTTTCACAGACGCTGCGCCTTCCAGCGCTACCAGCGGACTCGACTTTGAAGTCCGCCCATTCTCCGGGCACAAAGTGGAAGGTCAGCTTCTCTGAGCTGCTCCAGTGCACGAGGGGCTCGAGTCTGCCTGCGGCTTTGACAATCTTGCTGCGTCTGCTGATTCGAGAATGTTCACTAGATTCACGGCAATCCTCAAGGACACGTCCGCAGAACAGTCTGCAGGCGTGTGCTTGTCGAGTATCTGTCTTAGCGATGCTTTGAGAAGGCGCTATGGCGTGGCGGCAGCACCTTCGCCAGACCATCTGCGCTATCCAGCATCTTGCGTCAGCAACTATGCAACTGACAATCCTGCAGAAACAGACGGCAAGTGTCATGCAAAGTGGAATGAGTAGTTGCGACAAAAGCTTGCAACATAAGCGTCTGCAGCTGGCGCTAAGATTCAACGTCGTCGTTGCAGAGAGTCGGTCCACAGGGAATAGGCGACACGAGTCCGACGGAAAGAGAGAAAATCTTACTGAACGACGGCCTAGTGGCAGCACAGATCTGCCCTGACCCGAGCACATAACTGGATTAACGTCAGAAGCCGCTATGGCCTTGGGTAGTGGGATCATCCGTAAACCACGAGGGCGACACTCATCAGGCTGAACTAAGTGACGTCAGTAACGGGACCAAGGCATCGCTGATTCAATGTTGTTCGCAAAGGAGAAAAAAAGTCTGCATGGTGATATGGAGATAATTCGTCCCAAATTCTCGCTTACACTGTCAGTTTGGGGAACAAACTACTTAGCATGATAATTCAATTGGTCATGATCATCCCCGGTCGACAGCCAGAGGAATGTCAGGATGTGGGTTGTCGGCCCACCTTTTTGCATTTCTTCCGTGTGGGCTTTTTGTTGCTCCTGCAAATACACCCAAACATCTGAATCATTTTTGTCACCGCATCTCGCCTTCTCCTTCACTTGAGAATCAATCCAGGATGTCGATTTGATAGTATATCATCGAGCTAGAGGAATCAATCCGGACGGCGCAGATCTTAAGCATGGGCAAAGGGCGCCTGAAACGCATTCATGCGAATTGCGCCAAATCCTGTGATTCTTTTGGGACCGTAGCTCTGGACGGCTTCAATCATGAACAAGACATGTCGTCCGCCAATCGTTTGAGAGTTTGAGAAGGGGTTTGCGGTCAGAACTGGTGACCGCATGAGGATACAGTCCTTGCTTTGACCACGATTGAACGGTGCTGCACTTCTGTTTTTCTGAGATGGGAAAGCAACCTCTCTTTGGCACAACGGACGAGAAGCCCAATACAAGACCGCAAAGTGGGTAAGTCGCAACAAAATCCTCACCGCAAGCATTGCCTTCATCTGTTTCGTCAAAGCTTTCCGATCCGCTTTGTGTTCTGGGTTCTTCTTGCCCAATTTCAACCTGAGCAGGGGAAAGAAGCAGCGCGTCACGACGCTAATCCATCTGATTCCATCAAAAGATTCCGCCTCTGGAACATCCAAGACCGGAAAGAGTCTGCCTTTTCGTTTGCAATACTTTTGCAAGAAAACAGCAGTCAGACCTCTTACAGAAATCAGGCGGCACACCTGAGACAAGCTTTTCCCTTGACTGCATCTTTTGCAGTTATACTTTGAGAATTAGGCTGAGCTTTGCATCTAGGATAGAATCTACAGGGAATTGGAACAGGGAACAGGGATCTGGAAATCAGGCTCGGATTGCAGGCTCGACATCAATCCAAGACAGCATTAGCCTGTGATGATCTCATACGAACAAAGGGGAAAGAAGAAGGCCGACCACTGTCAATTAAATGGTTGAAAGGACGAAATGTGAACCAACACATGTGCCGTACTGAAGAGCAGCCAAACAAACACTCTATGAAATAGGTTCAGCTCCATATTAATTCAGAGTCCACATTCTGATGTGATGAAGGTTTCAATGATTGTGACGGCAGGCGCAGGTCACCCAGTTCTGAGAGTGAAGACATCATCAGCTCCAAATGCGACATATAGCAACACAATCGAGCGTACTTGGTTGACATCCTTTCGTGGTCCCACAAGAGTTTAATGTGCCTGACTATCACAAAAAAGTATCCTTGATCTGGTTGTGTCATTGGGGCAGGGTCCCCAGACAACTCCCACAAGCGAGCATTATATCATCAAATTATTTGGCGGACGATGAAGCACACAAAACAGCCACACCACCATTCCATCAACAGCAAGCCCTCATCAAACAACCACAGGCGAGACCCCACAAAGTGTTTACGACACGCTCACCTTTCTTTCTTCAGGTTCGTAACTTTCACTTTCAGCTGCTTCTGCTCCCACCGCTGCTTCTTCTTTAGCTTCCCCAGGGAGACCTTCTTCGGCGCGTCACTCTCCCCTCCCTCGTTTGCATCATTGTGTTCGGTGGCAACCTGAGCAATCTCTTCTGCCGGCGCTGTGCTGTCTGTTTCCATGGCGTCTCCATTGTGTTGTGTTTGCGCCTGTGGGTTCTTAGCCTGCTCCCTCTTCCACTTTGGCTGCGCTTGCTTCTTTGTGCGGGCCATCTTTTCTGGGGCACAATGCTCAAAGGCGGTCAGGCTACCTCATTGATGAGACCGATCCGCGTTGGTTCCAGCTGGCTCACAGGTTGAGCTTTGGGGGCACCTCAGCCTGCATTGGCATGACCAGCTTCAGAGAAGAAATGCTGCCATGGTGCTTGCTGAAGCCACCCGGAAAGCACGCGGTAACAGATCGGTTATAATGTAGGTATGGATGCTTGTTGCCTGCTTTGTGTGCCAAAACCGGCTCTTCTGCCGCTCGCTTGAGTTGACTCCTCCCTGATTCCCAGCCGTTTCTTGTTGTCCAGGGCGAAACGGCTGCCGTTTCTGAAAGTGATCGGCCTTCTGTGTCTTGCCAAATTTCAAGTTCAAGTTCAAAGTCCGCTGTATTACTATTACTATTAGTCTTACAATACGCACGATTTCAGTGCTGCAGCAGCACACTCACTGTTAGCTTCTCAGCTGTTCTGTGATGATGCGTTCGCTGGCATGGGGGCGCTGAGCAGGCTGGGCCTGCCTTGCTTGACAGCGGAAGCAGTTGCATTTTTGGATGGCCATGGTATCTACACTGGTAAGTGGATTTGGATCTCCGTTTAGGCGCCGGTCAAATGCATTCGCTGCATACGCAATGCAGCTCGTCTGTCCCCAATTGCTCCCCATTGCATTCTGATCTTGCAATATAGGCATTGATAGAAGCATTGAAGCCGAGAGGCCTGGCATATACAGGTGGTTTCATCTTTTCTTGAACCGTTCTTGTCGCTGGCTGCAGTGGAAGACTTTCTTGCATATGATTTGTACCGCCTCGGAGATGGCGAGCTACAGAAACAGGTGGGTGGATCTCGTCATACTTAGGCACACGATTCTGGTTGGGCCGTTTTTATTACCTTCTTTTACGGGCTGCATTGCTGGAGTGCGCCAGAGTACCACTGACCAATTGAAGAAAATGATTTGGAATAGTTTCTCTTCAAATGTGCACACAAGTTCACCATCGCCACAATCGAAATCTGCTGAAAACTGTGCTTGCTGCTGCTCAGCGAGAACGATTTGGGGGGGATTAGAAGTTCCCACAAAGCCCCAACCAAATGCATACCACTTTCCACAGCCACCAGCCCTTTGGGTCGAATCAAGTGCAATATCTCAAAAATCCTGGTGTGTACGGGTGTAACACCCTACTATCAGACAGAAACAGCCCCAGGTTTCATTCTTCTGACTTCCTCCTAGACATTTCGGAATTCAGCATTTTCCTGGGCCCCTGCCACTCTTTCCTCCATGTCACATATCAGAGCCTCACCTTATCCACACTGCCTTGCCCCTGCCTGCGAAATTGACTGCTTTAGAGTCAGGATTCTATGCATCATCTATTTACACGTAGAGACGAATTAAAGCCACACCTAGACGGAAACAGGTTTGCTGACTTTTTCCCTGCCAAAAATGCTGGCCTCCACTTTCCCGACATGATTGATAATCTTTGCTTCATCTTATTTCAAAAAGTTGCCTGCATGTCAGCCGCCACTTCATAGACAACCTCTCAAACCCTCAAAGCCAGATACTCCTATGATTCAGGTAGGATAGTTTCTAGGTAGGATAGTAACAGTCCCCGGGGGGAAACAACCTTCACCGACAAATGTACCCGCTCCGCACCAGTACCCACCCTAACCCCACCCTAACCTCACCCGTTCTCCGGACCATGACTACATCCTACCTAGAATCAACTTACCTAGATTATAGGTCATGTAAACCAGAGTTAGCGATTGATTACAATCTGCGTTGGCCCAGGTGATAGCAGGTCTCCTCCAGCATGTGGCTGCCACGACCAATTGCACCTGGACAGATGGCGCAACGCTATTCGAGCGCCTCACCACAAGCACGACCCTTGTCTCGACCGGCTGTCCTAGGTACGTAGTCGGATTTACTTCGCTCCCCCGAACACTGGACCTACTTTTGTACATCGAGCTACATTGCCACCACTAGAGAAGCTTCGAAGCAACAGATGTTGGTTTGATGGTTTGAGGATGTCATTAGGGGCAGGCCGGCACAAAGCTCAACTTCCCTGCGTTCTCATACAAACAAACAGTGCTGGAACCCCGCACATTCCCAGCACGTTGTTTCTTTCAAGGCTGCATTCCGCATCTCGAACTTTTTGTCTCTCTTGGCGCCCTTCGTAGAGGAACGAGCATGCGCTTGCTGCCACAACATGGGTCTGCACGTTCAGTGCATTCCCACTGCTTGGAAACCTTCGGGTCGGGCCTTGTGAGGACTTGCGGTACTCATCGTCCAACAAGGAGCTTCCGATAATTATTGAGAGAACCGTCTTCATTTTTACGCTCTGACATAACTCGACGGGCAAAAAGGGTCCGAGGCAACTGTTAGAATTGGCTGCCTGTCACGGCTTTGTCCCAGACAAGCAGCTCTTGACAACGTCGCCTATCGTGCGCTCTTTCTGCCTGCAATTGAGGTCAGGTACGCTTGACTTCGAATCCTGCTCGAAGCAACATTCTCGTCGTTGGCCTTTATACTGATCGACGTTCTCAAGAGTATCGCCGTTTGACACTGCAATTCGTTTGCAGCATCGATGACGTCATCGGGGGTGGTCTTCGACCCGGGACGATCACGGAACTAGTCGGCACCTCCGCTTCGGGGAAGACGCAAGTACGTCGTTGGCCTTGTATAGAAATTGTTTGTTCTTGATGCTACCTGCGACAAGCTAGATTTTGACACGGGTGCATAAGCCTCATTCTTTCACCGTTAAAGCATCGGCTTTCGAACCCTTCGCCGTAATCACGTCCAGTACTATCTTTGCATAGCTTCTCACATTCGTGAAATGCTCTTCGAAGTCCTTGGCAAGCTCGACATGAGGAAATGATCAACCACCTCTTTCAAACCCCTCCATTCCTTTTTTCCTCGTTCCTACTTCCTGCGAGACTCCTCGGTTTTTGATTTGACATTTCCTTACGTCAACGCTGTGTCTTCTTTAAGTTAATTGAAGAGGTGTCGATGGAAGTCGAGAATCCCTTCTGTGGATTCGCATCCGCCTTCACTTTGTCTTCGGAACCTTATGAGAAGTGTACATCCGAAACTTCCTCTGCGTAATCTTGCCTTCAAGCGGCCGCAGTGTCTCTTCTCTAGGCTCGGTCAGGAATGCAAATAGAAGTCAGAAGAGATATCTCCGCAGTCTACCAACGTCTTGTCTCGCTTTGTCACTATTCTAGATCGAAAACAAACAAATGTTACGAGAACGTCCTCTTTTGCACTCTGCCTTCTAGCGGCCCTTCTCTAGGTCCAGTCAGATTGCGAAAAGTCGGATTTCTTCACTTTTGCAGATCTACATCTCCACTCGCTTCGTCTTTTCGGAACGGAATAGAAGTCGCACATCCGAGAACTTACTTTGCGCAGCTCTGCCTTCAGGCGGCCGCAGCTGTCTCATCTCTAAAGATGTTTGAAATTGCGAAGGAGGCCAAAGCTCATCTTTCGTGATTTGCATTTCTTCTTTCTGACCTTGATAAGGGTGGCAAAATCTGAAGGAAACAACAACTTCCTGTTGCAGCTCTGCCTTCAGGCGGCCGCAGCGGCGGCCCTTGAGCTGCGCGCGAGCGTCGCTTTCATCGACACATCCAACTCCTTCTCCGCGCACCGGCTGGCGCAGATCGTTACGGGACTGCACGGGAAAGACAAGTTCGTGGTGAGCAGATTGCCACCCGCAGCAGCCGGTTTAGCGTGGCGTTTTTGCACCTTGTTCGAAATTGATAATCTCCCCATCGGTTTGATTGTGAGCGATCCTTTCCCCACCTGCTTCTTTCTTCTTGCACGGAAACACGTTCGTCATTCCTCAGTTGATGAGGACCTCATCGTGCGTCAGGCGCTTAAAAGCAACAAATCAATTTTCTCCTAGTTCAACGCTTGTTCCTCGTCTGTGTAGTTGGAGGCTTTGGCATCCTCTCGGTCTGACAATCCCGAGCTGCGCCACTCGCAACTTTCCAGGATTGAAGGACAGTGTTCTCTTTTAAGCAGGGTTGCGCGTGACGGCACGCGGCTCACCAACCAAATTCTTCGCAGAGATGCATCCTCTCGTTTCCTCCGCCAAATCACTCGACCCGGTTTGATGAGGCCCTGTTGGGGGTTTTGTCTCAAAGAACAAGCAGGAGCAGCGCAACCCTCTATGCAAGAACTATATCACAATTGTCAGCCAAGTTGAAATGTCTTTTAAGGTTTCGGATTTAAGGTTGTAGGATTTTGGAATCTCAGGTCTTAGGTCTTTGACTGGTTGACGAGGCCCTGTTCGTGGCTTTGACGCAGGAGCACAAGCAGGAGCTGCGCAACGTGGCGCGCCGCGTGCTCTGCTTCAAGGCCTTCGACATCTACACGGCGCTTCGGCTGCTGGACGATCTCCTTGTACATATGGACGGAGCGGAATCCAAGAGGGGGGGCGATGGAAACCAAGGGGTGCGTTTCCCTTCCCTATATCGCGTTTGTGAGTGCCGTGAGGGATTCGAGCAGCTTTATTTTTTCTTGCTCCCCACATGCGATTGCCGTGAGATGGTCAGGCTATATGTATATCTGCGTTTGAGGAACTTGCTTTCCGTTTCTGCATCGTCTTAATCACCATCTCGAAGAGACTGGGAACAAGAGAGGGTGGCACCCGGAAATAAGGCGAGAAGCACAACTGAGGCATCGAGATTGCAGTATGAACTTTTGATCTTGCTTCTCGGCGAGCCCTCAGATTGGTTTGGAAACAAACTTCAAACGAGGACGACCTGGCGATCCCTCTGAGCTCGACAGAGCTACGGTCAATGGGTGGAAAAAATATGGAAGAGCGGGTCTTTTTGTACAGGACTTTTTCCAGAAGCTTCAGCTTCTCATTCTCGACTCGGCATCCGCGATCATTTCCCCGGTGCTGGGGGGCGCGCACACCCAAGGTGGGTTGATTGGCTGCCGCGATTTTGCTTTTTGTAATCTGCCGTGTTCCTTTCGTTGTCGGCGGTTTGCTAATTTGTTGTCTGAGGTTCTCTTTTCGGTGTCAGCTGACCCGTACTCCTCCATCAGAGAGTTATGCGCTGGCATTCTTGGGGTCGAGGGTGCATGTGGCAAAAGAAACCGCCAGGGTTTGTGATCAACGCGCAAAGCTTGGGTCCCAAGTAAAGAAGGTGCTGCATAATAGATTCAATAAAATGAAGACACTGCACTTCTAAAAGGACCTTGACGGCAGCGGATGACGGGAAAGCTGGAAAAGTTTGTGGGAGCGCTCTAGTAATCATTCGCGGTGACATGTTTTTCATCCGGGCAGTGTGCTCGTCTCTTGTGCAGGCCACGCGTTGATGGTCAGTTTGAGCGGGCTGTTGCGGCAAATCGCGCTCAAGCACAACATCGCGGTCCTGGTACGTACCGTCCCCTTGCATCTCTTGACGTCGGCTCTTTTCCTGGTTGAGCACCTTTTTGATGCCTTCCTTCCTCTATTTGTACCTCCCTGTCCGTCATTCCTTCTTTTTCCTCTCGAACGCAGGCCGAGGAAGCAGGTCTTGGATGACCGAAAAGGATCTGTTGCCTTTGCAAACGTGCGTGCGGGAGTGCCTTGTGTGAGCGCTTTTCGGTCTACTAGTTGCGCACAGTTTGGTGCCTTTGCGCGAGAGCGACCGTTCGGCAGACTTCTTCTGGAGAGCACCTATAATCCCCTCCCGTTTGTGCCTTGAATTCTTGACCGAGTAAGTCGAGCCTCCGATCTGCGCGGAGGTGATTCACCTCTCCGTGTACGTTTGAAACTTGTTCTTTTCCGGAAGCTTCGTCAAAGCGTGGGCTTCGTTCCATATGATTGGGCGTTCAAGGCAGACAGGTGACGAATTGTGGCGGCAACCGTTGGAGTCCTGAGGTCCAATTGTAAGTTCAATCGACGTCTGTCTTTTCGTTCTTTTCTCTCGTAAATTTTTGCTGGAACAATTGTCAAGCGTCCGAATCATACAAAAGTACCATCCACACCCGTGTCCGGTGGGAGGCCGTCCGAACTTCCCTTCTTTCTCCATCCATTTTTTCTGATTGATTCCAATAGCGGCTGGACCGAAAGAGATTCTGCTGGATTGAAAGCTGACCGTCCAATTCGGACAGGTGGCGAATCACACGGTGTCCGGGCGAGGGCGGCGTCCTTTCAATATTTTCATTGGCAACTGCACTCACCTCTTCTTATCCACTCTATCTGCTGGGGTTTTTTCCTCTCCGTTGACTCCGAGAACAAATTGTATTGATTCCAAAGCTGACCGTCCGATTCGTACAGGTGACGAACCACACCGTATTAGCGAGGGCGGCGTCCTTCAATCTGTTCATTGCAGCCTATCTTATTTCTTTTCTATCTGCTGGATCACTCCAACGACAACACTTTTTGGTTCCAAAGCTGAGCGTCCGATTCGGAAAGGTGACGAACCACACGGTGTCCGGCGAAGGCGGCGGCCTTTTCAATCCGTTCGTTGGCGATCGCAGCCCATCTTTTTCTGTTCACCTCTATCTGCTGGATCTCTCTTCCGGTTCACAATATGTTTTGGTTCCAAAGCTAACCCTCCGAGTCCGACAGGTGACGAGACACGCCGTGTCCGGCGAGTGCTTCTTCCTTTTGAGGATCTGAATCCGTCAGCAGCTGGACCGTAGATATTTAGCTGGACTCAAAGCTGACCGTCCGATTTGGACAGGTGACGAACCACACAGTGTCCGGCGAGGGCGGCCGTCCGAAGCCCGCGCTGGGCGAGAGCTGGAAGTCCGTACCCAGCGTCCGACTTGCACTGGCCCGAGAGGACGAGTCCGACTGCTGTACCGCCACCGTCACCAAGCACACCATCGGGGTGAGCTTCGGACACGTGGCAGAGTCCGAATCATAGTCTTTCGTCCGTGAGCATGCTTATGAACTGTGATCTGGAACATGTTCAGGACTGTAAGCCGTTAGCAGCTTTTGAGAGGTACGTCCGCACAGCTTTGTTCGTGCTACATTCCCGAAACCCTCCGCCGTTCGTAAAGCTGGAAAGATCGTACTTTCGAAAGATGGCGGTTGGATGGGACTGCAAGCCTCGTATGTATGAATTTCTGGCACCGTAAGGTCATCGCGAATGTCTTGCACGGTTGTTGACCCAGGTTGACGTAAAGTTATGGCAAGGCTTTGATGAATACGTTGCAAGGTAGCCTATTGGGATTGTCGTCATTCAAGTAAGCAGCCACGTCGGCTGACGCCTTGAAGCCGAGTCCATCGCGCTCCTGGAGGGTTGGTTTGCAGATGGAGAAGTCGCGTCTGGTGTCTCCCTGCAAACAAGAGGAGTCGCAATTCAAAACACTGATGTCGTCTTCAGTTTGACTCTGCCTCGTCTCAAGCTTCGCTTCTGTTTGCGGTCGACCCCGCACTTGTGCTCCAGGAATACACTCCTCTCGATGGGCGCATCTTTAAATCTTAACTTGAGACGCTGCTCTTTCTCTTTGCAGGCGTGCGGCGAGTCTGTACCATACGTGCTGTCACGCGACGGCTTGAGAGCATTCGAGGCCGAAGAGCCCGGGGCAACTCAACAACTAGAATGGCGTCAAGAGTAGTTTACGCGCAATCCTGAGTTTACATAGATACAAGTCATGTAGGGACAACTGATTCGGCGTCACACGAGTGTCAGCTTAGCTTCACTTGGTCAGCGGACAGTCAAAACTTAGAAGCAGCAAAGCAAGCTCCGCCGCATGCTGATGCTTGAGAGTCCGGGCCGCTTTTCAAGCTAGCCTCTGCACTGAAGCCACAAGTTCTGACAAACCTGCATTCTGCGGGTGGGAGATCCTAAACCGTAGCGGTCGATTGGCTTCAATTTACGACTACAGACTTAGACAAGCGGCATACTTGATTGTTGTTAGTTCAGAGCTCGAACGCATCACAATCGTGGCCGCACCGCGGCGTGCTTCAATGGTGACATTTAGTATGTCACGGCCTAGCGAATTCCGCCCAGCCTGATCGCACCATAGTAGCCGAGTGCATGCGGGCCGGGCTCTTTCAAGCAATCTGAATCTGTATACCGATTTTGAGAATCCCCATGAAGCCGAACATATTTCCAAAGACAAGCCCGCGATACAGGCTTGTAAGTTGCCTTCAATAAATACTTAAATAGCGCGAGCAGGCTTGATTGTGCATTGGCCGCGTACTTGCTGAGAGCGATCCGGCCATTTCAAAAAATTGTACTGCCATGTTGGATTGGTTCAGGCTCGTGCACACAACACTGCCGGACTTGCACGTACATATTCTCGTTTGCACGGGCTCGGCCGGCCTTCGGATTTACACCTTACATGAAGTCGGAAGCCTGAGCTGCGCAAATGCTCGCGATGCATGCAACTCGTCGAACCCCTCCGACTACCTCTAGGCCCTCGAGTTGAATTATATGAGGCCGTTCAGATTGGCCAGAGTCTAATAACGGTATACGTTTTAGAAATCTTGAGATCTGCATGTGGGCCGGACACGAATACACAATTCTTCAATCGTAATTCTCAGATGGCTTTACACGACATGGGACAGTGACAGTTGGACGATCGAAGCGATATACAAGCATGAGTCGCTCGAGCTGACGCGGGCTCCTTGCAGCCCGTCCGATTGTTATACGATCAACCGTACGGGTTATACGAATCAGGTTCAGTGAGTGATCTCAGCCGCGCGCTTCAGGGTCGAGCTTAGTATTTCCAACTTCACGGTATACACGCGCTCTGAAAGTCCACTATCATAGGACGCCTTGGATCCGACAAGATGGATATAGACTGGATATTCCCGGGTCAAGATCTTCTGACGCCTTTTAGCTCAAGTCTCCATTGCCACGTTGCATGCTTCTCGTAATCAGCCGATTGCCTGCTTCTGAGGATTTTTTTATACCCGAGGATACCAGAACGGTGAAATCTAGTCTTCTTGTACTATTTTTTTCAAATATACGACCGTCTATGCGAGATTCTGGCCTGGTCCCCTCTTGCGGGACGAGCGTCCTTCATTCAGCGATTTGGTCGTGCTGGTTTGCGCACTCCTGAATCTTCTTCGCACACGACTTGGACTGGAGGGCAACAAATTCAGCCAGCGAGTTGCAGCTCTCAACAATCTCGGTGACCAGGAGACTGTCGTTCAGAGTAATGTAGAGAAAACAGTTTTCATTAACCACCACCCCTGTTTCTAGACCCTTAAGCCCCACATCAACTTGGGTGATCGCTTTGCCGGAGCTGGGACTGATCGCAATGTCAAAAGAGCGTAAGGTGAAGTTGAACAGGGTGCTGTAAGTCTCGAGGGCCCGCACACAGCTGTCTTGACCCTGCATTGACAAGTGAACCAATCAAAAACAACATTAGGTGGACCAAGCCATGACCAGAAAGACGAAGTCCGTCTTCTCATTCAAGAATCAAACGGAGCAGAACAAAGGGCAAGCGTGAAGTAGAACGAACATGTCGTTCTACTAGCCAGTAGAGGAGACTGATTGAAGACTAGAGAAGGGACTCCACTCGAGTTGGGAAAGGTTATTCCATAATTCTCGGTGGATGCGAAGCAGATCAGCCAGTCTGTCGAGCTTCCAGGTTCAGGCAGAACGGATTTGCTGACTAGTTCACATGATTCACTCGAAGGTCATGAAACTGATCCCTTTCTTTGCACTCATTAAGTGCCACATCCTTGGATCTCACTATTTTCGAGTCAATCCGTTCCTTGCAGGTCGCAGTCATCAAGGGACACCTTCGAAAGCTGAAAGGCTTCACAAATTTGTATCACATTCGACTCTTCTCCGGCGGCTCACCTTGAAGGGGCCAGTATAAGGTAGCCCTGGACCACCTGAATACTGGTACAGTGCGTCGTCCGCGAATCCCGCCTGAAAGTTCAGAATGTCCCCGTCCATGGCGTAGCGGAACATCGTAGCCAATCTTTGGATCTTTTCTCCGTCGGTAGGACCAGAAGTTGCACTCGCGACCCCATCCGTCAGGATGAGAGAAACTGTCACCAAGAACGTCAGCAACATGCTGCCACGTGTCTGGCTGAGGAAGCGACTTCGCACGGCCATGTTCTTTGCTGCAAGAAGACAAAAAAAGGAAGGATGGAAGGGCATCAGATCATGTACTTTTGATGGAAGCATGTACTAGAAGCATGTACTTTTGATGGAAGCATGTACTTTGATGGAAGCATGTACTTTGATGGAAGCATGTACTTTTGATGGAAGCATGTACTAGAAGCATGTACTAGAAGCATGTACTTTTGATGGAAGCATTTCCGCAGTTTGTGAAAATGAGACTTCAAAAGGAGAGTCAGGGGCTCATGTCTGTCCAAAGGACATGGCACCTGTCTCAGACCGTGAAACATATGGAAGACGCAGAGTATGAGCGGTTTTTCTAAGCTTGACTTGATGCGCTAGAATAGGTGCCACAGCATGCTTCCGTTTCTGGTATGTGACGTTGGCACATGGTCCGAGGCACTCCGAAGCCAATGATACAAGACTCCTGTAGATTTGCGACTCATTGCGGGTCCTTTCTCACAAAAAATGGAGACACATTCTCCGATGCAGCTCCAAAAGGGACTTTTTCTGTCCCTGAGGTTTTTGCGAGCGCATAGAAACTGTACTTGTATTGGTGATATGTACAATCTAGGACCATGATTCGAAAGCATTGAGACGCTTGTACTTTTCATACACACTGGAACGACAAAAGCTCTGATTGAAGGACGACCACTCGTTGGAAGGAGGTCAGCTTTCTAGCTGATGCATTCAGCCACAACTAGTGTGGCCTTGATCAAGCTACAAGTCTCAACCAGTGTACTGTTCCGCAGCAGGAAAACTCAGAGGCAGATGACAGGCACCAGATGCATGCTGCAGCCATTCTACTTCAAGCAACTTTAGAAATGTTGTGGAATCAGGCAATCACTGAAAAAGATGAGGCAAGCAGTGAAGCACAATCAATTTTCTCTTGCTTCCAGCACAATCTGCAGCATGGCTTTCACCTTTCGACGATATTGACGGGCGTTCAGCTTGCCCTGGCAAGTCCTTGATTTGATCGTGTTAGCGTGAGGGAAAGACGAATTGAGGAGAAGACTCAAACTTGTGGTGCGGACTGCGCAACAGACCGACTGCCCGTCTGCGATTACTGCTGCATATGCCGGAGACTGCTTTTATGAAGGCACTGGCCTACACATTATACTACTTAGCAGATCAGGCAAGAAGTAATCGAGGCTTGCTGGCAGCTGCTCGACTGTTTGACTTCGTTTGGCTTTGCCAGCCTGAGTCAGGGTTGGAATTTTGCAGCTTTCAATCATTGAGCCGGATTTCGGATTCCAATCTTTTCGGACTTCGGTTTCGAGATTGGAACTTGGAGCCCTCCGATTGGCTTCACCATTCCGATCGACGGCTTTCACATGTCCTACTGACGTCATTGTATACTCATGCTACCAAAGCCGCACGCTTGATCCTGAGACGCAATTCACTCCATCACTCGCGAGTCAGCTTCCGTTCCTGCAAAGCTCGGACTATCCTTTTTTCGGTAAATTCGAGGGCTGCCCTCAGGCGCCTTCGAGCCCACTCGAGCCTTCCTGCATCTCACATGAGGCCTCTTCGCTCCCTCTTCGTGGGCGGGCAAGCTTTGTCAAGTTCTTGCCAGGCACTGCCAACATGCCAATAAAGCATGTCTAGACATACTCAAAGCTGGACAGAAGCTCGGGCCATATCCGGCTACTGAGGGGCTAACTTGTAAATGCACGCCCCACAAGAGAAAACCCTAAAACTCAGTGATTGATCTGACACACTCGGTCTCTTAACATATAAGCGTGTATAAACGGCCAAACATGTAGGCAGACCGGGCGCCGATTGAAATAGGGGCTCTATAGGCGGAGGGCAGGCTATCTAGCACTGAGAACCCCCACGCAGTCCTTTAGCGGCAGCTAGGCGCACTTTTGTAGTAAACTGCTCTATGATCGTTAGAAGAGGGAGGCATACGATCCTCTCCCCTTGTTTATTCCACGCTCCATTCAAATGCATGATGGCCCTGGCCAAATATGAAGCTGAATTTCCAGCAGATGCACATTCAAGGAGAATGAAAGCAGTTGGCTGATCATGACAACAATGAAAGGCTGATATGAATCCTTTGACTCCCAATCGACTGAGACAGCTAGGAGAAAGTTTCAAGAGGCCACGGGAAAATGGTAAGCCTTCAAGCTTGCCCCGAGAAGCTGCACGACGATTCCCATGACCAATTAAAGGATGGAACTTGAAGTCAGCCGTACGTAGCCTTCCTTGTTCAGAAAGTGCACTGATCCGACCCTCTGAGTCGAAATCACCAGTATGATCATCCAGAATTGCTTCAACTCGCTTCACTGCCACCTACTAAGCTGTACGCATGCGGCATCCGGGATACAAAAACTTACCGCCAAAATGCATAGTTACCGTCAAGTCATGCAAGAATTACCTTTTGACTAACGCCGCTACAGTCACATGCGTAAGTGCATGAACCATGTCAATGCTCAGACAATGTGCCTGAATCTACCTCCTTTGTACCCATAGATTTAGCGCTAGATTTATCTGGATCTTGCGGAAACCAGCTTGCGCAAAGTCCGCAGATGTATGCACAAACATACACCACTTGTCATACGGCGTCGCCTCCCGCTTGGAGCGACTCCTTTGTTGGCTCAAGCTTGGAGTTGTACAACGGCAGCTCAAACAAGAAGACGAGCTTCGCCCAGCCAGGCAGTCTCTTGTAGAGTGCCGGGGGAAGGGGTATCAACGGACTGCAAGTACACAGAGGACACAACGTCAGATGCAATTGGCGTAAGCGGGAGTCAGTCGGAAGAAGTGTTAGGAGCCATGCTTGTTCGCAATTAGGTGTCAGCCGGCGATTAAACGTGTGGCTCACAGCGCGAAGAGTGTGATCAGGGACAAAGCCGGGGAAGGCACAAGAAAGACACGCCACACCATAGGGTCCGCTGAGGACAGTGAGAAACCTAGCTCCTCCGTCCCTCTCAAGCGGCCCAAAGCTCTCGTAGTCGCCTGTTCCGCAAGGAAACAAAGCAGTGAGTGTAAACCTGACAATTCAAAATTCACGGCCCATTTTCTTTAAGATTTTTGTAGTGGTTTTCAACGGCTAGCTCAGCACTTCGATTTAACGGCTGGACCCGAGTGGAGAAACTCATCACAGTAAAAGCGCTCAGAGTTTCCAGCTTGCCAAAATTCTTAATCTTGAAAACCGGGCCTTCAACCAAGGTGCTCAAAAGATTTGCAACTCTGTGGCGTCATCCTACGGAAAACAGCGACACCGAGCAACGAACGCCCTTGGCAGACTCCGAATCCGAAATCCTTGTGACATCTTGAGGAGAATCGACACGGTTTCGTTAATACTGAACGAGGAGCATTCAAAAATCTCGAATCAACGGCTGGAAGCTTCCAAATCTACTCACCTCGTCCGCCGTTTGTACAAAGCGTACTCCGGCTTTCCCCCGTGGTTCTTGTCCGCGGACGCCTGTACGAAAGACGCGTACCCGTCAGGCTGACGTCAACTTCGGCTGCGCGAGTCACTGGAGACTGCGTACTCGTTGAGGACGGGACCTCTTTGCAGACTCGTCTTCCGTTAGCTATCTTATGTTCACTGACAGCCCTACGCGTTTAGGGTTAGATGTCTGATGCCCGATCGGGTTTGGAGTTCAACCTTCTTCGGAGCGTTCGCTGTCTGTTAAAATCTGGGTTCCTGGGAACGACACAACGATCTTTCGCACGCCAGAACCTAGACAAAGTCTTAGGCTAGTTCTTATGAGCAAGTCGTGAAGCAGACCTTGGACTACACCCCAAAATCGAAAAGATTGTGAACCGCAAAGAAGCCCAGGGAAGCGCCCGGAATCCAAGAGGCCCATCGTGAGGCTCACCTCTAACAGCGGGATACCGCTGAGAAATAGCAAGATTATCGTGATGGTGATAGGACCCAGGACCGCGGCCCACTGGCCTTTGTGCAGCACGCGCGTGCTCGAGACGAAGATGCCCCACCACATCATGAGCTGCGGGAGAAGAGAACATATCCAGTCAGCGGAGTCTAGAACCAAAGCACGGTTGATTGATAGTTTTTCCTTCCGTTTTCGCGTGCTGGAGAGGAAGATGCATTACCATATCTTGAGCTGCGAAAGCAGAGCACGAAACCTAGTTCCGGCAATGCCAGAAGCCAACCGCCAGTTTTCAGAGTTTCTTTAAAGTCTTCTGCTGCCACCTTTTGTGTCTCCTGGTGCTTCCTGTCAGCGTTGCATCGGCAGAGGAAGACGTTTCTGCGTCCTCTCAATCTGGGTATGAGCCCCTCAAACGAAGAACGCTGAATCACTACTCGTTCCGCGGCGTCTTCAAGGCCGGACACAGACACAAAGGCTGGAAGGGTTGAAATCTAGAAACCTTCAGATTAAACCCGCAGCCTCTGCCAAAAACTGTGGGCAACAAATTGTGTAGAGCCCACTTCGCCAGTAGTATGGATGCCGAGAGTAGAACGAGAACAAAAGGCCGGAATCCTGCAACAAGCAGCTCCCAAACAAGGGCCCGCAACACGAAAAGCGCTCCGGTCACAGCCCACCTAGCTGAAATAGTCTTACCGCCATTCGAGTGATTATAGAAGAAAGGGCTCGAACCGTTCGGAAAACGGTGAAGTAAGCCCCGCAGACTTTCCCAAAACTTCGAACACTACTCCCTTCGATGCTCACCTCGCCGAAGTAGTTTGGATGCCGCGAGTAGCCCCACACGCCGACGTCGCACCAGCGCCCCTTGTTGGCCCGGTCCTTCTTGAAGTTGAGCTTTTGCTGGTCGGCGAACACTTCGAACAGAAACCCCACGCCCCACATGACCCAGCCCACGTAGTCCGCTGCGCCCAAGCTAGGGTTGCGCAGCGTGGCGTTGACGATGGTGAGGGGGAGGGAAACAGTGAACACCCAGATCGCCTGTGCATTGAGGAAAAATATTTTCAACGTTTGCAAACGTAACGGTTTTTGAGGGCAAATATGGTCAAGAACAGTTGGGTTTCGTAAACAGGACTTGGAGCTTGATTGGGTTGAGTGCCAGCTAAGCAAAGTTTGACATTGACGATGGTGAAGGGGAGAGAAAACGTGCAAACCCAGACGGCCTGTGCAATGAAAGAGAAAGATTTCGAAGGTTTCAGGAGGTGGGTATTGGACCTATCAAGTGGTAAAAACAGTCGGCTTTCGTAGCCAGGCGAAGGAAAGTGACAGAGCTTCAGGTAGAAGAGACAAGGTGTCATTTCCAAAAGCGAATCATGACCGTCAAGAAGCCGCGAGAATCAACACCAGCTGCGCCGCAGGGTGTTCAAGTTCCGGTGCGAGCCGACGACGACGTGCTGATGAGCGATCTTAAGGGAAGGTGACGTTAGAATTAGAACGAACCGAACGGAAGGTCAAGGTCAGCACCTCTACGGCATAAAAAGAACACTGACTGATGGGTGGGTGCTGACTATTGCTGGAGCCATCCCAGTAACCGTCAAACAACTCAACAGCGGCAGCCGACGATATCCTGAGTGATTGTTGACGTCATCGGAACCGATAGAAGAATTACAAATACGATTGGCAAGTGTGATCGGGATTCACGACGCAGTTGACAGCTACAGTACGCTGGACTTGCATGTCTGCCCGATTCCGTCCGGGAAGAAACTACCTACGCTGACAAGCGTATTCACAAGACGCCAGAGAAAGAGAAGTGTTGTAATGATACAGATCGAAACCGCATTAGGCGGGAAAGTGAAAGAGCCCACTCCTTGCCCGCCGTCAGACGGCGATTCCCAACCTGCGAGACTGGTACCGACCAGCAAAGTGCGGATAATCCTGACTCCAAAATGGTACGAAAACCCCAAGATTCTAAACTTCCGAGGGTAAAGAAGAAGTAGGCTGGGCGAGAAAGGAGGCGCAGGGCCTGTACTTGGAACACCCAGAAAGCCGCAAACTTCCAGAAGTTCTCTCGGGTTTCGTCGAAGCGGGTGTCCGCCCCCCATTGAAGGATCCTGCACAAGCACCAAAGAAGCCGCGGTGAGTCCGTTGCCAGTGTCGGAGGGGTCTATAAACAGCTGAAACTTTGCGGATTTACAGGATGAATTTGTTTTCTAAGAGCGTTTCCCTGAAAAGGAACACCAAGAAAAAAGAGATAAATCAGGAGCTGAGATCAAAAGTACCAATGCACAGAAACCGTAGAAGTCTTGAAATCTTCGCACCCTGAATCAGAACCACCGTTCTTCATCCGTGTCGCGTTCGCCAAACCGAGTCGAAATGCTACTTTCCATCACGTTGAACGTTCATGAAACACCTCATATGATGTGTTAAATCCGGCTCGCTGCCCTTGTAAGGTCATTAGGCTGGGACTGAGAAGATGCAACTTCGGGCAGCCCTTTCACCTGAAATTCAGTACCCACTTGGGTGGTCAACAGACTGTGGTGTATAAGTTCGGAATCACCCCCCCACACCGATATAAGGTCGGAATTTCCCCCCCCACAGCGAGCTCAGATTGGTACAAGCCACTATCCCAGTAGTCTTTTTGTTGATAAAGGGACTTGACATTCCGACTGGGGTAAAGCAAACCTCTATTGCAAAGAAACACCCCAGAGCTCACTCACCGCATTAGGAGGAAGCCCCCTAGCCGAACGCCCCACACGATGACAAACAGAGTCAACACGATCTGCAGAATCGAAAGGCATGGGTTTCAGCACGAACCAACGCGATCAAAATCTATGAAAACGAAGCCGTTGGAACAAAGTCAGTTCGCATTTGAGCTCACGAGAGATCAAGATCTTTCTGGGACTCTCACTAATCCAAGTGCTTTGGAGACTAGAACAGCACGGCAATCAGCACAAGCCTCACAAGTAACAAGATCTGGTGTCTACTTCAACTTGCTCGGAAGTACGACCATGCTCGGCTTTCATTTCCGAAACAGACACAGCGGCCACCAACGAGTTAGGGGACGAAAACGAAAGCTTTTGTATTGACTCATCTGATCTGACAGCATCCGGGATCGGAAAACGTGTATCTGCCATAAGTCCTGACCCGTCTTGGCTACCAGCCCTTGTAACACAGGCCAGAACTCATGCACATTATGCATTTTGCACAACCCGATTGAAATGACAATACCCAACAAGGAATCTTGTAATGATGATGGAAGCACACATCTCGTACTCAGGCAATCGCGTCCACATCACTTTGTCTCCGGCTGCTTTGGCGACAGCGCTTTGAGCAGCGTTGCAGAAAAGAGGGAAGACCGGACTGGCACTACCATAGCATGCCAGGCAAAAGCCTTGAGAGAAGACCAGAGGATTGAATACGAATAGTTGCTGCTGGCGCTCACCTGACGAGCATGCCACGTTGCCCCCAGGAAGAAGGTCAAGATTGCAAGAACAACGAAATTGGTACCACCTGGATCGGAGGAGAACAAGCCTTAGGCAAGAGATGATAGCAACATGAAGAGATATTTCCTTGGGCATGTCCTTAGAAGTCAGCTAGTTCAATCAGTGGCAGGCCCGGCCTGTTGGGGAGCAATATTAGATTACCACAAGTTGAATCCCCATATGGACCAGCCTGTGCTTTCGTGTAGGCACGTTGTCTCCATAGCTTGCAGGCTGTGTGAAAGGAGAAAGCAGGGGCTTCTGTCAGATCCGGAAGCAGTGCACAGCGGAGTTGTGCACTTGCTGTGACATCTTTGAAAAGACCTGTTCTGCGCCTCATGAAGCCGCGCAGAGCTTTGTCTGACGATTGTGGGGATACTGAGAAAGGGTTCTGGTCATACCCAGGGAGGTTGCGAACGGCCATCCTTCAATAGAAAGAATCTTCGTTCTGGCATAAGCTGGCGACAACTGCGCGATACGTGGTCGAGTCCTAAGAATGGGTATCTTCAAGGAGCCTCCCATGGGGCTTACCTGCAAAGTCTGTGACTTTGTCGAACTTGAAGCTCCAGGCTATGATGAAAAAAGTTACCTGGTATGCAACCTGTGGAAAAGGACTCATGTGTGAGTGCTAAAAACACGCCCTTCGTTTGAAAGTGGGTCCGCAACGCTTGTGTTTATCTCCTCGACATTCACAGATGATCTGAACACCACAGATCTTCAAGACTTGAAGTGGTATGCCTACCTTAAAAGGGGCCGAAGGGCAGCTGAAAGCGGAAGGCAAAAGCATCGTGGCCAAAGGAAGACCAAACCTCCATCAGTTCACAAGTTCTCGGGTCAGAGGGCTCTCACAAAATGGTGGTAGATCGTCAAATCAATTGGAGAGTTCGCCACATCTTTGCATTAAGACAGAAAGTTGGCCAACTTCTAGCCCGCCTTTTTGAACACGCTTGTCAGCAATCAGGCTCTGGTTATGGTCATCGAAAGCTGGCTGAACTGTGATCAGCCGAGGGAACAAAAAACGAAAGCTCTCCAAAAACTTGAGCTCAGCAACTGCAGCTCTGCTCAAACTCGTCAACAGAGCTACCACCCTGACTTTCAAACAGCAGAAGTTTGATCAACGAGGTCACAGGAACATCTGTGTTTTCAGGGACCTTCTCCTTCACCAGATTGGCGATGCCGGGGCAGTACTCAAACGACAATCTTGGTCATGCTTCACTTGCTTGCGATTCTGGCCCCATCCCAGCATCCGCAAGACGAACCTCATTAAGTCTCAATCAACCTGCAAACTTTTGATTGTTGGTTCCAAAACCGCCACCAAAACCCTAACCCTAATTAGCTGGGAGTGAGGCGCCGGAGCTGGGCTCACCGTAACAATGGCCGTAATGGCCAAGAAATTGCTGTCCAAAACATACACCATGGTCTTTCTGCTTGCGAACGTTGGTAAGTCTGGATATCCGATTCAATCTCCAACAAGGGAAATGCTAAATGGACCCCCGAACCGGATACCTTGCCAGTGCAGTAGCTAGGTTCATTCGTCCTAAGTCGCGCCAGATGCCAGAATGCTTTCTGTTTCTGCAACTCCGTTGTTGCAGATCTCTATTGAGAGCCAAGGTCCTTAGAGTGGAGGGCAGTCTGGTGCTAGATCTGACGTCCACACAGGGCGTTTGCACCCATGTTGTGTAGGCTGCTGTGATGGACGACTCCTGCGCCGGGTGGAAGCCACGAGAGCGTTCTGTCGCAACACGGCTCTTGGTTTGCTCTGAATCAGCAGGCGGCGAAACGTGCTTCTTATTTACAACTTTATGCACAACAGCTCAACGATCAAAGCGAGCAAAAAAGCCCGCCTCACTCTATGAGAGGACAGCTCATAAAAGGCCTACAGCCTCAGGGCCGTCGAGGCATTTGAAGAGCTTTCGAGTACCGCGGTAGGTAGGAGGAGGAGACTGGAGCTTCCTGTTTGCTCATGAATGCGGCGCTGGTGTGTCGACAGCGATCTGCAACGTCACCCCTCGGCAGCAGGAAAGTTCAAGGAGCGCACGTTGTACATCATGCAGTGGTAGGTACCGGTACGGCGGTACTGACATGAGTGGCTGAGGCGGCCTGCTGCTGATAGCCTAATGGGTCATTCCGACTCATTCCGTAGGATAATGTGCAAAATGTTCAGGGCAAAACGCAGCAAAACGTCAGCAAATCGGGTTACCTACTGAAATTGTCAGTACTATTATTATTAAGTAGGTATTATGCAATCACTATTCTAAGGCGCGGATTAACTATGATGGCTCTCTTTGGTGGGTAACGCATAAGTTCTGCGAAGGCCCGCGTTTCATCAATCAATTTTCGTGGGCGAAGCACAAAAATACCGAAATCAGATACTAGAACGAATTCCAAAGGCCTTGCACATGTTGCATGCCGCAAATTTGCAAAAGCTCTAGAGCAATCTCCTTTGGTTCACGGGAATCCCGGTAGAGGTCCATCGATCAACTTCACTTCCACTGCCAGGACGCGAGTACCTGATTGTGGAGGTACGGTATGGACCAATTATTGGCACCGAGGTTTCGGCGCACAATCATTGCAATATTTGACGCGCCGCAATTTTACACCCCGCGGCCGCCCCGGGCCCCGGACCCCGGTGCCTATGATCGGCGAGTCGGATAGACACCTTTTCCTTGTACATCTGTGTACAATTGAGTGCACGTATTGTACCGGTAACACCGACAGTGACTGTTCACAGTGACGCACAGCTGCCTGCGCGCCGCAGCCTCATCCTGGCTCTCCTAGCACTGTAGTAGCAGCTGCTGAATCCATAAAAGGCTGGCCACTTCAGGCGAGGATACGTCTTTTATGCAAGAGAGAAAGCTAGGCTTCAAGTTCAACTTAGAGAGCGCGGCATCGATCAGGGGTCACGTTGGTTCAATTGCCAACTGTCGATGCTTGCAGGCCCGCGAGCTGGATGTTGTGCACACCGCTTCTGTGATTTCTGGGTCTTTTTCTGGTTCCTAAGCAAGAATTAGTATATCAGCAAACGGGCAAGCATTGGGGTACTGCCAATGGAAACCCACTGATCTTCTGGATCGTGGCTACTGCACATTGGAAGCAGTCTGCAGCTTTGTCTTCACTGCTGAACCACCTGTGACAAGCTCACCGTCTTGCCTATCAGCCCGTTATCTATAGAGTAGTGGTATGGTTAGCAAGATTCTATTGACACTCTTGTATCAGATCCGTTAAGTTAGTGAGCATCGTTTATAAAGGGTCAGGCCAGCATTCACCGGCTCCCTCAGCAATCCTGGCATTACGCAACGCAGATTCAATGGAGCGCTCCCATCCCCGTTCTCCTTCTCGCTGGGGGCGGGCCTTCTCCTCATCCAAACAGATTTGGACTCTGCCGGCCCTTTGCCTGGTCATCCTAGTTTGCATCGGATTCACTCGTTGGGTCACTCCAGAAATCAGCGTATACAGCCAGGTCGCGTATTCACCTGACATGCGGTGTAAGACGACCCTGGGGACAGCTTTGGAGGTGACCGCTCTACAGAGTGCAAAGACGAGCAGACGGGCCAAGGTGCAAAAGCTGCTAGAGTTGCAGGCAAGGATTGAGGGCGAGCGCGCGCTGATGGCTAAGTCCCTGGAAGTCGTGCATTCCAGCCTTGTGAAAACTGCGGAGCTCTATGCGGAGGTCGTGCGGGACCCCCAGAACGTGGCGCGCCGGTTTCCCGGCATCACCTTCCCGGACTGTTTGGCCGGGCCCGGTGGGAGCCAGTTTGGAGAAGACAAGCACGTGTTCACCAAGTTCTTTAGCAAGCCCGCGATCAAGCGCGACGGCGTCTTCTTTGAGATGGGGGGGTTGGACGGGATCAGTTTCAGCAACAGCCTCTTTTACGAGCAGTGTCTCGGGTGGAGCGGAGTCATGGTAGAAGGCCAACCGGACAATTTCTTCACTCTGAAAAAGAACCGCAACCGAGAGGGCACGCGCCGGCTTTGGATGGCCGGGTGCGCGGAGGACGGGGGCATGCTTTCCTTCCCGGCGCGGGGGTCGGCGGTGTCCGGCGACCGGTCCCAAATGACCGAGCACTTCTTGGACAACTTTGCGGGTGAGCACGGGAATGGTTCCGTGCTCGTGCCGTGCGGGCCGCTCGGCAAGTACATCAACCTCGCGGGCGTGACGCGGATCGACTTCTTCAGCCTGGATGTCGAGGGAGCGGAGATGCTGATACTGGAGTCGATGGACTGGTCTAAGATTGAGTTGCATGTGCTTATGGTGGAGATGAGCGGGAAGAGGAGGGACGAGATCCCGCCCTTGTTGCAGTCGCTTGGGTTTGTGGAAGACTCGGAAGGCTTTCACGAGGGGTCTACCCTATGGTACAATGCGAGTTGGGTTGAGTAGTCAAAATTATGGTTGTAGTAAAAGGGCCTTGTCCAACTTTCAACTTGAATTTCAAATACCATTGATGTAGCCACCTGTAGGTACGAGTCGACCGTCTCAGTACTGCTTGGAAGATTGACGCTGATTGTACCGTCGGGTGCATGTGCAAAAACCAACTTTGCTGAACACGTTTTTATGCGATGGCCATTGGCCAAGTGACCTCCTTGAGTTGAAACAGGCGGCGGATAGCATAAGTGACGCCGACGGATCGCAACTGACACCAGATGCATCCATGCCAGGACACTCATTGGTAACCGTCCGGCCAGACTACAGGTGTCCAGTTGAATTAAGTTGCAATGAGTCATTGTTATACGAAATAATTTGTAGTGACAGCAAGGGTGTTGACGATTATGCACAGAAATACATTTCGGACGTCGGGCGACTGTGTCTTGCAAAATCAACGCGGTCCAACCCGAAGGCGCCACCGGGACTCCCGCGCTAAGTTCCAGCTACCAGATGAGGTGAAGGCTCATACGTGCCAGCGCGCTGCTTGAGGCGCTGGCATGAATGATGACCTTCTTATGCCGAAGGCAAACTCAAATCACCAGCTTGTAAAGCTCGGCCTAGCTGATCACAAAATGTTGCGTATGCACTAAAAGTATACTGTTGGTATAGCGCACTTGGTTCTCATCATGTATGGCCGGCACCTCCCAGCATGCAGATTTGTACTACATGCCTGTGATTAGCTAGATTGGATATATGTACTGTTGTGTGCCAACATGTACCTGGGCCCGTACACGCTCCGTGCAATGACGCATGCAGTGAAGCGAGATTCGTCTAACTTATGAGTGGAGCTTTGATGACTTCGCGGTCACGAAAGTTGGCAATGGAAGCCAGCGCCGAAAATTCTACAGTTTGTTCCCTGGTATAATGAGTCAATACATATTGTCGGGACTTGCACAAAATGCTATTTCAATGCGGCCTCAATGAGAGGCTCTGAAAGAATGTACTATTCACCAACCCGACCGTAACTAAAGAAGGATGCTGCACATGGAGGCGTGTAGATTTCTGCAATGTAAAGAACCAATCACCTTACGGTTCTCCTATCATTATTGACTAGCCTTCGTACCGGAGATCAACGCGAACTTGATCAGACCACGGCTGAAGCCCTGAATCATCAGCGCCATTGCAAAGGCCCCCTTGATCGTCGTCCAACCTGCAGGCAAGCGTTGCAGGAGATGTCAGATTACACGCATACTACCACTGAAAAAACTTTATTATCATGCTTGATAGGCTCTTCGTAGTAGGTAGCATCAAATAGATTGCATGGCGGTTCTCACAATCCTTCTTACGCGAAAGTAAGAGAGCGAGAAATGGAGGAAACAAAAGGCGAGACAGAGACAGTTTGGCGCTTCGGTATCTGGCGAGGTCTACGGAGCCCGACGCTCCGAGACTTGGACTCGGCAACACGCTGCGAAATACTTTTGCTACCGACTAATCCCACGAGTAAGGGGCCATAAGCTGGGGCCGCCATCCGTGGTCGCAAGGGCAATCCCTCGCCGTTGTTTCCGAGCCAAACGCGAAGGCACAATCTCTTTCTAAAAGCTGCCTTCTGATCCACGTGCGCTCATCTACCTTCGATGCGTGCAACATTGAAACCTCTGGGCCACAGAAGCAAGGCAGCAGTCGCTACAACCAGCAGAGCAAATTCAAGGACATTTCGAGCGTGTGGAGATACAAAGACCGCTCCGGAGAAGTCCAATCAGATTACGACAGAGGAGGCAGCGCTCAGAAAGACAGAATGGAAGCAACTTGGACGAAAGATTTAGGATAGCCCTGAAGAAGAGGTTTTAGAGCACACTGGAAATGAATGACGAAGAAAGAAGAAAGCACAGGCGGTCAAGTCGACCAACAACGATGAGAGAGAGAATGTTAAGAAAAGTCAAAAGCAAGGAAGAGAGACGAGAAAGAGACGGACGGCGGAGGGCATTTGACATCTCACCCGACTTTGCCAGCCCCAGTAGCCCCCTCCAGCTGAGAGCAGACGCCATGACGGCCGGCCAGAAGGGCGTCACGCGCTCCGACCAATCATCGGAGATGACATTCTGCAACGAACGAAACACTGTTGGTGACCGGGCTGTCTAGAATGAGTCACTTCACAGGATGTTCCGGAAGAAGGAGAATGTTGACGGCGGCTTTCTTGAACTACGACTCAAATCATGTTCGTCAGTCAACAAAAGAGTATGGCGGTAGCGGGTCACTAGGGGCAACTGAGTATTCTAAGAGGGAGAAACAGAGGAATGTCAGGCTGGCCTGCAAGGAACGAGAACGTGTTGGTGGCGGAATAAAGAGATGAGACTTTGAAACTGTGTCAGGCGGGTCTGCAAAAAAGCAATTGAGAGAGTCGGTGGCGTGGGCCAGACAGTTGAGCTTGAAGATCCGTAAGAGCCGAAGAAGGAAGCAGAGGCAAGAAAGAAGAGAATAGGAAGAGCAGGAATACAAACCGCAAAGATCAGTGCAATAAGGGACGTGCTACATCCGCTTGAAAGATTTGCGACCCATCCTGTCCGTCTGAAGTCTATAGCTCTAGTGAGACACGTTCAAAGGGTCAGAAAAAGTCGGCCCAGGAGCCGTACACGAAGCGAAACGACTTTACAAAAACAATCTACTAGCACGTCGGTCGAGGACGTTATGGTCGCACGAACTGCTGACGTCATCCGGCCGTTTCGACCGGGAACAGAAACGACGTCCCCTTCCGGCGTAGCAACAACCGCCCAACGAGAACAAATGACCGAAGAAGAGAAGGCTACCATGGGAGGCGACGTGTCACGGGAGGTGTCGTGGCAAAAAGAGAAGAAGCCGGAATTGAAGGGCCGTTGAGATGAAGCAGCTTTAAGACTTTGCTTCGACCAACAATGCTCGGGTTTCCAGCTTCCATCCTCCGGTCCACGTACATGCAGGTAGTCTTATGTTCTCCAGCTAAAAGGCACACCAAGTCTGTCTTCCAGATTTACGTGATCGATTGAAGCAGTCTCATTGGTTCGAGGGACTGCAGATGCGCTGTCACACCGGTCGACGCCGACGAAAAGTAAGGACAGGTGCGATCAAACTCAGTCCTTTACCTGCAACCCCGCCGCCTTCGCAATTCGGATGTAGTCCGCAGCGGAGCACCAGGCCGGGAGGTAGTACGCATCGCAGATCTTGGCCAAAAGGTCCTGCGCGAAGATAGAACGGATCCCGTTGCTGAGCACACTCTGACGATCATGCATGCTCCGAAACTGCGCTACAGGGTTCGATGACCTCCACGTTCTTGCAACGTGCAAACCATCGGCGGTCTTGCAAAGCTGCATATCTGCTGCTCTGTCGCCTTAGAGAGCACCTGTCGCCTCTGGGACCTCATAACGCAGAGCGACGCTGAAGATCGAAACCTCATCTACTATTCATTTGAAGCGACTGGAGGGGGATCCCTCTGAAACACGTGGCGACTTACCAGCTCGTCCAGTTGGAGCGTCTACATCACGGTTCGATCCGGGCCCGCGGGGCAATCCCTCTGTTCAACTGGAAACTTACCAGCTCGTCCGGCTGGGGGTCGAATTCAAAAATCAGTACGGGCATCAGAAAGGGATCCCTCTGTACTTACCAACTCGTCCGATTGGAGCCCCGTCTCCCCTGGGGCCAGGTCCCGGTGGCACCACGTCACAATGATGATGCGGCCCCCTGGCGCGGCAACACGTATGAGCTCGTTCACGAACTGCGGGGGGCGGAAGACGTCACAGTCAGGACTTATGCAGCGGGTGACGTCAGATGTAGAGAGCAGGCACAGGCTTTCCTTATCATCTGACGCGTATGCTCTCAAAGTTGCGAGGGAACGAAGTGCTGAACTCATGAAATGCGAACGGTAAGAGCGAGCGGCTGAGAATTCTTGACCTGGGAACAAGAGTGCGGAAGGCTGGATCGGCTGAGTGAAGTTGTCCATCAAAGCTATTACTTTCTGCATGAGATGCAAAGGTCCAATCCGCTGGAAGCTGCGGAACGACGGGTGGCCTTTTAACTGGTTTGCACAGGGGTTTTCGCCTCTCACCTTCGTTTTGTCGGGCATGTGTTCCCCACTTTCCATGGACCACACGAGGTCGAACTGTCCGTCGTCGAATGGCTGGTTCAATGCGTCGGCTACCTGGAACGACACCTGCAAAGCGGGCCCAATCGCAAATTAGCCAAGCTGCTAACACGAGGCTTGTTGTCCTCATTTTTGAGCGCCGAGAGACAGTGCTGTTGGACCGAGCTTAAGTCAGCAGGAGAGACCGTTCCCCTATCGAAAAGACTGAGATCCATATTCGAGAGGTTGAGGGCTTGTATTGCGACATTCAAAACGACTCCTGCACGCGTTGAATAAGAGCAGGGGATAAGCGATACTACATGGTTGAAAGAAGTACGTGTTACCATTGGAATTCAGCGGGGGAGAGTCTTGCCATGAAAATGCAAGGTCATGCTCTTTGCAGTCCCGTCCGTCAAGCGAACCGATCCACCTTCCTACCAGCAAGCAAAGGGAGGGGTCGTTACATCGAGAGGGAATACTTAAGGAAGAAATGCGACGTCTGGTCGGAGCTAAGTGGAACAAGAACCGGACATACTGTAACGCGGGCAAAAGGGGCAATCTAGGCAACTAACGGCCTCCAGAGGGGAACTCAACAGAAGCTCTCCTTTCAGAGAGTGTTTCTGCTTTTTCCTGACGACCGAAAAAATTCCCGGTCCTACCCGAGTTCGACAATGCCTGCAACAGCTCGGTTGCAACGTCAGGGTTCCTGATAGAATATTACACAGACGTGAGTGTTAATTCGTGCCGATCCTTGCAAGTCCTTCTTGTCTTTTCTTGAAGCCAGAAGCGAACAGTGGTTCTTACCTTGTCGGCAAGCCCTTGTTGCCGAGCAAGCGCTCCGGCCCTGGCAGCCTGCACCGGGCTCAAGGTGATTCCCGTAACCTTTGCCCCAAACTTCCGCGATAAATAGCGTGAGCTTCCGCCGATGCCGCACCCGACGTCCACGACGGTTTTGGGAGCGGGGGTTCCTGCGCCTGCGAGAGAAAGCAGAGGAGGACTCTTCACTCAGTTCATCACCTCTTGTGATAAAGGGCTTTCCGAACAGCGTAAGCAAATCTTCCACCTGCTGAGACTCCCTCCGCATCTGTGCAGAAGCATTCGGACGTGAACCACATGGTCGCAGTTGAAACTGAAGACAGCGACGGGCCTTCCTCACACATGTATTTTGGACATTGGGAAACCTATCTCATCATCGTTGCATCATTGTTTGAGGCTTGGAAGCTTGGAGATACCAGAGTTGGCAAGTTTCCAAAGAAGTCTCGATAAACATTCATGAATGGTGACTGCCTATGCGCCTGGGTTCTTTCGGAAGGTGCTGCTCGTTTTCCATGTGTCTGACCTCTGTTTGACACACCGATAAGACCAGTAGTTGGAAGAAGGGGCTTAAGGTTGGATACTTGGCGTTGACTGGGTCAGGCTTGATCAATGCCACGATCAGATTCACAAAATTGAGGATCATTGATGTGGCAGCAAAGCAGGTACTCCTAACCCCCAAAAGTGACTGCTCAGCAACCTTACCCCTCCAATCCCCCTCCTTATCCCATCCCCTAGGTCTGATTGTCACCTAACTCTTGATCAAAGTCAGCTTGGCTGCACTTAAAAGGGAGGAGAGACAACGAAAAGGAGAGGCTCGAGGAAAACTGCAGCTTCCAAGGCTCACCTGTTGCACCCGCCCACTTGAGGGTCTCCTCAATCATGTCAATCTGCGCCTCCCTGTGATCCTTCTTCTCTCCTGCACCAGCGCAAAAAAAAGCTTTGAGCAAGACCTTGGGTGCCAACGATGCCAGCATAGCCAAATGGATTACCATCCCCTGCTTCTGTTGCGTTTGACTTTGTGCGACCATCAATCAGCCTTCTCCACAAGGGTACTGCTGTCAGCTTTTGAAACCCAACATGCTCGCATCCTCCTTGAGATCAGGTGGGAAACACCAGTTCTGAGAACTCTCAGTGATCTTCCTTTTGATGCTGGCATTGACTTATGTCAGGATGAGGAAATACCTATCCATGATATCGACCAGGGAGGCACCTCCTTTCGAAAGCACTTTGCTAATTTGTCCGGCAACCTCTAGCTGTGCCGTTTGTAATTCCAGGCGCCGATTGTTGGTTAGTGATCGCAGGAACCCCGGCCAGTGAGATTTGTGTCAAAGTCCAGATTCTACTGAAACAGAGCACACAGAAATTACTGCCTGCTCAATGCCAAAAATCTGAGCAGATGGGCAACCAGGATCAGAAGGACAGAGCAGCCTCGAGCAGCCAGACCAGCTTACCCTTGGGATAGTATCCATGGTGCATGTGCTCGCCCCAGATCTCCTCCCAAACGCCTGACGACTCATCATAGAACCCCGCGATCCCCTCATTCAACTCAGGCACGGTCCTCTCAGGAACCGTGCTCACTGCGCAGATTACCCGTGCTTGCCTGCCGAACGTCAGGCTGCTAGAGGAACCAAAGGAATCCTTAGATCTATGTCGAAATGACTTGGAGACTGGGAGTGGCAGTCTGCACTGAATGCTTTTGGGTTCTAGAGACAGGCTGCTGCAGCTTTCAGTCAGAGAAAGCGGTTGGAAGGAGCTCCTGCACAGGAGGGCTTTTGCTGATGCCATTGACTTTTGCCCACCTGAACAGCAAGCCCTCAGCAAGGTCTGAAAACGGATTCTTCCTCAGACGCTGCAACTGATTCTCGACAACTTTCAGACAAAACTCAATCTGGACAACAAAATGCTGCTGAAGAGAACGGTGACGGATGAAGCACACGAGGGCCCGGGCATGCTGAAAGAATGATGTTTCTTCCACTGCCAGCATGCGCTGGCAGAAACCCCCGCTAACCCCTTGCTAAGTCCCGGGCGGCTCTGCTTCGTCTGTGTGTCTCCTGTAAACGTAATGAACGTTGGTGTTCATCATTGACACCAGACGGGATAAATTGCTCGGGGCAAAGCGTGAGAATGCGCGCGAAAAGGTCCAGGTTCCAACTGTTCAAGCTGCCACCTGGCATCATGGTGCATTAAATGGCCCCAGCTTCCTACCAATGTAAAGCCACGAATGTGTCACGTGGACGGGATACTTCCAAAAAGCTGGGTTCGCCGGCCAATCAAAATGCTTTTCTGGGCAGACGCACACTTCAGCTTTTCAATCAGGTTTCAACTTTCAACTTCAACTTCAAGTCTAGCTCTGCCTGAACTCGAAGGAAACTTGAAAGCTACAGTGGCTAGCCTGCTTTTGCCGAGCTGGGGCGTCTGTTGCTTCCTCGACGCGCAGTCCTCTCAGCCGTGGTTGATCATCAGACACCCTGTACATGCACAGATTGAAAGCTGCACACTTCAGCATCCATATCCTTGCACCCTGAACCCAATTTGCTGGGAGCGTTTATGCCAGTACATCATTCCGGTTCAACCTTCTGAATCGAATGCGATTGTGTGATTCGATTTGTGGCAGCACAAGAAGAAAAAGGTTCTACTCAACCGAGTTTTAGATCAGCCTTTCCGGACCACGCATGGGTGCCCTCACCGCCTGCCATGGGGGCACTCAACCACTCCTTTCTGCAGCGCGGTCTTTGCAAAATTCGTCAAATAGTCCCAGGCAAGCCCTCCCGATCGATGCAAAGCAGCAATCGGTGACTGCTGTGTGGAAATCAGCTGCGATCAGCGATTGCTGTCCGCATGGGAACGGGAGAAGGAGGTTTTTGTCTGGAGATCTAGGAGTGAGGAGCTTTCCGGCGCGGCTGCATGGATCGAAGGAAGCAGGTAAACAGCAGCTTTCCCAGATTTGCGTTTCGTTTGAAGCGAACTCACAGTTTTGTCAGGGGTATTGAGTGCTCTGTTTGGTATGATTGTGTTTTGGTTAAAGTGTGCGCTAAGTTGGAATTTGCACAATTGTCTAGGTCGTTCTTTATGGTGCCGGTGCTTTTTAGTCTGCCAGTGCATGAACAAGAGATGAGGCCTAGAAAGGCAAGACAATGGCTTTCTAGGATTACATTTTCCAATGCTGCATGCATTGCCGTGTTTGCAAGTGTTGAATCACGGAAGCCTTGGTCAACTTGCTGATCTTGACAAATAAATGTATGAGGTGATTGTAAATTGCATGTAGCTTTTGCTGTGAGAAACCGCTTCTCCTGCATTCGTCCACATTAACCAGCAGACTTGTCTGAATGTTGCTAGCTGATCAACTGCGGAGGTTGGATCAAAGCAGAGATTTTATGGAGACAACACACAGGGATGCTTTTCTTGAGACATAGAAACCCATGCACATTGCTGATTTGTCGGGCTGATATCATCGCAATCGCTTCAAAGCTGACGCATTTTGCACATCCTAGCGCTGCCCAGTGGATCCCAAACCTCACAATTTCTCCCATCACTTTTTCTATGTTTGCCAACTCTTCCTCAACCAGAGACTGGCATCTGACAAGTGGTGTCAAGGATAGTGCACAAGACGCACCACCCGGGTTGCCAATGAATATGTTCCGAGGCTTCTCTCTCTCGCTTTATTGTCCGCTCGGAATGCTGCATGCTCATCCGCTCTCCTGGCCTTTCTCACTACTTCCCGACGTGGTTGTACATGTCCTACATCTCAGAAAGTTTCACGAGTTGTTCGCTTGGATTTTGTCGGCAGATGACGCGTCCTCCGGATCAAAGTGCAGCTCATGAGGGGTCCTCTGGATCAGTTCACAACCATGTAGAGGCATCATGTGGATCAGGAAGTTTTGAACTTTTTCGAAGTCAGCCGCCGGAGGAGTATTCCTGATCTGGAGATGAGACGCTGGAGATTCAAACACTTTCTGGTTGATCCCAAATCCTCCACTGACAAGCACTCCAACCTGCAGAGCGCCGCTCTCCCAATGAGCGCCACCGCCAGGGGCCTCGCGCGTCGTCCCTGGCAATCGACGGGGGAGACGATGCTGACGTCAGCGAGAAGCTGGACACTCCCCTGCAAAAGCAGCGGCAGCAGCGGGCCAAGCGGGCGAGAACGGGCGTTGCGCAAGCGACGGCCGGGCACCTCAACGTAGAAGATGGGGAGGCTCTTATCGGGTCCGAGAAGGTGAAGACTCTACTCGTGATCCTCCAGTGGGAATAATAAGCGTTAGGACTAGTAAGCCTTAACCTGAACGTCAACTCTTGGACGAGACTGCTCCATACCCACTTTATCAATAAGGATTACTATCCCTGTTCAGGACTTTACTTTGCTCATACCTTCTTCCCGACATTGAGTCAGGAGAATGAGGAAAGGGAAGGTTGCGATCGCGTCTCAGCAGGTGCGCTCAGAAGTGAGAAACTGCCCATTTTGACCTGAAGTAGTAAGCGGGAAACCAGGAAATGTTGCAGGACTTTCAGCAAGCCTTTTGGGGGCTCATTGATGCCCATTGTACACGCAGGTTGGGCTACAAAGAGCATGGGACGAGGTGACTGCATTCTCGGACGCTCTTGTGCGCTTTGCGAGACCCCATACAATCATTGGCACGGTGAGACGTCGTTTCAAGCTTGGATACTCAACTCTTTTTCAACCCCAAGCGAGTGGAACCCCACCTTCAGAAAGTCCACTGACTGCCTCGGTTTGCGGGGTATCGGGATAGCGGTATTCAGGAGAATGCGGTATGCAGGAGAATGGAGAATTGGAAAAACAAATAAGTCAGTTTTTCCCGAGAAGAGCAAGGTGGCTCGGCAGCAGAGAGACGTCTGATCCATCTGTTCTCAGCTGTTTGTCTCAGTAACAAGCAAGCAGACAACTAGCTCCTTAGCGGGTCGTTTTGGTGTCCTTTGCTCATGCTTCATCCTCGACTCAGATCACCAGGCAACGTGTGAAGCTTCTCGTTGCCTGGGAGGGCCATTCGCAAGAGTCACCGCTAGACAATTTCACAATGGGATTGGGTCCTGTTGGACTGTGCTCATTGTGTGGAAGGAACAGGAACCAGAATCCGAAGATTTTCGCAGAGCCATCCTTGCTGGGTGAATGGACGAGCCCAATGTCAAGGATCTAGCTTGTTCAAGCACTCTCGAGAATGACATCAGAGAAGTTGATACGGAAAAGGGCAACTTATCAAGTCCCTAGTAAATATGGTAGTCTGCAACTTGCCTACGAGGTACTAACTATGCCCGATCAATGGTAACAAGCAAAGTCCTGCATCGAAGCAAAGAGTGCACTACATCCCAACCTCGAGAAGCATCGAGTTGACACCCTTTGCCTGTTGCCCCAGTCTCTCAGCATCGTCTCGGTGTCCCTGCTCGCGATGACCAGTCCCGCCGACTTCAGTCACAAGGCATTCATCGGAATTCTACAGGTACGCCCGAGGCTTTCAAAAGATACCGAGTACTGTAGATTTCTGTGTTGATCTTTGAGTATCAGGATGAAAACGTACAGCTTCCTTCGGCTCGTTCAGCGCTGTTTATGTTTATGATAGAACTTCGAAGCTGCTGCGGACTTGTCGGCTGGTTGATAACACCCATCTCAGTGAGAGCTTCGATCGTTGCCTCTTTTCGCTTTTCTACCCCGTCTGTACTTCGAGGGTTGGAATCTGCTATCATCCAGGGGTACACGGGAGGTCAAGTGATGTAGAACAGGTTGTGGTAAATGATAGAAAGTTCCAAAAGCTCGTATGTAAACGTGCAATCGATTTTTTCGCTGTTACAGCGGCTTACTTTTTGTATGAGTCGGGACTTGAGAACGATGCATGGTCAGGAAGCGAGCAATATTAGGCCACGATCGACAAAGTGCTTCTAAGTTCGGCGTTCTGAAAGGATACAAGAAAGAAGCACGCGACTGCAAGCCGTCGAGTGTCAGCACAGGCCCCAATCGATCAGTGGTATCACTTCCGATATGCATTTTGCCTGTCGCGGTTGCTTCTACAAACACCGATCTAGTCTACCCTCATTGAAGATCCTACAACGCCTGTTGCTCTCCTCTTCTGGGGCTGACTTGCTGATTTACCTTGTGTTCGTTCTGACGTTTCTTTTACCCATGTCTCCAGGCTCTCATTCCGGCCCTGCAAGCGAATGTGGCGATCGTGGGGCTCAACCAAGTCTACGATATCGAGATCGATAAGGTGGGTGCAATTCCTGGAAAGAAGCTTGACCCTAGATCTTCTGAGGTCTTGACGTGTTGGTCGATGACCATTACCTGTAAGGCTCCCTCGTTCCTGTGGTTATAACTCTTGGAAGAGAGGTCATCACGAAGGAGGGATTGGATAGGGATCCTATTGTGTTTCATGTTACGAACGTCTATCGTACAATCCTGGGTCTTAGACTGCCTCCTCTGGGACCGGTTCTTAAGGTGAAACCTTCCAACGCGCCCCTTATCACGCGATGAGTGGGTTTCCTTTCTTACTCGTTTGACGGTTTGACCTGCCAACGGAGCCCTCAGGACTATGGATAACATTGACATTTGTTTCCAGCATGGGCTTGTCGCATTTGATAGGCCTTTGGTAGAAGTCTCGAGGGGTGTGCTCCTTCGAGGTGGACTTCTCAGATGATTTCTTCCTGAATTGTTGGCACCCACTCCGGATGTCCGCACACTCGCTCGCGTACATAATGCGCACCGTACAGCTGAGAAGCGTCCAACAACCGTCGACGAATATATTTACATGTTTTCAATCGAGTTTCTCGGTCTTGTGGCGATCTCGCACGTCGGAAGTAGCTCCAAACCGCTTCATCACGCTCTTTTGTCGCGCAGATCAACAAGCCGACGCTCCCGCTCGCGTCCGGCGAATTTTCAGTGGCGCAGGGCGTGGGCCTGGTCGCCGCATCCGCTATCGCGAGTCTGCTCATTGGGCTGGCAGTCGGGTCTCAGCCGCTGCTCTGGACGCTCTCGCTGAGCCTGCTGCTCGGCTTTGCATACTCGACCGACGTGAGTGTGATGTGGTTGTCTTCTTTAAGAAACCGCCGGAGTGATCTGCAGTCAGAGGGCCGGGGATCTGGGTTTGAAGAACCACGTCATTGCGTGGATAAGTCAGGAACGTACGCATGCAAGTTTTGCCTAAGAATAGCGTGAGATTTGGTGAGCGTGATATTTGATGCTCTAGGAAGAGGGACTGCAAGAGCGTTGCGGGGGCGCAATCTTTGCAGAATTTCGTTCACGTTTTTCTGGGCTGCGGCCGGACTTGCCTCGCTCGAAGGCGGCTCCGGTTCGGTTCGACTTTACGAGAACAGCGAACGACTTGTCTTGGTTCACTTTCTGCGTCAGTTAGCTTGTTAGCAATTCTGCAAAATGAGATGCGACTCCTGAAAGGTCACTTACTTAAGAACTTGCTGGGCCGTTCTAATCAGGTACCTGTCGGGGTTCTAAAACTGAGCAGAGTTTCTGGTATGCTGGTGCGCCAGTGAACTCAGAGAAGAATTTGCTCAGTCGGTCTCTTTTGGCACACCTCAGTTTTGCTTACCGACCTGGATTACTAGAGGCCTTTTTCCACCGAGTATCAATTCTCTGAACTGCGAAACAGACGAGTACATTCACCATTCATCAGACTGCTGCTGAGGTCTGCGTACCGTAATGAAAGCGAGTGCGCGGATCTGGTCTTCCTTGTGATCCGCCTTTCAAAGCTCTTTCGCCATAGTTGTACGACGAGACCTGAACTATCTCAGGTCCTCGTCGGATTATGAGAAACTGAAGTTGAGCTCAGACCTTCTAAACTTTTGAAGGCCGCTTTTAGCATATTATGCATATTGAGTCGTCGTGTTTCGGGTGCAGCTCCCCTTCTTGCGGTGGAAGAAGTACCCCATCCTCGCTGCCGGGTGCATCTTCGCGGTCCGAGCGGTCCTCGTCCAAATCGGGTTCTACCTCCACATGCAGGTAACCATGCCCAAACCGTGGTCTAACCCGGCCTTTAGTTAAGCCAGTTGACTACGATTAACAAACGTACCAGTTAAGCATGGAAACCAAGTGGTCAAGCAAGCCTGCGAATTATGAAACTTGCGCTCTCGGCTCGTTTGTAGGTTGCAATCAGCGTGAGTCTACGTTGACAAGAGCAGGTGACCAGGCCGTAACCCAAGGGTGACTGCTCTCTAACCATACTCGTCCGACTAGTCGTTAGTGACGCTGCTTCCAAGGGGCTATGAGTCTCCTGGGGAGGTCAGGGGCCCAACTTCGTCGTGCACAGAGTCTTCTTTGACCGTTTTCCATTGTGCGCTAAGCACGCTTTGCACTGCTCTGATTTGCACAGCTTTCTCCCATTCCGGCCCCATCCCTTTCTTTCGACCTTCAAATAATGCACCAAAAGGTTTCTTAACAAGGTTTGATGACTGGAGCGCATGAGTCGCTTACACAAGTATGTTTACTCAACCCAAGCGAGAGCGCACGACTTGTGTATTCGTGGTATGACTTGTTTGAGACGGCCTCTCAAAGCTGCGAGAACGTACTCTCAATCACAAGGTTCATCAGAAGGGCAAAAATGACAGGCGTGTTCCCCGTCCGATTCTCGCCTGCTAAGCTTTGTCGATGGCAAAAGGTCGTAGATTGCGGGAGGTGGGCAGTCAAGCGACCTGTCTACGAGCCCGGTTCCACCCTCTTCCATTTTAAGGCTTGCGGAACAACTAGAGACGGGACAAAAGTTGGTCGTCTGTCCAGGTGTCCGTCCTCAAGCGCACTGCGGTGCTGAGTCGGCCCGTCCTCTTCGGCACCGCCTTCATGAGCGTATTCTCCCTCGTCATCGCCTTCTGCAAGGTGAGGAGTCGGAGGCAGTGTGAATGGCCCCCAGAATATTAGTGCGCCATGTGTGTTGTGGCGAGCCAGTAGCTGTTCCTTGGAAGTCTCCACATGTCAGCTTCTCAGACTTGGGTTAGAACAATATTGCGATATTGCACCAGAGGTAAACAGCCTTTAGTGGCATTCGGGACTGGCTGGTCGCATCTGCGCCTGGATTGCAAAAGCGTCCCTGTGACGTTAAACGCAAAGAGAGCAAAGAGGAAGCTGAAAGCGAAGCTTCTCTGCGTTTACAGAAATCTGTGCACCTTTTGAGTTTGGGGTTTTTCTTGCCCTTGCGGGATTTCAGGATGCAGTACAGGAACTCAGAAATTTCTGCAGCATACGATTGTAGCTAAGCGAATTGTCCGTTGTTACAGGACATTCCTGATCTAGAGGGCGACCGGCAATTCAACATTCAGTCCTTTACCGTGCGGATGGGGCAGCAAAAGGTAATGGCGCGCTCGCTTTTCCCTCTCTTCGAGATCCATGGCTCTCTGCTGGGATATTTCCGGTGTCAGCTTATGCTGCGTGTGCTGCTTTTCTGCTTTTCTCTTCTGCGCTGTTGCGCACCAACATGGTAAATCGCAAAACGCGAGACTTCGAAGATTCAACCACTTCTGTCTTGTTCCTCGTCGACGAGCGGCTCTCGGCGGTTCATTCTTGGATGCGTGCTTTCCGAAGGAGTCGAGGTTTAGAATGGGCTTGCCAACTTGTCCTTCTGCATTGGAGCACGAGTTAATTGAGCATAAAACCCCCACAATCATTTATCCGACCCGCTTGAGTCGTTCCGGTGGAAACAATATCTGCCCCAAATCGGGGTGCGAGCTTCCTTGATAAGACTCCGCTACCGCAGTCCCTAAACGAGATGTTTCATAGAAAGCGGATAGGCACAGGGGATTGGGATTGTTTCAAGTTACAACCGACTGGCGCCTATTTCTAAAATGATCTCTTCCCTCGTCCTTTCCCCCCAGATGTTTTGGATCTGCGTCAGCCTTCTGGGCGCTGCATACGTGGGCGCAATCGGAGTGGGCTTCACGTGCTCCCGGCTGTGGAGCAAGGTGGTGACAGTTGGCGCGCATGCGGCGCTTGGGGGCATCCTGTGGCATAGGGCCCGCCACGTGGACTTCGCCAAGAAGGCGTCCATTGTCGGCTTCTACATGTTTGTGTGGAAGGTAGGCCGTTCTCGTCTCTAGTTCCGTCCTTTGCCAGTTCTTCCTCCGGTCCCATTTATTCTTCTCTCTTTGTTTTTGCCTGTCATTCGGTCTGTCCGAGCCGTCGCTTGTCCAGCTTGGCTCGATCCACATTATCCGTCGACTTTTGCTTCCGTCAGCCGTTCTCACTTTTGTTTCCCGCTCCGGCCTTTCGTTCTGCTCGGTCCATCTTTCCCTCTCTTCTGTGGTCGTTCGTTAGCTCTGATTGTGCTTCTTTCGCGGGGCGTACTCTTCCCCCAACCATGCTTTCCAATAACCGTAAGCCCTTCGTGCGCTTCTTTGGCCGTTCTCGCGCCTGACACTTCACCACTTGGTTACAGTCTTTCCGATGACATCGGACTTGCTCCTTCTTGCTGTACCCGCCTTCGTCATATCCTGATGAAAGGCCGTCCTTTGTCCTACAAAGGTTTGTGTGTTGGTCAGTACTTTTACTGACGCTACTCTCCCAACTGCAGTTATTCTATGCGGAGTACTTCCTGCTACCTTTTGTTCGATGATCGACGGACACAGTGTACAGCGTTGAGGCGGTCTCTCTAGTTTCGAATCGAAACAATTCTTTCCTGTCAAAATTGGAAAGTTAGCCTTAGTAGATTCCCGAGCGAGTCTAGAAATAAAGCACGGTCGCAGCAAGCCAAGGGTCTCGGCAGAAACTGCGACCTGCGCTAGTTTTAAGACAGTGCAGGCATGTAGGGACACTCGCATTGGAACATTGAGACTGACGACTCAAACCTTTTGGATAGAAGGTTGCTTGAGCATAAGCAACGACGCTGCAACATTGCATCCATCATTGCATAGAGCTTTGGACATCTCGAGTGGGTCGCTAGGAAAGAGACGGAGGTATACTGAATCTACAAAATGACGTGGCGTTGAACTTGATCAATGATGACCTCGTCAGGTCGCATCACCAGCCAGGCTTGAAGTCCACGCATCCAGAGTGGGAGACTTGCAAGTGGTCGGGTGAACTGGCCTCTCGCATTACGATGAAAGAGGCACCGGAGCGTCGAAAGTGTACGATCGTCGGGCGTCTAGGCGGGGCGGCCGTCACACCTTGCACTGCTGCAGATCCTAGGCTGATGGACTTCTGCACTGTGACCCGCTTAATCATTCGCGATGATTCGGGCTTTTGTCCCATATACTACCTGTCAACCCCACATGTATATCATACTACAAGCGAAACGCGTGTGAAAGCTAGCATGCAGTCACGTCATTAGACTTCTGGCCCCGCAGGAAGCAATGGTGATCATGCGATAGAGATTCCATGTACATTGCATTATGCACACTGACAACACATATTGCAGTGCCGGCCTTGCGGTCACCATGATTGCATGCCGGCGGCGGCCAGTGTGAATAATGCATTGGGCCGGGGTACAATACAAGATGACTGGCATCCGTGATTTTGTGCATTCTGAAAAGTGAACAATTGCCTTGTTGCCGCTTGAAGCTTACTAAGGGTTGTCATCACACGGGGAACACACGGACTCTGGTTCAGTGAGTTTGTCCGGTCATGCAGATGAACTACCGTACTGCTATGAGCTCAGGCTAGGAGGGCGGCCAGCTTAGCTCGTGGAGCTCATTTGTCAATCAAGATCCGCCGCATTGGCCGCTGCCATCGACGGTTATAGTGCTTGAATTGCTTGAGGGCATTTGGACCGTCGATTTTTGCTTATAAGTAACTTGCAGTATCGACGGATTACAAACCGTCCAACATGCCTGGGCCTTGGACGGTTATGGACTTTTCCGAGGAAAAAACAGGCGGAATCAGAGAACCGGGCGTACTTCCAACCAGAACGACCCAGAAGCAAGTCAAATCGACCAGCCGGTGACTATCTACCGAGGCGCTATCCAGGTATCAAAGCTCGCAGGCTCCTATTATCTTGTAATATCTGCGATTCACTTTATCAAATGCTGGCGTCTGATTGGCTGAAAGCCAGATTCGCCTCTCGGTACGTCGCCCGCTTGCGGGCCCAGGCGCGGCCACGACCATGATCAGAGAATCTGATTCAGCCACTTCGATAGGCTTGCCGGTGCCCGCGCCACAGAAAAGCCGCAGTTTGGATTGGCTGAAACTTCTGAAAGTGTGGGGTGGGAAATTTGCAAATAATCAGAGTATACGAAATCTTCAATCCAAGCAAAAAGGAAGCGCTCCCTACACTAGATTGCACATTCTGCTGGTGCGCTCGCGCAGGACATCGTGTGCCGCGGATTCGCCTTCCTCATGGCGCATGTGACCGCCTATGTCTTTCTGAAGCAACAGCTGACTCCTGCTGGTTTGAGCAGCCCTGTCGCGAGAAGCGTGCTGGTTGCTGATTTATGCTGAGGGGAACACTTCGGAAGGAAAGGATCTCTGTAGGGTGGACAGGTAGAGCGACGTTGATGTTCGAGGCTTGAAGGCTGGCAAAGGACAAGGAAACAGGTGTGCATTTGAGATCGCTCATGCTGCGTTGATGGAAACAGGTTGAACAGGCGGAACAGCAGGCTAGTATGATGGTAGGAGCGGCAGTAAGCGTTGAGGGTTTGGCAAAGGGTCCTATTGGGGGACTGCATGCACGGGCGAGCTGCCGGGCCTTGACCGATCCTTCTAGCCATGGGGTGGCTGTGAGGGCTCTTGTGAAGAGCGTGAGACCAGTAGGAAGGAAGGCGCGCAAGCAGGGTACAGTCAGCTTAGGAGAGTTTGCAGGGCAGAGGGTTCCACTAGACAGGGAGAGCGGCAAGCGATCGGCTGTACAATGTGTGCATATATCACCTAGGCAGTCACGGAATGGGCCGGACGATGGGGGGTGGGAGGAGCTCTTTCAGGTCCCGGACCCAAGAGAGCAGGGTGGCAGGCTCAAGAATAACTGGGATGTCGTGCTGAATGACGTGCGATACCTGGACTGGCGGGCGAGGCAGGACGTGTATGCAATAAAAGCAGCTCATGACAAGGTCAGCAGGTTTTTGTTGTCATATGCCTTTGCAGAAGGTATGCTTCTCTAGAGGGTGTGCTGACTTTTTTATCGCGCCTGGTTTTGGCATATGGCATGTCATGTCAGCCATGTAGACTCCGTTGAACTCGGAGCTTGGCTTGTAGCACATTTGTATCTTTCAGCTGTTGCTGGCTTTCCTGCCTGCCTTGTCTGCCCTCATTACATCTGCACATATCCTCTGGTTTACAAACAGAAGGTTGGTTTGACGCAATGGGGTTTGCGCTTGTAAGAGAGATACTGGGCCAGCTAATTCAAGTGCGGGTGGAGCGACTCTGGCCAATTCACTAAGATAGGAAGCCAGAGTGCCATGGACGGCAGCATGTGGCTCCCAACAGAGCATTAATTAGATCGAATCTTGCACTCCCCTGCGCATGCACTGCAGATTGAAGCCTTGAAAACATGCGCCGACACTTCAATGTCTGAGCTGCACATGTCAAAGCTGAACTCAAAGTAACGCCAGCTCCCTTAGTAGAAGCGGATCCCAATTGTGGTCTCTGGCATGCGGTATCCGCCTGTTGGTATTCACCTTCCCGCCTGGAATTTTGTGATGGAAGTTGCTTGGAAGTGCACAATGCTGGTAGACAAATGCATCACTACAAAGTATCCTGAAATCTTACAAGTTTGGCAAAGGACACAGATCTGGCTCAGTGCTAGCTCCTTGGGCATGTCAATGTGCGGGGTCTGATGCCAACCGCTTTTGATTGATGAATAGTTGATTATAGGCTTTCAAGAGTTGTTGCCAGCTCCACAGGAGCTGGAAACCTACTACCTACATGGTGACCCGACGCTTGGGGTCTGAATGTGAGAAGACTGCCCTGTACTTTAAGCACATAGGTCACTCTTACGTGGCTTGGAGCTCGCTTGGGATCAGACAGAACCGACGTGCCTCAGTTCCTTGCCAAACCAATGGTTAATGGTTGAAAATGGAGTAGAAAAAGCCAACCTGTGAGAGATGCTGCCCTGGATCGTGGCACTCCTCTTGAGCTACCTTCCGGCAATGAGTCAACCAAGCTCCCTCAGCTTTCTTGTGGGAGGGTACACTCCGATGTCTGAGGGGGATTTGGTCCGTTGGTTTTCACAAGCATAGGGATTAGAGCAAATCATTGCACCTTGGGACACATGGACTATTTTATGAAAAGCGAATTGGCCCCACTCTGCAGGTGGTAGAGACACTCAACCCGGTCGCTCGTGAGCACAAGTCGGTGTCAACTCTGAAGAACCAGCTTGCTGCGCTGCAAGATGAGCTGTCAAAGGCCCATGCACAGGTGAGGAGACAAGCGTTGGGAAAATGTCAAAGGTTGTAAACTGCAAACCGATTCTGCCTGCACTGGCCCAACAGCTTATAGGAGCTGGTTCGGGGAGTCTGTGCAGAGTGTGTGGGCCAAGATTGACGCAGAGCACAAGATGGCTTATCTCGTCTGCTGAGCATGGGTTTAACAGTACCCGCGCAGATTGGTGTGTGTCCAAGATTCAACAACCCTTGCATCCGAACTGGGCCAATCCTTGGGGGCATTGTTCTATTGAGCATGGGGGCTTGGGTTTCACTTGATTCACTGGTTGCAGAGAGAGGGTACCATTTCTGAGGTTCCCTACTCATGATAGAAGAGTCGGCGTCGGACCGATTTCATAATCTGCATTTGCGGCTGTTGTTGCAGCTGAACATTAACGCCTCTTGCCGTGCTCAGAATTGCAGCTGTATTCAGAGCATAGTGATGACATGTCAGCACAAATTGCATGATATTGCCACATTGTTGTGTGCGTGAGGGCTTTCTTATTGAGAGCAAGCAATTCGCCCGTCCAGACCAGGTTATCGTTCCATTTGCTGGGGCTAGGACTTGCTTTAGGTGAGTGCATCTGGCACAGTTGAAAGCTAGGTCATTGACGCTTGGCAGTGAGATTAACCAGATTTGGGAGGAAGGTTAATACTAACCTGGGTTTTTTGTTGGTGCCAGCTACATGTATCGGAGGCGAGGGTCGAGCACACCCTTAGCAAACTCACGGATATGGAGGACAAGCTGATGGAGACGTTGCCCCCCCAGCAGCGGTCACAGGCGCAGACGCAAGAGCTGCCCCGCACGCAACCGGAGGCTAGGGAGATTGCAGAGGAGGTTCAGCAGGAGGTGCGCTCGGGAAGCTTTTGTCACTGTCGGCTTTTGACAACCGTTTCAGCCCGAGTCTTCGGACTGAAAAGATGCCGAGTGAATTGAGAAATATGTACGCATATGTCTGGTGATGGAACTGCGGTTTGAGCTGATTTGTCGCTGCCCGCCGTCGACATCTCGTCTGATCCATGCAGGGTCGGACTGGCGGTTAGCAGCTGATGGCTGCTTGGAATTCAGATGCGGACCATAGGCGCCACGAACTAGATGTCTTTGACATGGACTGGAGTGCAGCCTTTTCTTACTCAGATCCACCTGGAGGCAAATCCTTATGGCCTCATGCAGGACTATGGATGCAGGACCATGTCAATCAGAGTATAGCGAAGTTTGCAAGGCAACTGACTACTATTGGTCGGCCAACTCACGCCTCGCTTTTTGTCGGAGCAGGTGGCTCGGCGGCAACGGCGAGCAGGGCAGAAGAGTTTTCTCGATGTGTCGGGAAAGCCGAAGGTTTCCCCAGCGCTGAAAAACTTCTGGTACCCGGTGGCTTTCTCTGAGAATGTGGACAGTAAGACCATGGTGAGCTCGTCACACCAGAGGCGGATATGTGGCGGTAGAAAACCTTATCGCCTTGGAGAGTTGCAGGCCTCATCTTTTTGAATTCTGCGTCATGTACATTCATGTCGACAGATTTTGGCAAGAAGCATGCAGCGCCTCTGCATCTGGGGCCAAGGCCGAGCAAAGAGCCCCTTTCTTATACAGTACGGACGTAGAGCTCAACAAAACTCGCCTTTTCCTTATGATCACTTTTCTCAGCAGCCTTTGTTTGTCCATTTACAGGTACCAATAGACTGTTTCAACGAGCCTTGGGTCATCTTCCGAGATCAGGACGGAAAAGCGGGGTGTATCAGGGATGAATGCGCGCACCGAGCCTGCCCCCTGTCCTTGGGGGCGCTCGTAGATGGGAAAGTGCAATGTCCATACCATGGTGAGGAGGCTTCTACGAATCTTTCGTTTGGAATGATGCTGTCTCGGTTGTGGATCAGGTTCCCATCGTTTTGCTGCAAGGTTGGTCATCGTAGTGGCCCCCTTTGTGAGTATCAAAAGTTTGATCAAAGGTTGGATTTGTTCCGTGTTATTTTTCCTGGGACTGTTAAAGCAACCTCTAATCTGTCCGCTGCGTGGTTGACCTGCACTTTCCCAATGGAAGCCCCGAAGAGTCCTGAAGTCAAAGAACCGACTCAGAACCCTCTATAACCAAATTCCTGACCCTGTTCTGGAACCCTTTCTGCAGGTTGGGAGTACACCACTTCCGGCGAGTGCACCCACATGCCCTCCACAGTCCAGGCCCCCACCTCTGTCCGCGCCCTCCCTTGCGTTGAGCAAGACGGCATGATCTGGATCTGGCCCGGGGACAAAGTGCCGGAGGCCACCCTCCCTGACCTGAGCCCCCCTTCTGGTTACACCATCCATGCACAGGTAAGGGTTTCTCCCGTTTCTCTCTCGCAATCATTCTTGTTCATGCTTTGACGAGTTGTGTCATTGTTACATGTGGAAAAGGTGTGGGCAGGTATTGATGTGCTCCTTGCTCCTTTGAAAGGAAGGTGCGAACAGCCCCTCGGAGCATTCTGCCGACCATGTTCTGAAAAGCCGTTTCCTGTGCAAGAGCATACCCCAAGTCCTTGCTGGTATGTGTTTGCAATATGACAGCAAAGTCGTCCACACAATGCGAAAAGCCATAAAGACCCGCTCGCCACTGTCCCATCCGAAGCAGGTTTGCAGTACTCTGCGCTTGTTCAATCCCTGAGAACAGCTACTGACGTCAGCCTGCTGTTGTGATTGCAGATCACTCTAGAGGTCCCCGTTGAGCACGGCTTGCTCGTGGAGAACCTGCTGGACCTGGCGCACGCCCCCTTCACCCACACCACCACTTTCGCCAAGGGCTGGCCAGTGCCCAAGTAAGTGCAAACCCCTTGCCGAATTCCAGACTCGGACAAGATGGACCGTCTCAGATGTGCTGTTGAAGTTCGTTTCGATTGGTATATCCCAACCTGGACGATTCAAACCGATCTTCAAACTGGGTGTTTATTCGAAAGTCTTCTTTGATTACATACGTTGACCTTGGTTCTTATGTAACGCCCGCTTAAGGCCTGCATAACTTCTGTTGATAGTGTGACAGTCTGGTCCTCAGATGGGGTAATTCGTTGACTGGCCCTAGATAAAGGAAGGACCAGTATCGCAAACAAAGCGCGCTGAGAGAAGGATTGTAATGCAAGTACGGCTCTTCCCAAACGGTGAACCGATTGCTCCGGGGGTCTCAAGGTTCTTGGATCGCTCAGATTGCCATTTGTCTGAGAGGCCGAGTTTGAGAGGCCGAGTTTATTGCTGTTCAACCAGACAGGGAGAGTTACAACCCCTCCAACTGTGCTAACTTTCTGTCGTGCCTCCTCTTCTGACTGCAGTTCCGTCAAATTCAAGACCGCTGCCGCTGCCGCTTTGAGCGGTTTCTGGGACCCCTATCCGATCGACATGGAGTTCCGCCCCCCCTGCATGGTGTTCTCCACTATTGGGCTCTCGCAGCCTGGGAAGCTCTCCGGCACTAACACGAAAGTGAGCCACAGTCCTGTGTGCTCGAATTTGAAAGTACCGTACTGCTATTTGATTTCGGCAACTTCGACGCCGAAAAATTAATTATGAAACTTTCTATCTTTTCGGCAGACCTAGAGTTACCTGCTAAAACATACCATTATCGACCATTATCGCTCCAAAACATTTCTCGGCGGAATTCGGCAGGGCACATAATTATTTAATTTTTGCCGAAATTACGTAGCAGTACGGTACTTGCCTTTCGCGGTTTTTCTGGCAGGTCTACGGGTCTTGGTGCCATCATTGAGTTGTAGACCCAAAAAAGATTTGAGTACCTTCATCTCATAAGGGGTTAATCGTTCGATATCAGGCGTTGACGAACAGGTGATGTTTGGTTGTTTTAATGAGGGGATCCAGATTTTATGCAAGGGAAGGCTCCTATCTCGGTTCATGCAGTTTTGTTGTGCGCCAAGGCTGGTGTAGACTGCAATTGTGTTTCCCGAACTACAAGTCCGCACATCCATGCTAAAACCGACTTCTTCTTTCTGAAGCAAAATGCCTCGTCTGTTACAAATAACTCAGATCACCAACCGAGGTCCTTCGTATACATCCTTATTGACACCGCCTCCCCTTGCAGGACTGCCCTAACCACTTGCACCAACTCCATGTGTGTGTACCGTCCAAGACGGGCACGACCCGGCTACTGTACCGCATGTCGCTCGACTTTGCCTGGTGGGCGAAGTACGTGCCCTTCATCCACAAGCTGTGGGAGTACATGGCCAACCAGGTGAGCACACACTTTTATTGGTTTCAGGGGGCCGTCTACCCCATGTGGCTTGGAGCGATATCCGTGCATCGACTGCCCGTCGCTTGAACACCGGCCTACATGGCTATCGGGAGGGACTGCGGAAGTTGAATCCCGGGCATCGAGTCTCCGTGTGGGACATGTCCCATGACGTCCTTCCAAACAGAAACGTACTTTGAGTAGCTTGGTTTTGGAGGCGCATGGGGTGCAGGGATTTTGCTCTTTGGCGTAGTACCGTGCCCTTAATAAGCTGGTAAATCGACCCAATGCTGTGAGCACGGGCTTCCGGTTTTTGGTCTGAGCAGGTTGACGGTCAATCCCTGTTATTGCTCTTGGACCAGACAGTAATCCAAACGTTTAGAGTCGTCAACTGCGACTCGACTTGAACTTTGTTCTGTCTGTTCTCGACTGGTTGCATTCATCCATTCTTCTAGTGTCAGCTGTTGTCTTTATTCTTGATTGCTTCACAAAGTCGGCCATTTTGTTAGAGTGCTGACCACTTGCTACTCAACTGCAGGTGTTATCGGAGGACCTCCGGTTGGTAGAGGGCCAGCAGGACCGGATGATTCGAGGGGCAAACGTGTGGAACCATCCAGTTGCTTATGATAAGCTGGGGGTACGCTACCGGCGGTGGAGGCAACAGCAGGAGGATAGCACCAGCCGATCAGAGCATAGCCAGATTGAGGACGATTTTGATTGAACAGAGAACGCCATGCATAGGTCTAGGAAACCATTATTGATTTGTGGTGATAACAAGAGCTCGCTTATCACCCTGTAGAAATGTAGCTCGAAAGACCAAAATCTGGCAGTGTTTGTATTTGAGAGCCAATAAAGTCCTTCAGCCATTAAGCGGCCAGCCAATCTCCACCTGCGCACCCCAATATAATTCCCACTCCATGTGTGCAAAAGGCCTCAGGATACGGTATAACATGCACCTCTTTTAGTAGGGGCGGCCTTGGAGACCCTTTGAATTTATGCCATAATGTTCAGATCGACCGTAGTTGGTCGGATTTGATGCACCGCGGCTTGATGTGTTGTGCAATATGCTAGGACTCGCTCATGTTGCGTGTAAGCTGGTTTGCCCGCGCGGCCCAGGGCCACTCGACGCGGCAACAAGTAGTCACGGGACATATATACTAAATCTGCATCCAGTAAACTTTTATACGAATCATGGCACTGAGAGCCGGAAGCACTATCATTACTCGCGCTTTCCGAAAGTCCCAAGCTGAAGCTAACAGCAAGAATCATGAAACGAGTGAAGTTAGTTAGTCGTTGAGTCGAGGCGGCTCGAGCTGGCCGTTGTATGCATGCAGTGCGAGCAAGAACATAATAGTTGACGACCAAAGTTTAAGATTTGTCGCCAATTTCTGACGGTTGCGTACATATCTGATGCTTGAGCTGGAGCTCGGTCAGTCGCACTGCATGTCACCAATGTGTTGGAATGTATAGGTCTCAAGACCAATCAACATAGAGGTCATGGAGTTGATGCATTTAATTCGATGAAGCCCGAACTCCGGAATTATTGCTTGTTTCTGCGCCATGGGCCCATGGGTGCCTAAGCCTGCGTGTATAGAAAGAAGTGACTGCATGCAACAATTGGCCCTTGAAAGACTAAGCTTGGCCATTGGCCACATGGTCGGACCTAGCCCGCTGCGGCCAAGAGGTTAGGCGCAACCCACATGCATGCATGTACGAATACCCCATATATCCAAGTGCCGGTACCACGCAACTTTCGGCGTGCCAATTAACCACAATCTCATGCGCCACAGGCTGTTGCAATAAGATGTACTATACCCCATCCACCGGATTATACTAATCAATTATTGTCTAAGATAGTCCCTAACGCAATCAACAACACAATTTCGTCAACATGAAGCTGTCCTTCTAAAACCTTCTACTAAGGACGCAATCCACACTAGTCCGTCAAACAGCTATACCTCTGGACGCTCACTCTCGAACACCCTGCAAACTGTCGTCGCTAACCGCGCCTACTCTGTTCACTTCCAAGCATCACCTTTTCAATGGATCGAAGGAACCCAAACCGGTCGAGCGGCGACTTTCTACAGATTGAAACAAACGCCTCAAATCTTGGGCTCAACACTTAAGCTGCATCAATTCTCGCTTACCGTACTACAGTCTTTCCTAACTACCTATGTACCACGTTTAAATCAACGTATCTGAGCTGCCATGTCAGGACGTTCACGTGTTCGCACCTTTGTCAATTTCCTCGACGACTGGAACGTAAGCCACGGGAACGTAGACCTCTCGCAATTCCTTATGCGGCCAGCTTGTCCGCACCATTCGGACAGAGCATTCTGTCCGTTCAACCCTGCAACCAAAGAAAGCAGGCATTACTTGAGCTTGTCACAACCGGTTCATGCCAAACGGCTCCGGACTGCAAGAACCAGCTCCTGTTCTTAGCAAACCGGCCTCGAACCGGGGCCAGCTCCGGTTCGTCCGCCACTTTTCCGGAGCGGAACGCCCCGGTTCGTCCCCGGTTCCCCTCCGGTTTGAAGCCAAGGCGCCCTGTGAAGACTGACAGAGTTTACAACCCTAATCGGTGATTCCTAGGATACACAGCATTCTGTCAAGAATAACCGCCAAGTTGACCCCATTTCAATTCAAGCTGGTGGCAGAACTACGTCTGAGCCGTTAGATCACCCTTTGCAATTATCGCACATCGCACATTCTGCCGCCAGGTTTGACGGATCACGCAGCAGTGAACAAGCGGTCAAACTGAAAGTCCAGGTTCGATACAATATCCTTGCGAAAGAATCCCAGGCCGCCACTGGTTTTCAAATTAAATTTCAAACTGAGGACTGGTTACCATGGGGGAATCACAGGAGATCCTTCTGAAACCAGGTGTTAAGGTCCAACGAATTTTTCGGTTCTGAAAGAGAGCATCTTCCCACGTGCGTCCCTGGCGACACGCAGCTTTTGGAGCGACGAAACGGATCAATGACTGTCGCCGCCGTTTGCAAGCACGTGCCAATGTGAGCGACAATCAAAACGGAGCCTCCGCTACGTGGTCGCCTACGGACTAGCTTCCCAGACACCCTCTTACTAGGGTTCGGTATAACCCGGCCGCCTGACCAAGACTGACTTGACCCGAACGTTACATTTGGTCCAATTCGCAAAGCGTGTCGCGACAGAAACGTGTGCTGCATCCAGCTCATGGACAAGTCCAGGATTTCTGGAAATGGATGCACCCTATCAGAACAGCACACGTTCTGCGTACTGGGTTACGTTTCGGAATTGGCTCATGCAATTCAGCTCGGGTCACGCGGCGCAGGTTTAGAAAAACTGAGGGTGAGAACGAAGTCCCGGTCTGCTAAAGATGCCCCGCCACCTCAACCAAGGTGTGACACACTGTTGAAGGAGATGTGAAATCGGCGGGGTTAGCCGTAAAAGCACAGCCCAACTCCGAGAAACGCCTGGAGGAAGCAAAACATTCGGTGCTCAAACTGACTACGTATCCATGACTTTCGTGCGTTAACCACCGTTTAGTGCTTCAGGATTTACCCGCAATCCAAAAATATCGCGTTATCGGCCACGGACACCACGCTTCCGCTGAAAGGTGACAAGTTACGAAAGCAATAATACCAGAAAGGTAAGGAAGCCTGGCGGACGTCGCTTATGAAGGCACGTACCGTATCCTATCGTCCTCGAGCGCCCGTATCAGGTCCGCGTTGCCCCTACGGACAGCGATTGTCCGGGCACACTCCGAGTTGTCCGCTATCTCGTACTGCCTGAAGACAAAAAAGAAGCCGAGAACAACTCAGCTCAGCCCGAACAACTTGTTTGATGGTCGTGAAGAGTACCAAAAGGTAATTTATACGACCACCAAAATACCATCAAAGTACCCTCAAAGTACCATCAGAAAGGTACTTTTTACGACCATCAAAGTACCGTCAAAGTACCGTCAAAGTACCATCAAAGTACCATCAAAATACCATCAAAGTACCAGCAAAGTACTATCAAAGGACCTCTTGCACGAAGTCAAACCTCGAACTACAAACGCCCAGCTTCCATTAGCCCTGTTGATGAAGGAAAGGGAACCGGCAATCTGAGACAAGTCCCCCTCACCTAACGTCGTAATCCCGGGCCCGTCTCAGCAACAAATAAGGCCGGTCCAGCGGTCGGTTGAAGGCGGTCAGCGGTTGGATCTGAGAGGCGATGCTTGCGATGGCGGCGAAAGACGGGGGCTCGTTCTGCAAACGGGAGGCCAATCGCTCGTTTGATGGCGGAATGGCGAGAAGATTAGACTAGATTGTCTGCAATTATATGTGTGGCCTTGTGCACGATTCCCGCGAAAATTTGAGGATCCCAGCGCACACGGTTTGTTTACTACGTCAGAATCCTAAGACAATCTTTTCTTCAAGGAAGAAACAGAAAAAGGAGCGAGAAGAGCTTTGAAACGACCGTGGATAACCAAAGCGTGAACGTTGCTACGTACTTGCTTGCCTCCCAGGTTATCCCAGTAGTCGTAGTGGCTCGTCAGCTTCGCTTGCTGAAGATCGACTCCGAACTTTGACACGCCTGTGAAGAACACCACTGGCCGCCTGGCGACGAAGAAAAAGTAAGAACACATAAGAATGCAAACCAGGATTGGCAAGGGGGATCAATCTGCGGGCAATCAAAGCTCGTGACATTGAAAGGCCGTCTTCGGAGGCGGCTGCCTCCTGAGGCGTTTGTAGCACTACTGCCAGCTGTCATCTTTCATTGCGTTCGGTTAAATTTGGTCGAGTGTTGACTTTCGGTGCGTCGAGCCAGAAGGCTGCAGCCGACTTTAGAGAAGAGGCTGCACTTTCTGAACGGGATGGCATCGATGTTACAGTACAAACGCCCATGCCCGCTTCAAAAACTGCCCTTCATCAAGGGCATGTCGTCGAACCAGTCCACACATGAGAGGATTTTGTCACTTGAAATTGCGGTAGATGTTTCCAGAAGCGGCATACCACTTGTATCACTCTCTTCGAGTTCCAATCATTACGCCCTCCTTGGGAAGACCCCTCAAGACCAATCTCTATCCCGAAGCGTCAGATCCCTCACCGTAAGAAAACCCGTCAATCAGCAGCAACCTCAAACTGCTCCACAAGCGAAAGCCCTCAAGAATGCTCTGGGCGACGAAGATTTCTTTTCCATTTGGATGAGTCCAGACGAAATGTTTGAAGCCCTCACCAAGGCAGAAACCTCGCTGGTAGCGCAAACGTCCACCGCGCCACCACCTCATCTCTGCCTGCCGCAGCGATATCGTGGAGGATAAACTGGCCCCCAGCAAACAATAGGCGCAGGAAGAAGACGTTTAGCTCAAAGAGGCGGACTCCCCGGATGCTGATCAAGGGGTCTCTGAAATGCACCTGGCAAGGAAGGGGTGTTCGATTCAAAGAGCAGGCGAGGCCCACACTCTAAGCCTTGAGGCCATTCAAGTCAAGGCAGAAATAGAGCTGCTTTTGAGAAACGGAGTTGAGTGCGTTAGCTGCAAATTGCCTGAGATTAAAGCAGTGTAGCTGTAGTGAGGCATATCGAAGGAAACTGGAGGAGGAGCTAATTGGGGGTAACTGGAGAAAGACAGTCCAGGGACTACAGAATGAAGGGTGAGGGGCTCTGGTTTTGCACTTAGGCACTCTTAACTGCCTCCAGAAGGGTCCCACTTGCAGACTGCAGCATGTGTGGCCTACATGCTGGCAACCAAGAGCACGTCACGGTAGAACCACTGGTGCCGCTAGCGTAGCAATTCATCTTATGGAGCCCCTGCCAAAGCCCCTATCAGCAAGGGTTCAGCAGAATCTGGCAGAGTCTTTGAAAATCCACAATGCTCAACAGTACAACGCAGGAGCATCAAACGACTCGAGGCCACAGAAGCTCGCATTGCTCCCTATGCCAACTTCCGACATTCAGCTAGCAGAACTAAATCTTGATTAAAGACGATATCCTCAAATACGCTCATATACTAGCAAAACCATTCAGCAAAAGACATTGCTGAAAGGTGTCCTGACTTAAGCAAGCTGCAGCTACGCCCAACGGCTGTTGATGCGTACAGCACATTACTCACGTCCTTTGCATAGACCGCAGTCGAGAGCCCCTCCTCCGCAAAGAATTTTGGCAGCTCCACCCTCAGAAACTCCGCCACAAACTGGACGGCTGGATGCACCCCCCCCCACGGCTGCTCGGCCGGCAGCTGCGCATCCCCCACCTCCACATCGCTATCATATCCAGTCCCGTCTTCGACCCCCCTGGAAACCCTAATTTCGACAGACCCAGGTGCACCTGTGGTTGCCCCCCGGTCGACAGCTGTGCTCTTTGGTGGCCGCAACCTGGCTCTCCTCAAAACAGGTTTGCTAGCAGGCGTTATTGCCTCCGCATTGCTGGTGGAAGCTCTGACTGAGGGAAAACGTGGATCTGGGCCCTTTGGAAGAGGGGAACAAGAAGCAAGATTCTGGTGTCTCTTCTGTGTAGCCAAGACCGCAAATGAGTCCCTGCGCCTGCATGCAGCACAAACAGGTGCTCTTCTTGCTATTGTGTTGAACACGTCCCATCGCGGAAGCGGGTCCCCACCAGACTGGTAAACGGCCTGACGCAGTTCTTGTGTAAGCATTGCCGAGGATTGGGCGCTCCGAGATGAAGCCATGCTGTGCATCTTAACCACGGGAAATGGCTCCCTGCAGCACACCTGAGTCGCTTGGAATCCCCTGCTTTTGCAAGGAAAACAAGCGGGCTGATCTAGGACCTACGGTATCTTGTCCACTGCTGTTGCATCTGTTCTTATGCCTCAGCGGCACAATCCAGAGCAGTACTGCTCACGAGGGACGTGTGCCATTGGTTTACTGACCTGGCAACTTTCGTGATCGACACGTGGCGTAACTCTCACCAGAGGGATCCCTGCGCGAAGAAACAGGGCCAGGCAAATGCTGCCAGATTGAAGCAGAGAAAGGCAGAGTTCGATCAGCACAGTTGGCAATATGACTGGATAGCGACGAGGCGCACATACCGTATGAGACGAGACAAAGCGTTCAGTGGTTCTATACAGTGGCAGAAGCGGTAGCTACCGCTTTCCTGGTTTACAATCGACTCATCATTGACCGCGTGTGCAGGCACGAGAAGGCATGGCAAGAGTGCAAGGGGAAGGGTTATCTGAATTAACTCGGCCCGATTAAGTCAACTACCTATAAGCCTCTAATTGATAAGTCAATCACACCGATGAGAAGCTTGTCTATGAAGCTCGTAAGAATCATCATCATATATCTAAAGCATGCCCCCATCCCCATACGTATTGGCACAACCTTCAAGAAAATGCTGTAGGATCTTATACATCATCGGAACTAGTTCTTATACATTTGGCGAAAGCTCAAGACCTTGCTATATTCCGCAGCTCCCACTTATGAAATCCATGCAGCCAACTCTGTTGAGTTGACTCCATGTCCGACGGTCCGATGCGCGGCCACATGCAATGCAATAAATGAAAGCCTGCTCTCCAAAGCTGCGCTGCAATACATGTTCAAGCACAATTAACCGCGTCTGTTGCAAGGTCCCCGGCTCGCCATTCAAAAGTGTCCAAACATCGTTTATTGGCCTGAATGGCGACGATGGAGGCCGGTACCCAATCTAATATTGATATACCATACTGCTACATTAGAAAGCCTGCCCGGTGACATATACCTATCCTATGTCGATGTCTTTTGGAAGTCGTTTGGTTTTGCCCGCAGTACCGTACTCCGACGAACAGCCGAACTTTTCTGGTGCATGTCTGATGTCTTTGTTGAGGACCATGTATAATATTTCCGGATGGCTAGCGAGATCGATTCTCAAAACCTCGGGCTGTTTGCAGAGTCGCAAAAGAATGAAGTCGGGAGCCACGGCAACAGGTTCTTCAGATTATCCGAGAAGACTGCATCTGCGGCTTCCCCGCAACTGCAACATGATGAACTACACCGCACAAGTCACCATAAATAGATATGCTTCTGGCTAGCCCCCAACTATTTACACCCTTACTTAACGCGTAAAGAGGTCCTGCGGACCTTTCCTTTCCTTAATCATCAACACGTTTTTGCAGACCCTTAGGAGGTTGCAATAATGTAATGCAGTTTTTCGCGGCCCCCTCCCTTTCTAGGATGCCCCACGTGCCGCTTGGCCACCGCTTGCAGCCACGTCAGCTTGACGCCATCACCTTCGCCTCAAACCCATTCGTTCGTCCCTCGTTGAGGCGCACTTTCGACGGCCGCTAACACCCAGTCGACCGAAGCGGAGGCACAATAGACCGCCGCCCATATGCGGATCCGCAACTCAAACGTCCATCCTCTTCCCCTCAAACGCTCCTCTTCTGAAACCCTTCCTCTTGACGACGTGTCCATAAGTCAGCCGGTCCTCCATCCCTTCCCTCCCTCCAACCCCCGTATTCAACACGGTTTCACTTGCCCCCCCCGAAGCAGGCCCCGAACAGCTTCTGCAGCGGGGCCCGGGTATCCTTCTCCTCCCCCAGCCCCCGGTCAATCCGGTCTAGTTCTTTGATGACGTCCGCGAAATCCGGGCGCCTCGACGCCTCCTGGTCCCAGCAGCGCCGCATAAGCGCGCCCAGCTCTTTTGGGACGTACTCGGGGATGCGCGGGCGGAGGCCCTGTGGACAGAAACGTGGAGACTTGCTAGTCAGGGCTCGAGTCTGCGTGAATGCGGTTTTCAACTTTACCCCGCCTGTGGACGAGGCCCTGAGAACGAGATGTGGGGGGCTCTGATGAATCCAAGAAGCAGATTGAATCAGTCGCACATGGGCTCGAGTTGCCGCTCTTCAACCGGAGACAAGACAGCACCCTCAGCAGAGGCGCCTTGAAATAATTCTGGTCCCTAGATTCCCAGAGAACGAATTTGGATACCCAACAGTACGATCGCAACACGAAACTGTCATCCCTACTAAAAGTCTGTGATGCCCCACTCCAGCACAGAAAGTGTGCATGTTATGTGCCCACCTTGTTGACGACCTGGTAGGCTAGCTGCAGCATGGTGAGCTCGCGGAAAGGGTGATCCCCCGTGCACAGCTCCCACAGCACGATCCCAAACGAGTACACGTCCACTTTCTTCGTATACGGCTGGTGGTCGATGATCTGCAAGTTCCACATGGAATCAGTTCATGCGATGACGACGTCATGCGTGACGCTGTGAGATTGCGGTCAAAACTCTCGGGCACGGCCGCTACTCAACACTCCGACGATAACTAGTTGATTTGGCCAGCATTCGCTGCGAGTTGCAGCGCAGAAGAACGAATCCAAGCCGTCGGAAGGAGGCGCGCATGGCTAGGGGTCAAAGCTCTGAAGACGCGACAGCTGTCTGATCAGCACAACATTTGAGCTAGTTAAAGTTTCCAGTCAAGTCGCGAGTGCCTGAATGCAGCTAGAAGCGCTGGCTATAGGCCTCAAAGATATGACCCTGTGCACGGCAATCAAAAGCCAATGATCGTTCGAGTCTCGGACGGCCGTCCTAATTTGAAGCTTCCAATTTGGCTGGCAGGCAAGGTCCGAACACCTTTTCTGGCATCAACCAACACACTTGCGGAACCTGAAAGAGCCACAGTGGACCGAAACGCGGAACAGTACGTACCTCGGGCGCCATCCACCGGACGGTCCCGGTTTCGCTGGTCATGTCCACAGGGTTCGCCGCCTCGATGCGCGCCACGCCAAAGTCCGCGATCTTGACGTTTTTGTGCGAGTCCAAGAGCAGGTTGTCGCTTTTGATGTCCCGATGTACGATCCCTTGACTGTGGAGGTACCTGCGTATCAGAGGACGACACGTGTCAGTGGCACAAGGTCTGGGCTTCTGTCACAAGCTAGGAGATTGCGAAGCTTGAAGTGATGATGGACTGGGTTTGCAAACCATGGAAAGAAGGTTGCTAGTGCCATTGCACTGCTTCCCGCAGACTTTCAGTAGGCTCCTTCTCGGAGTCCCGTGACATACCGCTTTTTCGCATTTCGTGCACTTCAGGTGGCGTACTACTCAAGTACAAGGGACTCCCAAGGGCAATCTTTGCGCAATGGTTGAAGCGGCAGAGAGGCTTACTAAAAACCCTACATGCGCGCGGTGTTCAGAGCGGGGGTTCCGTGGAGAGATTGATTCAAAAACAGGAAACAAACAGCAACAAAGCACGCCCTCAAGGAAGTCCCAGGCCGACGGCAGAGCGCTTACGTGACGAAGAATTCCCGAAGGATATGAAACAGAATGGCAAAAACGTGACGAACAGGGGTAAACATAGTGAAAGAAGAACCTACTCGAGCCCTGACGCGATACCCCGCGCGATGCTGACCACGACCTTCCAGGGGTGTCGCCGCTGCTTCTTGAGCAGGTCCTTGATGGTCCCCCCCGAAAGATATTCCGTCACGATCGCCCAGACAGGCGCGCCCGGCTTCTGTCCTTCGACGCCCTTCACCGCTGTCTTCACAGTGCCGGCGGAGGCGCCGTAGAACTGCAGGGGTGACGAGATGTTTAAGATGCAAACTGTTGAAGCTCAAGATTGAGTCTGGAAATCTTAATTTATGGGGTTCAGAAACGACAAATCTGCAAGAATCTTGTATCTCAACAATGAAGTCCAGACTCTTAGTATTGGAAGTGGGGAGTATCACAAACAGTTGCGGAGCACACGCGGAGTGCCTCCCTGTTACAATATTGGTTGCCTGTACGCCTTGGTGCAGCAGACATTCTCGATGATCATTGATAATCAACAGTCACCAATATCCTGCAGTCAGACTTACCGTCAGTTTGTGTGAACATTCAGCCAAAAATGTGACTATTTGCACCAATCCCATGCCGTAAAGGACGACCTCCAAACGAAATTAAGCCGGATTCATCGTTCATTCACTGAACTCAAACATGGTTCGAGCAAACGTTTACGGCCCCCGCGCTCAGGTCGCGTCTCCTAACCAAGTCCAGCTCTATCTTCAGGCTCGCAAATGCTTGAAACAGGCTAAGCCCATACAATCTGGCTAGCTGCCCTTCATCAGCTTTGGCGCCCAACATCTGACTGACTGCTATAGAAGCTAGGAAACTGAATAACTCCATACCTGCACAATGTGCCTCAGCCTGTGTCAGACTACGACCTCGCGTCAAAATCTTCTCACCAGCTAACTCAAAACTTGATTGTGTCAAAACCCTGCTTGTTGGCCCCTTGTTTGAGCAGCTAAAGCGACGTATTCAAAATGCAAACACCTGCCCCTTTTGAGAATCGGGTCGCACGTCCTCCAAAACCCTGAAGTATCAAAGCTGGCGCTCACCTGTACAATGTTGGGATGACTCAGCCCGTGCCACACCCCCACCTCGCTCTGGAAGCTGTCCGCCAGCTCCTTCATCACAGCGTCCGAAACTTCGGACGGTGGGTTAAGGATCTTAACCGCAACCTCCTTCTCCCGGTACCGCCCATAGTACACGGACCCAAATGCCCCCGACGCAATCAGATTCATGCACATCACCGCATCGAGATCAATATTCCAGGCTTTCCCTAACCCAAGAACCTGAACCCCATTCTCGGCAGGCCCTGTTTCAAGGTGTGCGCGCCGGTCGAGAGTGGACAGGGATGCGAGGTCTGCTCTGACAAGGCCTTGAGGGGCCAGTTCTCCTTCCCCTTTTGCTGGGCCGTCCCGGGGGGAGATGATGAAGTCCCCGGCAAATGCAGGAAGGGACTTCGCTGACAGTGCGGTGAGATTGGTGTCTCGTTTTAGACCATTGTCCTTTCGGGCAGAAGGGATGACACTAGTGGGGCTGGGCTCACGGTCAGGAGACATGGCGGCTATTGAAGCGGTCTGAGCACTTCCCTGCTTATCCCCTTCTCAATTGACTACAGTTTATAGGCTTGCTTTGCTGGGGCCTGCTGGATCCTGCTCCTTTGTTGACTGGCTTTCTGGAAGCAACAATTCCTGTATGCAGACCCTCTAGCGAACTTTGGCGCCCAATCTGGGGGATGTCAAGCTGAGTGTTCAAGCTGAGTGTGGAACTTTCCAATCTGCTTACATTGAATGCTCAGTTGCTGGGGCGGCAGAAGGATGGAGTTGCACTTTCCTAGCCGCAGGAGGCATTGAAAAGAGAGCGGGAAACATTCTAGCTTCAATCCCCATTCCCCATCGATTCCCCTCGATTCTTGATGCTACCATGCCAGCATCACAACACCGCCAAGGTGCGCGATCCCGATTTGCTAGTGCCAGATGTGGAGCGAGCTCAGCGCAGGGCGTAGGTCAGGGCATCACCAGAGGTGTTGTTTCCCTTCTCGAATACTGCAGTGATGAAGAAGCATAACTTGAGAGAGCGGCAGAGATTTTAGTTGGTCACAAATGCTGAAATTCAGCGAGATTTTTCTGAGTACTGAATTCCATAATCCGATTCAAGCTCTAGAGTACCAAACTTGGCGAACAGGCCTTCCACAGAAGCAACTCCGTCTGACATTGGGGTGTCACTTTGATGCTACAGGATGGAAGAAAGTGGTTGCCTAAAAACGATGTTCGGGTAGAGATCTCAGTCCCTTGCTGAAAATACAAAAACAATATCTCTCGCTGGGGGTCACATTACTTACTGATCCCACAACCTGCTGGAAGCTAAATAGTGCAACAGAGCGTTTGCTGCTAAGTTGTTGCCCATCTCAAGCCTAGACAGAATGCTTTTCAAATGTCAACAGACCCCTGCGGACGTTCATTAGCAACACGGATGGCTTTTTATTATGGTAAACCTGCCATGGCCACTTGAACTTGCAAACAAATGTAGCATGTGCAACACTTTGAATGCTCTTGACGCTGCCGACTTGTAGATGAGCACAAAGTTGACCCCTTTCTCGCCAGCGTTCATTAGGATGCCACATCTCTACGTTTATTGCAAGTGCAACCACCAAAAGACTTCCTGCCCCTTCTCATTCGAGGCCTTCTAGAAAAGCGATTGCAACACACTTCAGACTAGAAGGTTCCAAAGCTTTCCGTGAAGCTTGATGTGACCAAAGAGAGACTTATGAATCATTTTGCTAACTGCACAGCAGACGTCTGCGCACCTTACCACCGAGGGGTTTGTTCCAGCTGGACCTCCCATCGGCTTTGGAGATTCTGCTGCCTGAAAGTTGAAGTCTTATGGGGATGAAGGCGCAACTAGTGAAGCCATTGGCATGGAGTCTTATAATTGACTGCGTTGGATTTGTCACGCAAACCTTCCTCCGGTTCCAACTTCAACTTCCACGGGTCCGTTCCACGAAGGTGCCAGGAAACGGGCAGCCACCAAAATGCAGAGTTTCTCAAAGATCAAATGCTCCTGATTCCTGAATCCTGGTTCCTGCAGAAATTCCAAAAGGAAGGAAGACTGTAGTCTTTGATGTAGGTATCCAGAGCCTCGGCTGCGTTCAAAAGTGCATTATGCATGCGTTTTTAGGGCAAAACGGACAATGCAGCCGAAATTCCCGTCGGAAACGGATGCGGACGCAGGATAAAAGCTTACGCGTACATTTTAGTGCATGGGAGCTTTTTCAACCCGGAACCGCCAACAAGCAATATGATCGGGCACTCCCAACCTGAGCTGTACTTTTGAGGGTTAGTCCCGACTCCCCTGCCTGTGACTGACCGTCACCAGGTGGCTAGCCGCTAGGTACCAAGTAAACCGCGATCTGCAACCCCGGAAAAACTCAAAAGCTGCCCGGTTGATAAAACGGAACCTGATGTCCAACCCGAGTCTCGAAAGTTCGTTCGGACGGTTGGTACGGTCGGTTTGAAATTAAGGCCGTCCGAAGATGCAACGTCATCAACCGGTCACTTCCAGCAGTCGCTTGTGACCGAGAAATTCAGCGACAGAGGAGCAGAGCGGCAGGCTTCCGTGTCGCTCCACGTCGTCAGGGTTCACACCGGGGCCTCTCACCGGATGTGTGGTCGGATGAGTTGTCAGGCTTTCCGGCGCCTCGACTTCCGACCGGAATGTGTGACATTCTGACATCGTACCGGCAGGCCGCAGTACTGCACTGGCCCATCACAGCCAGTGGATCAGGCCCCTGTTCGGGCGCCTGCCTGTGACTGCTGTAAGCTTCTGGCACCATGCCCTCACCGAAGCTTGTTGCCTGGCCTGTTGCGAGCTTGTCCGGCAGATCATGGTCTCTGCATATATAAATGTACGATGCTGGCAGAAGAACTGTGCAGCCTTCCCAAGCAACCGACCAGGACACCAAACACTGCCTAGCTAATGCAACTAGAGGCAACCAGTTTTCGCCGGACGGTGGCAGGCATCAGGTCTGCACATGTTGGATGCGTCTCTAGACTTTGACAAGAGCATAGGTGCTTCGAGACTTCAGGTTACATGAGACGATAACGATCGATGATGCATGCTTGTGAATGGCTAGATACATCCGATCCACGAGTACACTTGCGTGTCATGATCATGATCATACGTGCATTGTGATTGGTTACTGCAGGTGCCTTGAAGCTCCAGCTAAGCAAGGAAGCTTCCAGGACTCTCGCTTCAAGTACGTAATGAGCTCGACGACTCGAGCACTATGCAAGACGCCCTACATATCAAATCAGCGTGTCACCAAAGCGTGCATAGAGCTGGGACTTATCAGTACATTGAAGCGAATCATATTGATCACAGCCTGTCTTTCTGTCTCTCAGCTCCTTTGAGAGTTTTCGACTCGAAAATTTACAACATACAGGATTTTCGGCCTGACAAGCTTCGAGTCTGAGGGCTTCAAATCCCCGTTCCAATGAGGTTGGAGACGTCCTTCCAGAAAAATTTATCGGCCTTGAAGCTCAAACGCAAAAACTTTCTCGTTCCATTTCGTTTAACAGTTTGCCCCAACCAGGAGCTTTGATGCAAACCCCAAAAAGATTTTGAAACATAGACGCAGAAAAAGTGTTCGGGACATGACAATTCAAGAACAACAAAAGCCACCATGAGTTTCGCTTAGAGGCGTAGCGCAATCTCGCAGACGGACGCTCCAACACCTTTTGACCGTTTGACTTTGACCAGACATAAACATTCGTTTGTAGCTGCACGTCGCCCTAGACTCCGACTCGTCCCATCTTTCCTTATCATCTGAGATAGCTGGAACTAGCAGACTTACTGATTGCCAATTAAACGCAAAGCAGATCTCATGCAGTTGAGTTACAGAGCCATGAAACGTACCAGAAGACGGGCTCGTGCTCAGTTAGGACTAAAAGTTCCTAGAAACTGTTCAACGCCTTTGTTAAGGCCGCCCAGTCCTCCAACACCTGTGCAGAAAAGGATCCTCTCTGTCTTGTTGATTGTTAAAAGCAAAAGGTTCAAACTGCAGAATCTCTCGGATGAAGGGCTTTGGGAACCCTTGACCTTACGGAGAAATTCAGCTATATAGAGAGGGCGTTGACATTTCCGTTCGTCAGCACGTAGATAAAGTCGGGGCTTCACAAAGCTGAGATTGACACCCGCATCAGCATTTCAAGCACATGTAATCGTCTGGAAACTCCGAAGTTGCTAACCCTTGAGGATTGTTCAGGATTTCTTTTCCGGGGCAACAAATCGACAATCTGGTTTGGAAAGTCAGTTTGAGAGGTCGTACCTTGTTACGATAGCGGAGAACGGACATCTGCGCCTCAAGTTAGGCGGGAACTGCATTGCGCAAGACGGCCGTGTTAGAAAACGGGGGACTTGTGTCTGATGAGCGAAAGTTTTTGAGTTTCCGGATGCAGCGGATGAGGAGAATTACGCAAAGGCACAGCGAAAGACGTAGACGTAGCTTGCTCTGCCAATCTTCTTGTTGTGAAACTGAAGCTGGTGCTGATGTGTTTGATATTTCCAATGAAAAAGGACCGTCAGAGAGCTCGGAATGTAGGTTTTCATGGAGAATCCAACGGCGAAGACTTTCGGCGTGCTATCTCTGGCCAAGTGAAAATTCTGCCTAGTCCGTTCGTCAAGTCGTAAGCACTAAAGATTAAGCGTTACTTGGTGAGACATGAGGCCTCAAGCAGGACTTCGTTTAATGTCAAAACGTAAAGACTTGTGTTCAAATGCCCTGATCCGTCAGAAGCAACTGAACAGACGAACTCACTGGCCCGGAATCCTCTCCTTGATTCAAAGCAGAAAACGGGGAAATCCTTTCTTAGAAAAGCCCATCGAACACGTTGAAAGGCCATCCGTGCAGTCAGTGAGGCGCTCAAACAGTAAACAAGAACAGTGCAGCAAAACCTCACCCTCCGATCCGTCCTCCCAAGCAAGTCCCTCGTCCTCAGCCGTCGTCTCAGGCTGTTTCTCGGTGAAGAAGGTGACCGCCCGCATTCTGCGGGGTCGAGCCAAGAACAGCACCAAAAAGTTCTGCCCACCCTCGAGGGCCTCCCAGTACAGCTTCCCGACGTGAGCGACTAATGACGCAAGGGAGAGCACAATGGAGGGCAGGAAAATCGCCCGGTCGATGTAGATACGCGTCCCCCGGGAGCTGCCCTGTACGTACAGCACTGACTGGAAGATAGACTGGGGGAGTGACCGGAGGAGATTGTCCAGGTGCTGGCGCGAGGACATGTACTCCTCCATGCCCACGAGCGCTGCAAATGAATGAGATGGGGACTGAACTTCAGCTCACAGTGCGACTCCGCTCACTCGAAGAAGTCCTGACCCTTTTGAGCAGTTGAGAAACATGTGGGAAGGCGTCCGATCAGAGATGAACGCTTCGTGGTCAAGATGCGGTTATCTCAAGTAGTGAGAAGCAGAGACACAAGTATGGAAAAAAACGAGAAACTCAACATCTGTCCGGCAACAAACGGGATGATTGGACAGTGCTCATCTCTAAGTTTCTCAATCTTACGTCCACTGACTCCTACTACGGCTGACCCTCTGCAACAAACGAAGCACTGCCATGTAATCCAAGACGTCAGGCGCTTGGCACCTCCTCAAACAGTCCGTTACGAAAATCTAACGTGGATAAGATCCGTCAGTGAACCTGCTCTAGAAAACGCCGTAAAGACAGTGAAAGATCACGAAAATACATTCCAAAGCTATACCGGAATCCGTGACGAGCCCTGCTTTCAATCCGTGACGAGCCCTGCTTTTAATCCGTGACGAGCCCTGCTTTTAATCTCTCATTCCTCCAATGGTGGCGCGACTCCAGGCCAGAATCCGGCTCTTAGGAACAGTGTCCGTCAAGCCGTGTTCGATCCAAACGGCGACAACTTTTTGGGAAACAACGCGCAACATTCCTGCATTGCTGACAAGCCAACCGAAGGAACAGCTTAACATTACCCTGATCTCCTCTGAACTGATCCTACTTACAGACGGGGTGCAGAACGGTAGGTCGAAGCCGCCCCCCTTTCAAGCTCAGCGCGACAAAACATTCTTCTCACCGTCTGGCTCGCCATAAAGGTCAAGTGTTGCCCGCGCAAGACACCCGCAGCCCGCGGCGATTCCCAGAGCGTCCAACATGGGAAAGCGCAGGATGGCGAGCGGCCAGAGGTAGAGCGGCTTCAGCCAGCGCCACCCCTTGAATAGGGGCGCGCTCGCGAACTGGGTCCTCCGTGCCCACCGTTTGCCGCCAAGAATGTGAGGCGGCCACATCGAAACGGAACCCGGGGGGGCAGAACGGCAGGCCGAAGACCCCCCCTCCGACGGCCCAGGCGTCCGCCGCGAAGAGGCCGGCAACTAGGAACGGCGCGACGATGGACGGGAGCAGGACGTTGCGCGGCCACGCGCCCCACACTTGGCGCAAGACCGTGACGTCAGTGTACAGGTCCACGTAGGGCAGGAGTGACGTCACGACGCCCCACAGATATAGCGCGGCCGCGCTCGCGGCCGCGAGCCTCGGGCGCTTGTCGAGCCAAGAGCCCCCCCCGCCGCGCCCGCGGATCAGGCACTGCGCGAGCGTACACGCGACAAGCACGAGCGCGAGGGCCGCGGCAAACGCCCCCCAGGCGACGGTCACGGTGAGACGCGCGTCGGGGTTCCGGCAGAGGTTTCCGTTCTGGACCCCGGTGAAGGAGACCCCGGTGTAGGTTAGACTCCCCGGACCCAGATCGATCTTGTCCAGAAAGGCGCTGTCGTTGAACAGGTAGATGCCCTGGGAGTTTGTGAGGTAGGGGGGCAACGGCCGGCCGTCGGGGGTCGTCGGGGAGACGATGACCGGGGAATCCCCCCGAACGAAAACGGAGATCTTGTTGAGGCAGATCTCTTGGCGGGTTCTCTGCGATAAGCTCGCCCCGGTGCCGATAATGTCGACCACGCACCCCTCTTTGCACCCCGCCCAAAACCTGATGTCGATCAACCGGGGGGCCGCCCCGACCAGGGTTACCAGCTTGCACCCTGCAGGAACGTGCGACAGGTCGACGGTTGACACTGTCGGCTCGCTCACCCCGAGTCGCAGGCTCGTAAGATTGGTGGCGTTAAGTAGGTAGCGGGGAACCGGGTAGTCGAAACCAACGAGTCTCCGGGTTGTGAGGAAGTCGGGGGGGGGTGCACCGTTTAGGCTGTTCTCACTCAGGTCCAGGTTGTCAAACAGGGTACAGTTTCTGGTGAAGGACTGGGGGAGCTCTCCGGTTATATTGTTGAAGCTGAGGTCGACGGTCGGGATGCAGAGGTCGTCTGGGAGGGGGCCCGAGAGCTGGTTGTGGGAGAGGTCGAGAAGCTCGGGACCAGCCCACCGGTATGCTATTGTAGTCTTGAGCCTGGGGGGGAGGGGCCCGGTAAAACTGTTGTTTCGGAGGCGGATATTCTTGCAGAAGTAAAGCTCGGCAAGGGAAGGGGGGATGGGTCCCGACAGGCGGTTGTTGGAAACGTCCATCTCTCGAACAAGAGATAGTGGGCCAGCTAAAGGGGGCAGGGGGCCGGACAGGTTATTGTTGGCCAGGTGCAGGAATTCGATGGAAACGCTTGCTATTGCTGTTGGAATAGGCCCAGAAAGGCTGTTATTGGAGAGGTCAAGTGTAGTAAACATGCCCCAGCCTCTCCTGGGACCGGAGAACAGCTCCGAAGGAATCGAGCCGGAGAGGAGGTTATTGGACAGATTGAGAGACGGTCGTTCAAAAGACGAATTCCCGGTCCCAAAGCCGATGGGAACTTGAATGGGCCCCGTTAGTTTGTTGTTGGATAGTCCTAGGGAGCGCAACTCTAAGAGGTTTCCAAGCTCTGGAGGTATGGGCCCAGACAGGTTGTTAAAGCCGAGAAACAAACTGGTGAGGCTCGAGAGCTTGCCAATCTCAACAGGGATAGGGCCGTCAAGGTTGTTTTCCCCGAGAGAAATCTCCCTCAACTGTAAGCTGCTGCCAAGCCCGGGAGGAATGGGGCCCGACAAACTGTTTCCGGAGAGATCCAGATATACGAGGTTTGCCATGGATCTGAATAGGCCCGGCGGGAGGGGACCAGACAGGTTGCAGCTCGGGACTCTGAAGACGGACAACTGGTTTAAGCTCCCAAAACTCGGGGGTATGCCCCCCGACAGATTACCCAAACCGCCCAGATCCAGAATCCTAAGCCGGGACAGTCGACCGAGCTCCCCAGGAATAGACCCCGACAACTTCGCCGCTTGAACGCCGAATATTCTATCCCTCAGTATCAACACCTCCAGCCGCGCCAGGTTGCCAAGCTCCGGCGGAATCTGCCCGGTAAGCTCTTGATTAGCAGCAAGGTTCAAGACCCGCAACCGGCCCAGGTTGCCCAAACCGGGCGGGATTGCCCCAGTAAGATTGTTATATTGAAGGTAAAGCTCTTCCAGACGGGTTAAAGCGCCAAGCTCCGTTGGAATTGGTCCCGAGAAATTGAATATTCCGGAAATGTCCAGGGCCGTGAGGTTGGACAGGCGGCCGAGCTCCGGGGGGATCGGACCGACGAGACCCCTCGGGGCGTCAGGATAAGCAGTGTAATAAATGCCGTTGTTGTCAGACAGGTTGAGCACCCGAAGGCTGCGCAGGTTGCCGAGCTCCCCGGGGATGGGCCCAGAGAAGTTGTTGCTCTGAAGGTGTAACTCCTCTAGGGCGCCAAGCGCGCCGAGCTCCCGGGGGATGCGCCCCGAGAACTTGTGCTTCCGGAAATCAAGGATGCGCAGGTTGCGTAAAGCGCCCAATTGTGGAGGGATAGGGCCGGACAAGCCGGGATTGTAGTTGAATTGAGTGAACTGGGTGGGACCCCGGAAGTGGAACTCCCGAAGGTTGGTCAAACCGGCTAGTGTCTCCGGTAGGCTGCCGGCGAACAGGTTGAAGGAGAGATATAGAAACTGCAGATTGGTCAGGGCGCCCACTTCTTGCGGTATGTACCATTCAACGAATTGGCCAGAAGGTTGAGGTATGAAAGCGCGGTGAGGTTGCCAATCGCCGGGGGAATCGGGCCGGATAGGCCGTTGTATGACAGGTCCAAGACTTGGAGTTTTCCCAGGCGTCCCAGCTCCGAGGGAATCGGGCCAGAGAGGCCGTTATCCCCCAAATAGAGGGTTTCGAGGTTGTTTAGCGCGCCGATCTGCGGGGGAATCGAGCCGTTGAGACTGTTGGCGGCCATGCTGACGTAGGTTAAGGAGGGAAGTCCGCCGAGGCTTGGGGGGATGGGGCCCGTAAGGTTGTTGTTATATAGGTCGATCATCTCGAGGCGCTGAAGATTCCCGAGCTCGGCCGGAATGCCTCCCGTAAGGCTGTTGTTCCACAAGTATAGGTCAGCCAGGTTGCTCAATTTGCCCAAAGCCGGGGGAATGGGCCCCGTTAGATTATTTCGGGAGAGGCTGAGCACCTGAAGAGCCGTCAGGTCGCCCAATTCGGGAGGGATCCCGCCAGAGATTCGGTTATTGAACAACTCCAACCACACAAGTTTCCCCAGCTGACCCAACTCGGGGGGGATTTCGCCCGAAAGCTGATTTGCGAAGGCTTCCAGATACTCCAAAGATGCCAACCGCCCAAGAGCTGGGGGAAGCGAGCCGTTCAGATAGTTGCTGGAGACGTTCAACCTTCGAAGACTAGGCAGGTTGCCCAGCTCGGGGGGGATCCCCCCTGTGAGCTGGTTCCGGGACAGATCCATACGGAGCAGATTGCCAAGTCGACCCAGCTCCGCCGGAATAGGTCCAGACAGGCGGTTGTACCGGGCGTCCAATACGACTAGGGAGGTGAGCCCCGCGACCTCTCGGGGGATGGCACCCGTGAGGCTGTTGTTGAACACACTTAACCAGCCCAGCTTGGCCAGGTTGGCAAACAGGGCGGGGGGAAGTGGCCCCGAGAGCTGGTTGTCATCAAGATCCAAGTACTCTAGCCCGGCTAGCTTGCCCAGAGCCCCGGGAATCTCCCCCGACAGCCTGTTTTTAGACAAAGTCAGCCTCTGCAAATTCGCGAGGTTTCCGAGCTCCGGAGGAATGGGGCCTGTAAGCGCGTTCGCGGCGAGGTTCAAATGCGTCAGGTTGGTCAAGAGACCCAGTTCCGGAGGGATTGGGCCACTGAGTCCCTTGTCGTCAAGGGACAGCCTCTGTTGGGTGCGGATGTCTCCCTGAACCAAGGCCGAGATCTCGTCCATCGTTGCGGCATGGTTTCCCCCGAGAAGCCTCAGCAGGCACAACACCAACACAACGACGTGTCGCATGGCGAAAAGCCGCATGGCCATCACTCGTTTCCCTGGACTGCATGGAAAACAGGAAAGATGTGGTGAGATAAACGGGTTTCAGAATTGTTCTTGAAGAAGAGGCTGCTTGAACAGGAAATATTGGCGACCAGGGACGAGGAGAAGTGGGTCTCCTTGTGGACAGGGCTGAGCATGTGAAGACTAATTTGATTGAAGCTAGTTCTCGTGTACTTTCCTTTCTGATTCTTGTGCTTACATAGCTACGACTGAGCAGTGTTCGAGAGCACACCAGACCTGCTTGAGGCGTTGGCAGTCGCCAAAACGAAAACACAGCTTTGATGAAAGGCTGCACAAGTGCCCAGGTTTCGATCTGGCTGATGAGATTCATATCAGAACAGCAGTATCCTGACCCTAAAAAGAGGAATATTCCCGACTCGAACATGACAACCCTTCTTGGAGCGCTTAGCACTTGCTGGGACTCGATTAGCCACTTACCACTGATTCAGACACAATTGCATCGCTGCATCACTTACGCATTGGAATTAGCGCCCATCCAAGCCTGAAATGAACTTCAACTTTTAAGTCTAAAGCTAGCTATCAGGGATGTGTATGCGCCGAGTCAGGAATATAGCAGCAACAAGGGACAAACTGGCCAAGTTGCATAAAATATAGGATGTGCATCCTCACCTTTTGGGTACTGACGTAAGTAACGTCAGCTCCGAAGATATGTTCCCTTGCAGACTTGATAACTGGGAGTACTGATAATAGACTTGGAGAAAGTCTTCAACTTTGCTGCAAAGTATCAAAGCATTGTCAGAACTTGATAGATGTATAAAAAAATCAGGTCAGCCCGGATTTGAGAGCAAAGCTTTGTGGGTAGGACATTGACCGGGGCTTAAGTCCTAGGGTACTGTCAACATGCCTCTAATCGTAACTTTCAAGCGGAGGTTCCATTCTTGAGGAGGAATTCTTGATAGCCCCAACCAATGGGGCACAGTACATGCAACCAACTGAGAACACTTTGTCTACCTGGAAGTGTTGCATTGGAATCTGTTACTGATCTTGGGGCTGTGAGAACGATTTACAGCCTGAATGACTAATTAGGATTGCCGACCCAGAACATCCCTGCCCAAGACCTGGAGAGGCTACTAAGCAGGCACTACAAAGTGTCTTGCCTATTGTCACTCTTAAACCATCAAAAGTGTCCGCCGATCGTGGCCACGCAAGATCTTGCAGTCAAGATTCCAAAACTATGCATAAATTTTTAGGGCAGCGCAAGGCAATCAGGGCAGGAGCTTGCAGTGCAGCAACATAAAGTCTATCAACCTGGGCAAACACGTTTGGACATCCGCAGGTCTTTCCTCAAAGCTGCAAGCAGACTTGACAGCAAGTTGCTCCTAGGTGGCTCTGGGGCATCGTCTTACTATCTTCTCAAGTTTTATGCTTTGGACAGAAATGCATAAGATTTGATGGCCATAGCTGAGACTTTTTAACCCCATTTTGTCAGACAATGAGCTTTTCAAGAGCTAAATACACCTTTTTGCGCAATCCAGTACGAGATGTACTGCACAGGGGTGAGTTTGACAATGTCAAAAGCTGGCACAACACGATTGGGTGACTCTTCCCTCCGTGATCCTAGAAGAACCAGCCTTCAACAGGACTACTTGATCTCAACATTGCCTTTCCTTAATCCCCTTGACGTCACAAAAGGAAACCCCCAAAACCAGCAACTATGCTGGCCCAGTCTTTAGCTGAGCAGGCAGCCCTTTGCTTTCAACACCCCTACATATTGTCTTGATAGAGTCTGCGCCACAGCGACACAGCTCGTCAGGTCTCACTCAAACATGGAAGATCCCAAGAAAAGCAAAGGGATTCAGCCAGGCACGGGCAGCCAGGTCTGCATGAAGAGACTAATGTAACCCCATCCGCTGTAGGTGACTCTCAAATTCAAAGAAGCAGATCTTAACTGACAGCTTGAGGGCAATGTTGTGGCGCAAAGCCTCTGTATAATGACTCACCTTTACCTTTCCAGCGGCGCTCAAAATGGAAGCACTGGACGCGACGACTACCCAGAATATATATATGCCTATTTTGCGCCCCCGCGGCGAGGTTTACCAATAAGCTGCTGGCAAGCTCACAAGGAGCATGCCGCCGACCATAGCCTTCCTGCTCCTCCCCGAGTCCCAGGAATAGGTATGCCAAGCATTTGCGACTGTACACTTCAAGAATCAAGATCAGAGTCCAAGCATGGTACCGCAATGGCATAGGAATGGCGAGTCCTAGGTACCGGTATGCAGACAAGCTGCCCAGCTGGTCCCAGAGAGTCCGGCCCGGACTTTGCGGGCCCTGAGGCTGGGCCGGGCGTACCGTACTCAACTCCGGATTCCGGAAAGGGAGGGCAAGAACTTCTCCAGTATCAGTTGAATTTGCCATAGAAGCGGGATCGGCTAAACGGTTCAACAGCGCATCCCGTCATAGGTAGGTACCTATCAAGGACCGTGGTATATCATGTCGACATCACGGTGTGATCCATCCAGACAGTCCGGTCCCCGGCGTATACCGGTAGGTACGGCCATAGGTACATCTTGTCATCTTGAAGCTTACGCAGCCTTACGGTAGGTACCGTACGATACCTAGACGAGACTTGAGGGACTGCGCAATGCGCACTCGTACCGTACGGTGCCAGCACTCCCCTGCAACAGTCCACTGCCAGCTCCGCGGCCTGCACCCCGGCTGATCAGCAATTGCAATTGGCCCGACTCCGGCCCCGGGACCCCCCGGGCCCGCTCGGCTGGACTCGGAGTCAGGCGCTAGGCGGCCGGGGGATTGGACGCCTGAGTCACAATTCAACAGCTCGGTATGTTATCCCCACTTCATGACTTGTCCAATATTTGAAAGTGAGGATACTGCAATATAAATGCACAGGTTGTCGATCCAACACAGTGATGACGATCCAACACAGTGATGAAGCGCTGCAGGTGGGGACTCCTAGCTGCACAGAATCCAATTTATATATGTTAAAGCGTTGGAACATGTTGTCGTCATGACAGTAACATAGAAGTATAGTTTGCAGTTTTTTGTGGTTGGGGCCATCAGTGTTACATGGCCTGCATGAACGCACAGTCAATGCAAAGCCTGCTTGGAAGGCAATGCAAGCCTAGCAAGCTAGTTGGGGCCGAGTACGTAGGTGGATCCTTCGCATAAAGGCCCATCAGATATGCTTTCTAGGGCATGCTCTCGATCATGCTCCTTTCCGCGGCTGCCAATCTAAGTCGCCTTCCATATTTGGCCACATGATTGAATAGCCATCATAAAACATACGTATATTAGACAATATTGCAGCGCGCTCATTTGATTGGTGCAGCGCGGTGCATTCAATGGTTGGTCTCTCATCGAAGCCAGCTGAGGCCCTAGCACCCATGGACCACCCGGGTTGCCACGGTGCGGCAAACTTAGATGCCCCCGTGCCATACATCCGCTATAATCAGATCCGGATTGCAGCAATGATGCACGAGAGCTTTAGTTTGCCTACACATGCACACGAGGCACGGCGACGCGGCTTATGGTTTCGTATATCCTCTGATTGATACTCGGGTGGGATTCGACGCAGCGGTTGCGGCGGATGCATGCATAGCAGAATATGTAGATGCAAATTCTATATAACCTCTAGGCAGATATGCATAGCCGCATGTATGTAGATGCAGATTTTATATAACCTCCGGATAGCTCCAGATTAACAGGTTACAAGGATTGTAGAACTAGGATTTAGTGCAATCGACACGACCTTGCTAATCGCTCCTTCTGCGTGTTTCCAACATCATGTGCTGTGATGAACAGGCGATATGCTTCGTTGGGCGGCTAGCTCATTTATCGATGGTATCCGACGCACAAAATCTCGTGCAATCACGACTTTCAGACGCACAAGTGGGGCCGATCGGTCAACATCTAGACCCGGAAGATTACTTCAACAATAACGGGCATTGAAAGTGATTGACTTTTTAATCACCTCAATCCCAATTGCTACAACCATCTTATATTTTGTAATGTACAATGACGCCCTACCCGCGCGCCCAACTGTCCTGACCCTTCCATATGACGCAGACTGACATCCCCAAGTCCTTAACTCCGTTACTACGCAAGGTTCAACGCGGGTCACGTTGGAGAATGCACATTGTCCAGTAGAGACCCACTCATCCGGAAGGACCTCCCCTCATACGTCGGCATAGATAGAATATCATTGGAGGACCCTGTGTGAATTGGCCCCCTTCTTGTGACTTTTAGGGTCGGCAAGTTCCGGAAGTCGGGACGTCCGTCGTTCTCTTCTTCCTTAACCTCCCCCATCTCAACGTCCCTAGAATCGTCGCCTTGCCGGCTAGACGCACTCGATATCCGCCGGTGAAAGCTTCCCTCCCAGTCGATCGCCCGGGCCGAGTCGGACGGTTTCGGTTGCTTGAAGAAGAACACCACAACCGTCATGTCGTCATGGTAGTCCCGCCTCTGCGAGCATCAGAAAGCATGCTGTTGAGCTACTCGAAGCCACTTCTTAGGAAAGGTTCCTCTTAAAGAAAGGAAAAGAAGAAGCTGTTGGATTTTGAAGACCAACGCAGCGCCGATTGCAATCAGTCTCAACGATCAGCTACGTCTTCAAAGTCAGACAATGGAGTCGAGCGTCGTGTCCTTGGCTCGATTGCCGCCCGTTCCAGCAGACGTACAGTGATTGACTTTCGAGCGAAACAACAAAGGAAGGCAGCCTAAGAATCCGAAATGTGTATGACTTTCTAGATGTCGTTGCAGGTAGAAAGCTTTTCTTTTTTGGGGGGGACGACTGCGTGGCTCACCATCCCCCTGGGAAGCTGCATCAACTCCTCGAAGGTGATCTCGTGCTTCTGGGCTGCCCGCTGAAGCGCTGTCCGGACGAGCAACCGAGCGACGTCCTGAAAAGAGAACCGAGAATGCCTCAACACCTCACGATACCAATCGGAGGAGCGTGAAGCAGGTTACGAACAGGTGTGCCGTATTCTTACAAACTCGTCCAACGATTGAGCGACTAGCGCGCTTTGAAACTTGCAAGACCAGAACGAAGAAATGAAGTCGGGGGCATATGCGTGAAGTTTCAGTCTGGCGACAAAGGTCGAAACTTTGAGGGCGTAACACACAGTAGCCTCGCAGGCTTCCAGAGCGGTCCATGAAGCTCTTCCAAAGAGCGGCATCAGCTCCGAAATGCAAGGGGGCGTAACGTTTGAACATGCAGACTTATTCACGATTCACTTGGAAAGCCCTCGTACAAACCCTGACGTCTCAACAGAGTGGCCGGCCGCTCTCCTGCCGAACATCGTCAAGCATTGATGGAAGGCGCCCTCAGCCTGCGGACGGCCAAAATTGCACACGCAAGCATCTCAGAAGCAGTCGCACGCTCGCCTTTCGGACATCCTCAGAAAGCATTGGAGTCGCGCTCAGTCTGCGGACGCCCGAAAACACAAATCCAAAAACATCGAAAGCAATCGGGACGCTCACCCTTCGGACAGATAAGAAGCAATGGAGTCACCCCAACTTGCGGACGTCCAAAGGTGCGAAAGCCAAAACCCAAAAAGCAGTCGAACGCTCACCCCCCGGACGTTCTTCTGTACAATATCAACGGCGTCCTGGCTTCCCAAGTAGTTCCACAGGCCGTCCGATGCTAGGATCAGGAAACGATCGGACGGCTGCAGTTGCCGGACAGTGACGGACGGACGCGCAGTGACGTACGGCGGGTGGTATGGCGCCGGGCAGCGGAAGCGCGGGAAGAGGGGGGCGGAGTTGAACTCCAGGAGCTTCATGTAGCAGTCGCCGAACGACCGGGTTACCTGGAAACACGCGGTTAGGAGGTAAAGGTTGATGAGGGTCGTAAACGACCGGGTCACCTGAGGTGGGAGATGGAACTAAAAGACCTGGGTTGATAAGATGGTCAAAGGTCAACGGAAGCGCGGGTATGCAATCAAGCAATGGATGATGGAAAAACGACGAGCGCGCGCACCTGCAGCTTGCCCTTGACCCGGTACATGCCGTTCTTGCACGCCACGGCGGCTTCCCCCTCCGGATGCCCCTCCAGGTACGCTTTGCGGTGGCTCGCGATGTTCACGTTGTGCTCCTCCGACAACTGCGGGGCCACGACGAACTGGTTTAGCAAATCCAGATCGAATGTCAAGCAGCAGACGTCGCTTCAGACCTTTGTCGTCTTGAAAACGAATGCCACTCTCGACGAGGGGTCAGGCTGAGATGAGCATATCTGGTTTTTGCTTGCGAGGAGCTCCCATTGCGAGTGTGGTGTATATAGATTCTAGTCTGCAAATCAGTGGGTGTAAGTAATACTTGTTATGGTGAACGTTGCCAGTCTAGGAGCTGCTCCAAATCATTCATCGCAATATGAGGTGCTGTTGTTGAGTGCTGTTGCTAAGTTCAATTGAGCGAGCCCACTGACGTAACATGCAGACTACCTGGTTGTGGAGACTTGAAGATATGGTCCACAGCCTCGCGAAGCACTTTGGCAGATGGTCTGTTGCCCTCCATCAACAATCGAACCCGCACACGGGTTAGTTTCAAAAAGCAGCGGATCCGGCCGGTTCCCCGTCAAACCTCTGCCCGGCTGAAAACCACGATTAACTGAAGCCAACCGGGACCTGATTGATGGGCAGCTCGCCCAAAATGCTCCCTCACCTGAACCGCTTTTAGGCGACCGTTGCTCCCGGTCCCGAGCACCGCGCGGCAGTCCCCGAGCCCGGCGACGTACAACGTGGCCTGTGACGTCAGCACCGCCACGAGCGCGCAGCTCCCGACCGTCGCGAGGTGCGGCGACCGGACGAACGCCGTCCGGATGAGGTCCGTGAACTCGGCGTCCGCGTTCAGGAACGCCTCGGCGATTGAGTCTTCTGAGAGACCGTTCTGTGCGACCGAATCTGCGGGGTTAGGGAGAACGGTTATTCAGTTGGTCAGGATAACCGGCGTGAGTGGTTGGTCGCAAATAAGAAGATCGACCGAGGTCAGTGGAACGTGGGCCGTGCAACGAGGTCCGTGAACTCGGTGTCCTTCTTGAAAAACGCCGAGAATGGTCTCTCGGCAATTGTGTCCTCCGAGAAAGTAGTCTCGATTTTATGTTGAGTTATGGCTATGTTGAGTTAGGTCATGCCCGGGGGACAGGTGAGGTTGGTTTGGGGGTTTAGGGTGGGTACGGGTGCGGAGCATGTTAACTTTGGGTTTAGGTTCTTAGTTTGTTTGCGCCCGGGGTACTGATCTAACTCAACATACACCTGACTCAACATAAAATCGAAACTTATCTCCGAGAGACCATTCTCTGCCGTGAATCTGCGGGTTTCAGAAAACCGGTGTGGTCAGTCGAACAATCTACGACAAGTGAATATTTGGACGCACACACGTCGAACTTTGGGTCCGCAGCCAGAACGCCTACTTTTGCCAGTGACGCTTTGAGAGGGAGCTTTTCGAGGTTGTGTAAGACAGACTGCAACGTTTCGCAAGAAAGACTGCGGACGTCTACGGACAGACTGCAGGTGGCGGTCAGCAGTATGAAGAAACAGAGATTGAGCAGCTACCTCATCCCCTGCAGATGCTCGTGTAATCGCTATTCGGCAAGCAGCAACGCCTCAAAGGATAAAGGCGTCCGTGCAACGCTCCTATTTCCAAGTGATGCTGCTCGACCTTTCCAAGTCGTGATCGAAACTGCGCCCAGTGCAGAAAAACTACTGTAGGACGAAGGAACTGGGGGTATCATTCCTCACCTTGGAGATGCTCGTGCAGTCGCTCCTTCGCAAAGGTGGCGGCCTCTGTGCCGCCGTGCCCGTCGAAAACGCCCATGTACATCAGGTTGGGGAGGGAATCCATCTGGCGAGGGGGGCAGCATAATCAGTGTCAGGATCGCCGTCAGATCCAGCGATGCTTTTCAATATCCCCACAAACTACGACCTCTGCGATGGTTCTGCGCACCTTCAGATTTCTGCCGTCACTAAATCCCACTAAATCCCCTCAGCTTCTGGTTCCCCGTCCAAGACCGTCCCGAAACGTTGAACCTTTCAAAAGGCTTGAGATCCCAACGCCACGTGGCTCCCAAGAGGGTAGTCGACACCGCGCTCCCCCAGGGTTTGCTTCATGTTCTTTGGAAGCCCGATAGTTGCTTTTAGAAAGCAGTTACCTCTAATCTCACAGTGAAATGAGACCCTGAATCCTTGTCTTCCAAAAAGGCACAGAAATACGCTTATGTCACGTGTCCTCTATCAGGTAGTTCGCCTCATATGTCGACAGGACATATGCCCCAGGTCCGCTTCAAATTCTACTGAAAACCCGGCAGCTGCTAAGGCTGACGACACTGTAGGACGAAACCCTGAAACCCTAAACGCCTATCAATCAGTCAAAAAGCACAGCAACACTCACATGCCACGTGTCCTCCATCAAGTAGTTGGCCTCGTACGTCGACAGCGCGTACTGCCCCAGGGGGGTCCGCTTCAGGTTCTTTTGGAACCCCGGGAGGCCCAAGAACGAGCGGCTGCGCCACCACTGCACGTTCTTCCGGCACGACCCGAACCCACTCGAGCTGAGCCGCCGCCGGATCGTCTTGTTGATGGCGCCCACAAAGACGCCCTGCTCTTGCGCGGGGAGCTCGTCGGAGGTGCCCCCGTGATACGCAACATCGAGACCAACCTGCAAATGGCAATTGTAAGTTCAGAATTGCAGCTGTTGAAATTCTAAGAACCAGAGAAAGCAAGCGCCGCCGGAACGTATTGATGATTTGCGCCCACAAAAATGCCCTGCTCTTGCGCGGGGAGCTCGTCGGAGGTGCCGCTGTGGTATGCAACGTCCAGACCAACCTGCGGAACCGGTTTCCAAAATCAGGGCTAATGAACTTTGGGGACTTGACACCCGAGATACCGGAGTGCTGCCAGATCGTCTCGTTGCCATCTGTCAAGGAAACGCTCTGCGCAAGAACACTTGCGCAGGGAGCTCGTCGGACATGTTGCCGCGGTATGGAACGTCTAGACCAACGTGGCATAGAATCGCCCGTTCAGTATCTTAGAACGGTCTTCTGAGTTTCGGAAAGGGTCGAGCATGGGTGGTACTGTGCGATGAAGATAACATCGCAAGTGCCCCGCGGTAGCAGCGATTGATCGCTGGCGGCCCCACAGTTGCTGTTGCGTCCTTTGAGAACGAGAGAGGCGCCGTATGTCTAGACGCCCACTACAGAAAAAGCCTCAATCAATAGTCGAATCACGGGAACCAGCCCCAACAGACAATAGTATCAGAAAGAACGCCGTAGCCCGCTTGGCTCCGCGCCAAAGGCCGCCCTAAGCCCCAACCTGGAGCTAGCTGTCCGCCGAGCACTTCAAGAGATTACTACTGTTGCTTGAGACGGCCCAATAAACTCAGGAGCTCACCTCCTCTGCCTGCCGGCTGCTACGGAGGTTCCCCGTGACGAGAAGGATGAAGAACATGCAGAACGCGGTCGCGCCCACCCAACCGATGATGAGCAACAAACCCACCACCTGCAAAACATAGCGAGGTGGTTTCAAAGATACTTATTACAAGAATCAGAAAACTTGAAACTAATAACAGAGATTGCGACGAGTATCCGTTTCAGGAGATTTCCTGATGACAGGTAGGATGACAAACATGCGCTATGAGGTTGCGCCTACTTAGCCGATGATCAACAACAGACCCACCACCTGCAAAGACGTCGGACTCGTTCAACCGATACAAATGCTGTCATCACTAGCCTCTGAGCGGGGCTGGGAATCCGCACCGCCGACTCACGTGCATGCCCAGCAGTGTGAAGTCCCCCCCCTACACCAGCCCCCGAACACACCTGGAGTATTCACACCGCGTATTCACCTGCGTTCCCAGCAGTGTGAAGTCCCCCCCGTACAAGCCCCTAAACACATCTGGATATGCACATTGCCTACTCACCTCCGCTCCCAGCATTGTTAACTTCCTCCACACACCGTTTCCTTAACACATCAAGAGTATTTACACCGCCTACTCACCTGCGTTCCCAGCAATGTCAAGTCTCCTTCGTACAGCAGCCCCTGCGCCCGTGGCTGCGCTATTCCATACGCTGCGCGGATCCCATCGTTCGTTGCAAACCCACCGAGCTAGAGTATTCACATTGTCGACTTACCTGCGTTCCCAGCAGCGTGAAGTCCCCCCCGTACACCAGCCCCTGCGCGCGCGGCTGCGGAATCCCATATGCTGCGCGGATCCCGTCGTTTGTCGCAAAGAGACCCACCGCGAGGCCCCCCACGCAGCCGCAGCACAAGTGGACCGCCGCGGCGTTTACGGGATCGTCGATGTGCAGCCACAGGAAGAGGCGGCTGCCGCCGAAGTAGGCGAGGCCCGAGAGGAAGCCCACGATGCACGCGGCCCACGTCTGGGTTACGCTCCTGAAACTCAGGGGGTTATGAGTTAGGGTTAACGTCCTGGAACTGCTTTTCCTGGCGTAAGTTTAAACCCCGGCGGCTGCTGCCAAAGTAGGGGAGGCCGGAGAGGAAGCCCACGATGCATGCGGCCCACGTCTGGGTTACGCTCCTGAAAAGAAGGAGGTTATGAGTCAGGGTTAACGTCCTGGAACTGCTATTCCTGGCGTTAGTTTGAAACCCGGCGGCTGCTGCCAAAGTAGGCGAGGCCCGAGAGGAAGCCCACAATGCACGCAGCCCACGTCTGGGTTACGCTCCTGAAAACAAGGAGGTTATGACTCTGGGTTAAGAGTCCTGGAAACTGCTATTCCCAGCGTGATTTGGGATCCGGCTGCTGCCGAAATAGTCGAGGCCTGAGATGAAGCCCACGATGCACGCCGTCCATGACTGGGTTACGCTCCTGGAGATAAAGGTTTAGGACTGTTAGGCCGAGCCGTTCTGGGCTTATTGATGACCTGGAAACTGAAACAGCTATGCCGAGCATAATATATGACATCCAGCTGCCACTAAAGTAGGTGCGCCCCGAAAGCAAGCCCACGATGCATGCCGCCCATGTCTGGGTACGCTCCTGGAGATTGGGTGAGGAGCTTTGGGGTTAAGAGCCCCCGCACATTACGGGGTTGGATATTCAGGGTTCCCAGGTACCGAGATGCTTCGGCCGTCTGAAAATGCGGTATAAAACATCTGTCGTCCTTCTCTAAGCGATGGATATCAGAGTAGCGTGGAACGAGGTACGCTGGATTGCCAGTGTTGTGAAGTCAGCGTCGATCTGAGCGGCTTGCCTAAAACCTACGATCGAGGTGATCCCATTATTTTTGTCTCGGGCGTGCACCATGAGACACAACAAACGTCTCTCGTCTTCAAGAGCCGGTTTTGTGTTCCTATCAGCATAAGCAGCCTGGACATAGACTGCAAGATTTCTACAAACGTCCAAGGAAACGCTTAAGCAGTTCCGACGAGACTGCACTTCGAGCTATCTCCCAGTAAAGGTAACTCTGCCACTCGCGCTGTTGCTAACGCCGCCACGAGGCCCCCAATCACGCCGTTGAACGTGTCTTGTCTTCCAGAGCGTACCGCGTTTCAAGATCAGAGTCAACATAAGAGACAGCTCAGAAGCTTCTAGAATCCTCTAAAGATCTCCGCGAAAGGAACTCCACTTCGACATATCACTTATGCTGTTGCGGACGCTGCCACAAGGCCCCCGTTCACGCCGTAGAACGTGTGTTGACTTCCAAAAGTCAAAATCATCTTTGAATTTCAAAGGCAGCGGAAGGGGCTTGGAAACACCTGGAAGGTTTCTGGAATTCTTCTCGGAATTCCGGGAAACGCCACTCCGGTAAAACAAATCACTCACGCTGTTGCAGACGCCGCCACAAGGCCCCCAATCACGCCATTGAACGTGTCCGACGGCTGCACCGCCCTTGACGCCATGAGCGACACCGCAAAGACAGTGAGCCCCGAGAACGCCGCCGAGACCGTCGCGTTCATCATGATGCGCGCGATCGTGTCGAGCCATAACTGTAACGGAAAAGTAACCTGGGTTTTAAGAAAGCCAGAGGGCTTGGTTTGGACGGCTTTGCTCGGAACTATCTGTTGATGATGAGCAAGTTTGGCCCCTTCAACTGACACTACCCACTCGTTTGTAGCAACTTGGCTCGGAAAAGGTTATAAGATACGCTTTTCTGGCTCAAAGGCAGTTTTGGCAAGGCTTGAATAACCCTCTCCTCTCGACCGAGTTGCGACTTCCTCGACAGAACTGGACGTCTGCGTCCGAACCTCTTTGCATCCTAAGATGTCGACCCTTTACGGCAGTCCCCATGGCCCTTGCAAGCGCCCTGAAGCATTCCGGCGTGACAAAACGTTGACTTCTAACAGAATCTATCCAAAAATTGGAGATTCCGCTATAGTGCAGGTCGTTAAATATGTACACATTCCCGCCATCAAAGTTGCACAAGCGGACGAAGATAGTGAGACTCATACAAACAATACATTCTGCAGTCAGACTCTGATTGAAGGAATAGAAGAGCGCTAACCTGCAGGTCGTTGGATATGTGTACCCTTCCGCCATTGAACCCAAAGAAGCCGACCCAAAAATATGAGTCGCGGTGATGACGTGATCGGCTGTCAATAACCAGTTAGGTGTAGAAAGCACTAACCTGGAGGTCGTCGGATATGTACACACTCCCGCCGTTGAACCCGTAGAAGCCGACCCAAAGAATCAAAGTCCCGGTTGCAATGAAGGCGATCGAGTGGTGCTTGAACTCGATCGGCTTGCCGTCGATGTCGAAGCGACCGATGCGGGGGCCAACCATCCAAGCGCCCAAAAAGCTCGTTAACTGCCAGGGTTAAGAAAGAGTTTAGTGCGGTGTTACGAAAAATAGAAGTCGCTTTAGATGGTGACAGTCAGAACTTGGATCGAGAACTGGTGTTGCTGCAGGGAGCCAACCATCCAGGCGGCCAGAAAGCTTGTTTGCTGAGAAGGGATTGGGGATGCACCAGGTTGGTTAGAGTATATCAAGGTTTCAGTACAGGGTTGAAACAACACTCAGCTCGAAGTACTGGTGCTTATGCAGGGGCCCCTTCCTCAGCGCCCAGGTGAATCTGAGTTGCACGGGGTAAAAATTGAATTTGCAGTTGAATTTAAAGGCTTATTTTGCTTCGATTTGTCCGATTCAAAGAAATGACTAGCTCCCCTGAGCAAGGGGCACGTAGGGATAATCGGAGGAAACTTCGAAACCATGTGAATCTACGGAGTCATGGACCGAGTTTATCAAGGTCATTAAAGCGGCACGCATCCTTATGCGCTTGTTCCGGTACGTGTTAATTGGTGCAGATTTCTTGGCCGCATACCTCAGAAGAAGCCTTCTCCTAAGAATTGACAAAATCATACGAGTTCAGACCAGACTCAGACCAGACTCCACCAACCATATCCAACCCGTGGGGATAGCTTACCCCCCCTGTCACGTGCACAATGGTCGCCCCCGCCAGGTCGATATACCCGTCCCCGCCCAATATCTTATGGTACGTATAAGGGCTCAGCAGCCCATCAGCAGACCACATCAGATGGACGACCACCGGGTAGATGAAGCCGCTCAGAAGAAAACTGCAGCGATGGGCAGGTGCATCAATAGCTTATGACATCCATAAGGGCTCAGGTACAATAGGAGCTCGGAAGAGAGCTGCAGGGGACGGGCAAAGGCGTGCATCTTAAAGGCACATTGCGATTACTGACGTGGCTCCTAAGTGTTGGTTTTGAAAGCTGCTCAGAAAGGGAGTGTCAGCAGAGTCAGGACATAGCAACCACAGAAGCAAGCACGGGGCTTGACAGTTAGATAGAATGTTAAGCCGCTCAGGAGACAGTGTAGGAGATGGGCACTGCGAGAAATGATCTTTTCATCGCGGCATGCGAACGAAGTGGAATGATGCGATTGAGGCGCTGCAGACCAGACGCAGATAGTCCACACATAAGCTGGAAGTGCTGCCTATGCGATGCAGGTTTCTTGACGGATTGGATCATAACAGGGACGTGCACAGTGATAAGTTCGAAAGAAGGCAAAAAGTCTCGTCACGAGCCCAAAACCAAACCGCCCAGACCCTGACTTCCAAGTCCCAGATTTTCAAGCGAAGTGCAATCCTGCACCCACCCGGTGAGACGGGGCCCCAAGCCGCCCTGTCCCAACTCTGTCCGCCTTCAATCCTTGAAACCCCTTCCGGGTCGCTGGAAGCGTGGGTTTGAGAACAGGACAAAAAGCCTCAAAAATAGAACGAGTCTTGCGGCTAGCCCATGGGGCCAACTAGCAGACGACAATACTCGCTGGAAAGCTACGGCCCACAAAGGTCTTTCTCGAAGCCCAAAGGCTTTTCGGGTGCGTAAGCATACCTATATACAAGGTAAGCCGGGAACTTGGTTCGCTCCGCCACCGCTCCGTTCACGATCGTCGCCGTCGTTGCGGCGTACGTCCACTTGTAGAACCACCGCACCTTGTCGCGCTCGTTGAAGAACGCGGCGGACGAAGAGCCATCTGAGGGCGCAGAGGGAGACCATAAGCTATGGATGCGGATAGAGGGACCGAAAACTTGGCAGACCCAGAAGCGACGTGCAAAGGAAAGCCATGAGCTATGGCGAAAGTCAAAATTTTCCCACATGTAATAATCTCCATGTAATAATCTCCATATGTAATAAAATGTAAGGGCGAACGAGAAGACCGTTGATTATCCAAAAGCAATCTGCAAAATCGAGGAGATAGTGCCTACATGTTGCTCCAACGAAAGGGGAACCCCACTGACCACCAATATGGTAACCCCATCAAGGTCATCAAACCGCCACACACAAACAGGTTAAGCTTAACCGTCCTTACCCGGGTGCCGCCAACCCAGGACTTTGTTTCCGGTCCCGTACGCAAGCGCGTATCCAAACGACCAGAACGCGACCGCGGAGATGCAGGCGTCAAGAATGTTTTTTATCATGATGTTGCGGGTGTTCTTCGTGCGCACCGTCCCCGCTTCGACGAGCGCAAATCCGACCTGCAAAACGTGAGGATCATATCAGAACTTTCAGTCCGACTTTGAGCGTGGTCTTGAAGGTGCACTCTCCCTGCCCCAATCAGCAGAGCGTGTCAAAGTACGACACAAAAAGCAAAAACCTCTCTGCATTTACTCTGCTTTTCACCTGGTGTGCATCACTTCTTGCCAAACCATCTCGGCTTGCGCAGTTGATTGTGGAAAACAAAACCGTGTTGCAGTAAGAATGCTTTCAATCCGGCTATGAGCAACTCACTGAACCCAGCAACTATGATTGCACCGATACACGTCAGCATCAGTGGATCTGTTTCGAGGCTCCCTATACACCTCTGCCTTTCACGTTTGAGCTAACGGAACTTTTTGCGATTCTTGACTGCTCACAGACAACTTTGGTAACCCGGGTCGTACAAGGCGCGAACGCCTTTGTGCGGGAATGGTGCAATCACCAGATTGAATCGTCTTGAATTCAGCATCAAGACTTTGAGAGGGGGCTAAACCCCAAAGTGCCCCTTTTTTTTAATTCTGGGGCTCGGTTACCTTATGAGGAGGCCCAGAACATGAAAACTGTTTAAGCGCCCACAACAATGTTCATGGTTCTGACAAGCAAAAGCGCAAGAGCGGACAATCAATTTGTCACTTTGTAGGCAAAGCTTCCAGAGGGGCTCGAGAACAAGGACTTAAGGTCCGAGACCTGTGGGAGAATCCGAAGAGGCTTGTGCAAGGGGGGGAAAAGCAGAACATGTGTGTCAGGGAACGTCAAAGAAAGAACCCAAGGAAGTCAAAGTTGAGAGGATGCTCATTATACGGACAAAAAGACATAAGGTGAATCATGTCCAAGGGGATGGGGGAAAAACAAATCCAAAATCTGGTGCGAACCGGTGAAAACAGAAAGATCAGATGCCCATACTCAAAACGAGAACGATAGAACCCAAGTGGCATACGCGAGGAAGGTGGGGCTTGCCTGCATGAGGAAGACAAAGATGCCCGCTTGCAGCGTCCAGAGGTGTCCGGCGACCAGCGTCCGGAGCGTGCTCGTTGCGGCCAGCTCCTGCAGTCCCACCTCGAGTGTGGCCACCCGCAGAGCGAGCGCCGTGACGTTCGTCGCAGGGTCCATCTTTTCTCTTATTTGTTTTCAGAAATTATATCTACTTTTCCACCATTTGTTGCGAAGGATTTGCGTGCTCCATTTTTGTAGCTGCGTGCTCGCCGCAGCGGCCTGCGTCTCCTTCCCGTCAGCGTTTCAGAACAACTTCGGAACACTCTTGGAAGCGTCTTGCAATATGATCCTTGCAGCTTGACGCACTTTCCAGCAAGCAACTAGTCAGATTATCCCCACAGTTTCACTTGATCGCTGTTCTTGAATCTTACTACAAGCTGGCCAATGATTGCTGTAAAAGTACCTACGAGCTAGAAGAGAGGGCAGGCCTCACCGCCCTTCCGCCGCAGTTCTACATTGGAAACGAAGTTGGTGTAGGCAGTTGGCGAGTGTGCTGTTTTATTGTAGCATTGAACCTTGTTTTAGCACGTCTCAAAAACTTCCCAGGCCCCCCTGGTGTCCAATCCACGGGTTCTAGTGCAAAGCTCAGGTCCCTTCTTCAGCACTATTTGATTTACCCCCACAACGTGTCGCACAATGCCGAGAAGCAGATCGGTGTGTGCGCTTGCCCCAAATCAAATGTCATGGGCTGTTGGGATGTGGTCACGTGGGCATTTGGCAACCAGGCCCCCTAAGAATGGGTACAGCAATCAGCAGGGTTCCCAGCCTCATCTCGCAAACAAAGAAATCCACATTTCCCTTTCAGCTTACAATTAGGTACTCTGCTCTTGGCTTACATGGCACATATTTGTGCATTTGTACATTGAAATTCCTCGCTGTTGCACCTTTTCGTGGAGCTGAAGAGCTGATGACCAGTCTTCAATCCCGAATCTAGGGACTGCTGTCCAGGCTGCTTTGCTAGCTAGCTAGGTACCTAGCATCAACTGGCAACCTTGGCGTGAGAGGAACTTTAGGTCTGATCACGTCAATCTCATCCGTTCGATCGTGGCGCTATTTTATCTGACGGTTGCAGCTCTCACCTAGGGCCTTCCTATCGACGGTCAAAACCTGATTTGACAGATCGTACGGCCTTAGCATCCAGAGAGTTTGACGACAAATGACCAGATTTCCAACTCTACCAAAGCGCCAGAGAATCTTTCAGTGTCACAGTGCTGACTTCAGAGTCCAGACCTATGCACTGTCAACGCCAATGCCAGAAGGTGGCGGCTTCAGCCTTCAAAGCACCCACAGATTCGCAGAGGTCACCATTCTCAGCGGTCTTCTTTTGACCTGAGGGGGCGCCGCATCGGCGCTCTCATTCCTCGTTGCACTTCCCACTCCTCAGCAGCAGGTGTGGCATTTCTGCTGATGGCGGTCGGAGTATCGCTCAATGGCAATGTTGGCTGACAGCTGCAGAATTTTGGGAGGAGATGGCTTTCTCAAGCATGAGGTTCCTTACTATTGAGGGCCTGTTTGCCCTCATGGAGATCAAGTAACCAAGGTAAGTTTTGTATTCTTTCGTATCAGTCTTTATCATCAATGTCCCTTGTGTGTTTGAGCACTTTCCAATGTCACTTTCTCATCCTACTATTGAACACTAGTGTTTGTACTTCAAAACCATTACCACTGTCTTGGGTTGTCGCGCAATCATAACCAGCTTATGACTGAACCAGATCGCCTCATCAAGTTGCTCTTGAGGTAGTCGTGTTCCATCCATTCGTAGCGGCCAACGTCTTCTCTTGGACCCAATGCCATTTCGTCCAGGAATCCTCAACGGCCGCAGAGGTTAGCCTCGTTGAGTCGCCTCGTGAACATAATGACCAGCGGCGAATTTAGAGGTGTACATTCAAACCCCAGAGTCTGCTCTCGGGAGTTCCATTTGTTTTGCAGGGAATGCAATATGTCTCACCTTGCTGTTTTGTTCTCGGCAGGGATTACCGGACGTACATTGCAACCTGCAGACAAATGCCATCCTAAAAGAAAGGTGAGTTGGTACACTCAGGTTGCTCGGCAGCTGAATTGTTCTGCTACAGACCAGTTATTGTTTTTGATTGGATCAAGGGGGGGTGGAATCTTGAAGTTCTTTAGGTTTTGTCATCATTTGTTACGAGTTTTATCAACAACCATTACCACCTCATTGAAAGGGGTTTCATTTGTTTCCATTGCTTCCTTTTGTCCTTTCTGATTGCGCTCCCTGTTGATAGTAGTCAGTAGAGTCTGATGTTACCAGACACAGACAAACTCTAAGCCACTCTTTTAAATTGCCGAAACACACAGATCATCTATTCTGCTGCTCATGTCATATATGCAAGAGGCCTTGGAAAGGATGACCCTTTCCCCAAATGATCGACGCTGATTCCAACTTTGCGATAGCTCTACGGAGCCAAGCCAGTAGCTGATCCAAGGTCTCTTGCAACCACCAAATGGATTGTTCTGCTCATCAAATGCTGCACTTTAGGTTGGTGCTTGAGAGGGTGCATGCTTCTTGTTTTTCTGCACATGTTAGCATACCAGAAAATCTGAGCTCTATCTGAATCTCTGATAAATTCTCAATTCTGTGGTCTCTACCCTCACCAACTTTGCCCTTGTCTTGTAAGCAGTAGATTGTTTCTCCATTTTTGCAACTGCGTCGGATCCCTGGCCCGCGAGATGATGATTCAGATCTTTCTCCAACCGAATAGGCCCACGCCGGTGTGGATCAAACAATGATCAGTCTTCAAAGTTTTCTGATCGCCTTGGCCATTTACGTCAGTACGTCCCTTGTGCCTATCCTCTTTGTCTAAGTCTACAGAACTGAAATGCTCCATTTAAGTGTAGATTCCCTTCCCAATTGTCTCCAATGTCCAAAAGCAGCGGTCCAAAGCAGTTTGACCTCATTGCCATCTCAATAAGAAACGACTTCTTCACAGCTTGAAGTTCAGTGGTCTTGGCTCCTTTAAAGTTGGTTCTTGGTCGTTTCTATGCCCATGAGCCCGTTCCCAGGCAGCGACAGCAGTGCGGCTCTCAGGACTGAAGACCCTGCCTGCCACATGCACCCAGCCCTCGCTATCCCGCCGCGGCCACAGGTGCTGCGAACGGGACGACGGGCTTGGGACATCTTAAGTTTTGATGTGGCCTAAATGTTGGATGTGGTTCGCCTCTGTCCGGTTTGCTGGCCTCTGACTCTCTTGTGTGCTTTCATAAAGCGTTAGAAAAGGGACTCTGGAAATGCTTGATGAGTCGTATTCAAGCTTTTCCTTTGTGCACTTGTTTGCCCGCCTGTAAACCACTTTTTGCAAGTTTTTCACGCTGGCCCCTGTCCATCTGTGGTTCAGTATGTGGTGGTGGTCTCTGTCTTCTGTGCGGTGTATGGCACCGTTACCAGGCATCATTCTTACGAGTTGCCTCCATTGGAAGCGAATCATTGACGAAACTCAAATAAAATGAGTCATGGGTAATAATGATTTGAGGTCTGTAATCTTTGCAGGGTCTCTGTGAACACAGCAGTCATCAGTTGCCTTCCTTGTTCTACAGGTGGAGTCTGTGGCCTTTCTCAAGCAAGACAGCGGCACCTTCACCACAACAAGGTATAGCCTCGCACTGTTTTGTGACAATCTTAAGATTATTTTTCCACCCTGCTCCCAGCCTGCCTCAAATGTGGCATGGAGTCTTCTGTTTAGTGCCCTCTTCAAATCCTTTTGTTGTTGTTCTTGGGTGCTTGATCTGCATACATGCTCTTGTCCATGTAAATCATTTTGTGACAATGGGCCGCTCTTCAGGCAACCAGCCATGGACTCCTTTCCTGAGCCGGTGTTCGGCAGCCCAGAGAGCAGCTCCTGCTTTGATACGAGTACTGAGGGGCACTTGCCTACTACTTGGGCCCCCCTGACGTCTTCGTGCTTTGCGGGAAACATCAATCTGCCGTTTCTTTCCCTTCTTCAGGGCCATGCAAAGATGGTTTCTGTTTTGTGTTGTTTCCGCTTGGTGCCGCTGCTGATGTGCTGATGTCCTATTCTGCAGGGTGCAAGTCATCTCGATGGTGGCATAAGAAGATTGCGGCCTGAAGAAACGCCTCCCTTCAGCCCATCGCTTCGTTGAGGTGAGTGCTTATGGCAGCTTCATAGCCTCTGGTTGCTGCTTTTGCCGATCTGATTTCTGGTGACCCTGCATCATGTTGGCAGTAGGTTTCTCTCAGCATCAGAACCCGACTTTGTTTGGTGGTACCTTTGAATGTTTTGTATCAATCTTCCTGTTGTCAGATCAATGTTCTGTGTTCATGTATTCGGATCCGCTTGGACCTTCCATGCTGAACTTGGTTGCATTGCTGTGAGGGGTTTGGCTCTGCTTAAACAAAGGGGGATGCGATGACGAAATTCAGATCACACTTTATAGTGCTGAGCGCAATCTGATGGCGGAATCTAAGGGTCTGAGCATCCCCCGAACATCGTATTGTCTGCCTCGTGCTTACTACTGGTATCAGGATTGTCAGGTTTGAAGTGGGCATGGATCTTGTCTTGTTACTATGTAACAAGTAGTGTTACAAGTGTTAAGTACGTAACTATGAAGTGTTAGCCTGTTGTTTTCGCTTTTTTCGTCATGTTCCACCTGAGTCGACCTGATCTGATCTCTGTGTGATTCTTGGGATGCACTTGTTTGATCAGTCTGAGCTGTAAATGACGATAAACCACAACTTTGAGGGGTTGCGCACTGATCAAATGCCGCAGCCTCGCCTGAAAACAAAGCTGTACGCTTGGCTTCTGATACAGCTCATGTGGGCAGTCGTCTTTGCTGTTGCTAATCCTGAAGCAATTATAAGGGATTGATGTCGCTGCTCACAGTGCCATTCTTCCAAGTTTATTCCGCTCACCCGGATTCTGCTGTTCTGACTGCTTGGCCGGTTGGTTCTTGATGCCCCAACTTTCGGCTTTCTCGTATATGATAAACAGATATCATGCTGTATATGCTTATTGACGGTCGAACACTGCCATCCACATTGGTTGGGTTCAACACAAAAACTTAATAAGCGAGAGGGACTGGGGACATCTACGGCCGCATCTGAAGTTCTGATTTTGCGGACCTACATGTCCTCTAAATTTCAACCTGATACCCACGAAATTGATTTCTTTGGCGCAGTTCATCTTCAGGGCTTGTTCTTTCTCACAAGCGGACGCTCATTCTGCAGGTTCTGATCTCTACACTGCGCACCTCCTACAGTGTTTGGAGATTACCCGAAGTTTCAAGTTGTTTCCAGACAAATCACATTTACCTGCTGTTGAAAAGCAAAACACTAAAGTTATTGAGTTGCTAACGAGGTAGTACTATCTGAATCGTAGGTGCGTTGAGTATGCTGGCCATTTTGAATATGCACAATAACCGCACATTCAGGCTTCTACCCCTCATCTCGTTCATACTCCATCACTTGCGGATGCAAGATCCTTGTGGCTGCCTCCCACACCTCATGCGTTTGGCCGTATCTGATACTTATACATGCCAGGTCACTGCCATGCACTAGTTGGCCATCTACGAAGTTGCTGCTTCGCTCGCACATGCAAACATACTGCACACGACACCTGTCCATTTCGACATATCTAACCCACTATATAAGTTTCCGATCCGTTTGCATGCCACTGAGTAACCTTTAGTCCAAAGTGGCGGTCATGGCCCATTGCAGCATGTGCAATCATTGATTGCCGATGCTGGTCAATCCGGTCTGTGCTATACGTGGCTGCAGCGAGTTGATCGAAGCTTGCCAGACCTAGCACAATCATTTGATCTGCCGTATTTTCGCGAATGTGCACACTGACCTTCACTTGAATTAATCTTGCATGAGGGGGCCTAGTGTGACTCGTGAGTCTGGGATTGATGTCATGCGGTACTCTATCGCTGCGGCAGCGCCTCGGCACCAGCATCTCTTCCGCATCATCTACGCATTGCATCATGCCAATCCAACAACAACAAAACTAGCTGGCTACCCCCCCCCATAAATATAAGCATTCCACTTATGATGGACCCACCGATCCGCTTGGCACACCGCCAAGTTGCACACCGCACGTCATACAAGAGCGCAAGCACATGCGCTCAGGGAACTTCTGCACTTTGGCACCCATGAAGAGAAGCTGCCATCAAAGACCTCACTAGGCCGCCATAGCGCGACTTCTCTCTCTCAAGGCAACGTACAGAAAGTTGCATCAGCAACTTTCGGGTCCAGCTTATAGGGCTGGCCGCAGTCACTCAGCATTCGGGTCTACACACAGTAGACTACAAACTGCAGCAACCTACAGCCGTCCGATCGGGTCGAGCCCTAATATCAACGGCTCACAACTCGCGCGCGCGCGCAGCTCCGATGAGCCACGGCAACGAGCCTCTACAGCGTGACAATGAAGCGCACCAGCCGAAAACGTTTTTGTACGCAACATGTACATTGTACAGCCTAGACATGCCATCTGCTTGATGGTGCACACATGCAAGAGCTCTGGAGCTGCCGCTCCAGCTACTCATAAGAGTATCTTTCTGATTCATTAGGTACACAATCGGATTGCAACTTGACCCCAACTCAGCATGTTAGAGATGACACTATACAAGCCGTAGTAATTACCTGATTCAAGTTTGCCTGCAATGTTCAACACGGAGTTGTACCATGCACCTTTGACAATTCAACTCTCTGTTGGTCTAGCTCAAGATGGAAGGACGATGAAGATACCCAAGCTAAACACCTTGTAAACAATTGTAATGGACAGGCAACCATGAGACGCGCGCTAAACACCTTGTAAACTCCTGTAACCTGCTCTCGAGCTTTGCTCTCTCTTGACATACTCACGAGCGCCCAACGCCCCCAAGAGCATGCCGATCGCCCCGAACAAGATAGCAGCTGACCCGGCCAGAAAAATTGCGAGTCTTGGCCCAAAGAAGACCCCGCTCCTGCTAGACTCTCGCCGCTGCGAAACCCACTTTGCGATGTATGCCTTCTCCGTCTTTCGGGCTGCTATGAGGGAAGGCGGGTCGTCCGGCAGAGCCGCTCGGAAATCCAAGTGGTGCGCGCCTGTTGCAGAGTTTTTGGCACAGATTACTAGATTGTAAACAACTCCTAATGAAATTTTAATATTGAAGAAACAAACAAAGAAGAATGTCCTGTAAGGGAGAGGATGTCGTCTGCCAGGGGGTAAAAAGACCTTTCTTTTATGCTCTGACGACGTACTAAACCACAAGCACCTACATGAAATGCGCAATGGCCCCGACGATTGTCAGAAGAGTGACTTCGATGACGTTGGAAGCACGTTCCGAGGCGCCTTAGAGTGAAACGCAGGCAACACTTGCACAATAAGGGAACCAGATCCTCGAGCCGAGCAGCTTAGAAGATTTCTCGTGGCCATTTGAACAGAAAGTGGACGGACACACGAACAGAGCCAAGTCTTCCGCACCATGACAAGGTAGGGCAGCAAATCTTGTGAAATGGAAGAGGAAGAAGCGCTTACCGTCCTTGATCTTGACAGCATGGATGGTACTGGAAATGTCTTCCAACACGCTGCAAGAGCGGGATGGAAACGTGCATGGTCAGACTTCCGTCGCGGTGCTAGTGACGTCACTCAAGAGTCTGGCTGTTGAGAAGAGGCTGTCTTTGGCTCCCGGACAGAACAGTTGGTTTTGATAGCACCCAAAAGGTACGACTGTTGAAACACAGCTTACGATCATGCAAGGATTCAGCCAGACATGGAGCAGGGCAAGTGGTGTGCTGAAAACGCGGGATCAAAGGACCGGTCAACATAAAGGAGTGCAGGAAGGAGGGCGACCCACCCTCCGCCGCTCCAAGGATCCAGGTCGCCGTTGGAGAAAACAATGTTGCTCGCCGAATAGCGAAGCACGGTTTGCACGTCCTGCACGAGGGGTGCTCTGATCACGTCAGCATCCGCTGCCGATGACGTCACCCGGCAGGAGTTTGCGGTTGAGCCGGGAAACGCGACCGTCTCAAAGGTCGTCTCCTTACAGGGAATCCAACTTGAATGATTGACTTCGCGAATACAATATTGCGCCCTCGTCTGCAACGGCTTTTAACGTAGAGGCTGCTCTTCAAACTTTGAGAAAACCCCGATGACCAATTAAATCCTTCCAGTGCCGACGAGACGGGCGGCGGAATAAGAAAAGCGTTTATGAGCACTGAATCAGCTTCGAAAAACATCCGCCATCACCCGACGAAGCGGAAAGTTTCTCAAGACACAAGTGCCTCGTGATCAGAGAAATTGACCAGAAGTTTAACCAGAGAGTGACCACAAAAGTACCAGAATAGGGATTCGAGGTGTCACCAGAAAAGTGACCGGGATGTGTGACCAGAAAAACCACCACTATGTGACCTTGGTGTGATAAGAAGCGCAGTCAGCATTACTCTGCCGCCGTATTCTGTGAGCACCCAGTTCGGCCGCGGCGTCACGCCGAACTGGTCTTGGCACGACTTGACGAACGCGGGGAGGTCCCACTCCGACGCCTCGAACATGCTGTTGCTCGCGTTGCTGGACATAGGCATCACCATCTCGGTGCACGCCTGCCAAGCGAACAATAGAACATATTTGCGAATTCTCGACGTTCGTAGTTAATCGAGAATCACGGTTCTCTGCTAACGAGATTACTGACCCGTTTTTGCAGCTCAAAGAGCTGCATCTTCGCGCCAGATCTTTCAATCTGTCGCTCTGCAAGCAAACTTCACAGCGCAGGGAGGACGGCGCCTCCCTGCGAACAATAGAATATATCGAGATTCTACAGGGTTCAGGGATTTCAATGTCTCTTCGACTTCGAAGATGACTTCATGCATCTAAGATTGATTAGCTACTGGAACCCAACCGGACCCTTGAACACATTGTCGTTCGGTTTGCTGAAAATTTTCGTTGCTGCTCGTCACCAGGTTGGTGCAACCCCGGGAAACATCACAAGATAGTTGCGGTTGGGGTACGCCTTCGTTCTTAAGTACGAGTATGAGCTAACCGCATAAGAAGTCAGGCTACTAATGCGAAGCAAAAGCGACGTCCAATGTTGACCTGTTCTTGTGCAGCCTGTTGACTTTGCAGATGGCCAGCCCCACTGCTCTCCAACTTCGGACGAATGTATGCGCGAAAGCCTGGAACTTCGAAAAAACAAAGCCGCGACAACAAGACCCTGAAAAAGGGCATGATCGAGACACCTTGAGAGCGCCTTTAGATCACGCGTCCTCCTAAGGACGCGTTGCTTCGGAACCTCGAGCGGCCAGACATGAGTCCAAAGCACAAGTAACGGAAAGGCGGCAGTGCCTCTGCGTCACACGGCGGCCTCTGCGCACCTGGTAGTTCCAGCCGTTCTCCCCGTGCGGGTCCGCCCCGATCTCGAAACACGTGGCGTCTCCCGAGTAGTTGAAGTACACGTTTGCGCCAGCGTAAATCCGCTCCAGGAGGCTCGAGCCTGCGGGGGCCCCATCCATCTGACGACAAACCTGCCAGAACGGAAAGCAGTCTGAAAATCAGCGCGCTTCCGAAGTGCCTTTGAGATGGGATTGTTATGCATCCAGGATCTGACAGTTGCACTCTCAAGACGCGCAGGAGACTCGTGATTCGTTCTATCCAGTTGCTCGGAGTTCTGGAGGCCTCCCTGATACGCCGCCACACGCGCTGAGACGGGCTCGGTGTCAGATCTCAACTTTTTCTATCATCGACTTGAACACTATATAATCGCTTCGTTTTGTGACAGTAACTTTGTTGGTTTGGAATTCGACAGAGCTGCTCTGGGCTGAATAACCCGTGGACGCTGCTTTCTTCCGTCGACGCGCCCTACGAAATGGCGCAGATACTCGAAAGCTGAAAAATCTCCATCTCGTCTCCAAGACTGAGAATCAGGATATTGTGTCCACCCTGGGTCAGCGTCTGCCTCCGAATACTCCTCAAGTTGAATCCTTTCAAGATGCTCGAGCTTAATCGATCGAAGCCTCACCTCCCTGATCGGCCAAGCCGGGAGCGGAGCCAAGAACGCGGCGGGGGAGGGGTAGTCAACCATTGCCAGGTTGGCATATGCCTCGCTCAGCCAGTCCTTCACTTCCTCCGCAGACTCAGGCGTCCTGTAACACACAAGAAACGCTGGTGAATGTCGCTCATAGACACTGTTTAAAGGACACTCAGAGTTGGGCTGGGCGTTTTCGCCGAGATGAGCCTTGCAAAGGGTTCGGAAGAGATGCCAGATCCAGTCGTTCACTTCTATGGCTCTTCCATCGGGCGTCGTTTCTCCAAAGAAGTTCTTGTTCGGCAGTGACGTGCCGAGGATCGGCGAACAACGGGCGTGTGCCACGGTTTGCAGGTAAGACAAGCTTCTCCTTAAGCCAAATCCATCTCGCGCACGACCTTTCCCTCGTGATGAATCCCGAGTACTCTCTCACGGCTTCTGCAAGAAAGCCGCCGAAACCTGTCTAATAGGGATGACTACGTAACGCTCAAAATGCGTTCCTGCTCGCCTCTCTGGGCGAAAATCAATGACTGTAAGCTTGTGAGAACAGAAGTTTCAAAGCTCGTGAGAATCGGAGGGCCATACCAGGACTGTAGCTACTCTGGGAATAGCATGCTGGCTTACCGGCAGAGTCGGAAGACCTCTCCAAGTTTGAGAAGACCGTTTGCCGGCGACGCTGCGACCTGATCAATGACGTCCCAAGAGGCCTTGATCGTCTCGAAGCACGAAACGCTCTCCCGCTGCAAAGCAAAGCACGGGCGCTCAAATCTCCTCCTGTCATACCGTCCTCATTTAACGTTCCTTTTCTTGAGAATAGATTCGATGGACGCTGGAAATAGCCACATCTTGGCCTTCTACGTTTCTTTTCATTCTGCCCGTTTCATTTTACGCCCTGATTTTCCTTTTCAAGCAACCGGCGATCATTCGGCTTCGGCTTTCAGGCAGCTACTTCCACCAAGAAGTACGTTCGGAACGGCTTGGATTGGCTAGCGAGGTACCATGAAGGAGACGCCTTGTGTGATTCATTCCGTACACCCAACAAGAAGTACGTTGGTTTCAAAGACGGACAACGTGCTTGGCGCCAAGGATTGAAGTGGATGGCCGAGTCAAGTTTACACTTCTGACCTCCGCAGTAAAATTGCTGAGAGGTCGACAATGAGAGAGAGAGAAAAGGAGATGCGGGCAAGACTGTGATTATGAGGGGGTGCGACGACCTGAAAGGACAAATGCAGCCAGTCACGGACCGAACCTTGCAAGAGTCGACTTGATACAGGATCGTCTATAACGACGTGACGTGATGGCATCAAGAGGACGCCGTTTTGACAGTACAATATGCAACAAAATACTTCTTAAGACAGGGTTCAGAGTATGTAACATAATACTTCTTAAGACAGGGTTCAGAGTATGTAACATAATACTTCTTAAGACAGGGTTCAGAGCTGTAAGCAAAAGTGAGTAGATCCCGTCCGTTAAGGCAACCACACCTTAAAGTCTTCAGACACAATGTGGTAGAAGGAGTCGAGAGGGACGACGTCATCGAACTCGAGGATGGGGGCAGACGAGGCAACGGCACCACAGGCGATGTGGGGGTACTTGATGCGGAACCATGCGGCCAGCACTGCATTGGCAGCCGTTGCTTTGAGGAGGGTCGAAGCTGGAAAGTGTTGTCTCTTTTCTTGATCAAATCGTTGGTTATGGGAGGTGTTATTCCCGTACAAGAACACAGCAACGTGCAAAAAGTCCATTTCGAAGTGCACCTACACAAGATTGAACCCGTATGTCCGAATTGCTCATTGATGTCTATGTATCTTTTGACTACCTGTGGTTTTATCAGTCTCGAGCAAGAGGAACCGCAGGTCTCAGAAGAGATCAGGATCAACTTACTGCCACCATATGATCCGCCAAAGACAACCACAGACGAGTTCCCTGCGCTGAGGTTCCTCTTCAGATCCACAATGAGCGTTGCGTAGTCAGCCAAGGCTTGCTCTGAGCTCAAGTACCCCAGCGTGGAAGCGTTCCTGTACGCAGCTTCCTGACTCCCAAAGGGCATTGACTCCCCGTAGTATCTGCATTTTTGAGGCAAACCTCAGTCCTTCCCAAAGAGACATCCTCTAGGAGTGCAATGAAAATTTCTGGAACTGCTGGACATGGCAACAGGCTAAAGCGCAACGGCCAGACGTTCTACTTCGGGATTGAAAATCAGATTGTATTCTCCAAATATCTGGTGTCACTCTTTGACCAATCAAACAACTAGTTAGTGTTCATGAAATTTTGAAGTACTGGGCCAGGATACTGCTGCTGAAATCCTTCCAGTGATCTATAAGGATCTTGAGTATATTATTTTCTTAGGTGTTCGAGTCCATCTTAAACAGAAAGCCACACTAGATACTCACCGATGCTCAGGGAATACCAACAGGGCACCAAATTCGGGAGCAATATCCCACAAGAATCCAGTATTGTTTGCAAACCTGCAGGGTCCAAAGATGAAATACTGAAGGTTTCAATGGACGCACTGACCAAAGGGCTCCTGCAGCCCCCTTGATACCCTGCATGAGCGCATAGCAAAAGAGAAGCAGACATTGGAAGCTGGCACATGTGGATGGCCACCGCAGTATGTTTTAACAAGTTTTCTGGAGTAGTTGACTCGACAATCATATATTGGAGATTTAGCACATTCCCACTGACATCAAAGGCTTTTGATATCAAATAGGTAGAGTGTGCAGTTGGCCCGATGAGCGATTCAGAAGACAAGACACCTCTCAATCAAATGACACTAGCTTATAAACATTCAGATATTCCCATCGTGGTCACAACGTACTGATTGTGAGCCTTGACTTCAGAAATGTTTGAATCAATCGACACATTAATTTGTCGATTTGTAGTTGCGCATCAAGCAAGCTCTCGCTCCTCCTTCAAGTTATTGTACAAGATTGGGACTATATAAATAAAAGCCTCTTGCTATAGCAGGTTGCTTGAATACAACCACACCATCAACCGGTTCTATTGCACTCAGATTCTAACACCTCACCAGGGAGCACAACCTCACCAGTCAATGTACCCCTCATTTCCCATGTACACAAAGATTGGGCCATGCCCTTCCTTCAGCCAGTGTTCATCGTTGATCAGGTACCGCTGCTGAAATGTGGAGGTGGCTTCAGGTGTGAAGGCGAAGTGATCCAACGTCTGACTGTAGTATTCAGTGCGATATGAGTAGGGTGCATTACTCTGACTGCCTGTCAATTGCGAACCAAGGCTGGCGTCCCTGCGAACCCTGGGAATCCTGAGGTGGCCAATTCCCTGGGTGGCATCGCCCTGCGTACATAAGGCCAAGATGAGGAGGAAAGCCAGCACACAAGGCGCCGTTGGAAGGAGCTCCATCTAGCCCTGTCAGAGATCCAAGCAAAACGAAGAAGGTGCCGGCCAGCAATGTTCACTTTTGCGAAGCTGGGCCAGAGTTACAAGGGGTTTGAAGGGGGTTTGGATGACCAGCCCGTAATCAAGGTCTAAACCCAACCTGTACGCTTTTGCAAACCCTAAATTCCAGAACCCTAATGCTGCTTCTCGCTGAGTCATGCAACTTTACGTGACTTGTGCCCCGTCAGCACGCGCAGCTAGGCGCCATCATCATGCCATGGCAGCGTTGAAGGGAGGAGAGGAAATCGCAACTTCAATGGCTCAATTGCCTCAGGGCGCGAGAACGCTTATACTTTTAAGGTGGTGTAGCAGCAAGGGCAGAGTCTGGGAGGCCACAAGTCGTTGGAGCTGACGGAGCCTGGCTTTCTGAGAAGGAGGCCGCCATGCAGGTGGCGACATGGGCCAATCGAGCAGTGGGAGCGGCGAGGCTGTGCCGGGTTATAGCCTCGGCACAGACGACGGGCAACGGTTTGCAGAGGGTGGATGTGGGGTCCTTTGCTGAGATTCCTAGGTCTGAGGAGATGCATACTGCAGGGCTGGAAGATGGGTGCAGCACGTCGGGCAGGTTGCCTAAGTCAGCCTCGACCCATGTGCAGTACCCTGCGGTTCCCAGCCTGGCAACCATGTGTGCAGCAAGCCAGCAGAGAGGCTTCAGCTCGCATGCACAGTGTAAGCTGTCTCCTCTGCTCTCAGAAGTCTCTACACGCATCGTTGATGAATGTCTGGTTTGGTCCATTTTGGTGAAGGCCTTCACAAATATGAGATTTTAGGGTTTGAATTGCAAAATTCGTGAAAAGGGCGGCATGTCCTGCATTGCTCACTTCTTTCTTCTAGGGACCTGATCAACCAGTATTTGTTTGACGGTTGAGGTATGGGGTATTGACATCCTTGTTACAGTGCACAATGGTACAACACACATAGCCCCTCGTTGGGCCATGACGTAATCTCCATAAGCAATGCTATCATGTTTGGGATGCCCGAGCTGATATTGTATGGCCGATCAAACTCAGCCCCAAACAACGAAGCTCCTTTGAAGGGGTCTGGTTTGAAGCCTCTTACATCCAGTTGCAAAGTATTTCTGTAGCCTAACGATAAGACTCCTTGTTTCAGCTTCTCCACCTGAGCTGACACGGTTGGCTTATGTGCAGATGCTGAGATTCCACCAGAATATGAAATCAGACCTGGCCCTATTGCTGCCTACCAGAAGCTGGTGGAAGGAGGGGTGATGAATGAAGACGATCATCAGGTGTGATGCACGCACATTCATAGTAGCCCCCAGCTTCAACCATGTGTGCAGACATGTCCTTGTTCAAGGTCTAGTGGAACTTGTCATTGGTCGTTGATTCCTTGATTGGCACCTTCAGAGCATGTACTAATGTAGCTGCGTTTATGCTGATGCTCTGATGAATTGATGGTATGCAGGAGGCTGCTCTCGTCCTCCTTCAGAATCTGTATGAGGAGCTTGTTGACATGGTAGATCAGCGGCCGGAGGGCAGGAACTATGGAAGCGACAGGTAGTGTTTCTGACACGTGTCACCCCCTATCAGATCGCCTATTAGTTGCTTGATTTCCATTAACCGAAAATATCGTTTATCTGTCAATGGTTTCCCTTGTTGAGAGTTGGTCCTTGATACAGCAACAACAAATCAATCTGCCCTGGCAAGACTGATCTGGAGGCAATAATTTTCCAAAGCTAACTAGCTTCTGACGTTTTCCATGCCCCATGATCTGGATTGATCTTATTCCAATGCTTTGTGCAGTCGGGATAACTGGTGGTCTCGCTTGGTTGGCCTATCGCACCGGTCGGGCGCAGTCCCAATGCGAGGCCTATATTTGTATGGTGGTGTTGGAACAGGGTAAGGGGCACTACGACTAAGCTTCCAGGAGAAGCATCGGATTCAATTGTCGATTTTGGGGATTATGTCACAGGGGTACGTGATTAGTCCGACGTTTGATCCCTTGATTGACACTTGTTGAGAAAGAGCATTCTCCAGTCGTGGTGATGAAGATTGATCAATCAAAGAATTTGTCGTTTGTTCAGTCACGATTTTGTTTGTTCAAGCACTACTTAGTCAAGCAAGTTCTTTCAATTGTTCAATCAATTGACCATCTAACGTTCAGTCACTCAATCAAATGAACAGCCTGCTCTAGTATTAGATCAGATCTAAAGGCCTTGAGGTTCTAACATTCTGGACTCGCTACCACCAAAAACCAATAATAGGCATACAATCCATGTAACTTACCGGCAACTTCTCTTTTTGTGCATGCAGGAAGACTATGCTGATGGACATGTTTTACAAAGAACTGTGAGTTCCAATCAATTGACTCCCCCGTCCAATCAACTTTAAGGCTTTGCAACAGATGCCTGGACGTGCTCGTTGGGTCTGCAACTATTTGTTCACGGAAACGGATACTCAGCATCTTGTTATCAACTGCTTTCGGTCCTTGCCTTACCTGCTTTCTGAGGCTGGGCTCTTGTTTCGCGCGCAGGCCAGAAAGCATTGCGAAGACAAGAATACACTTTCACGATTTTATGCTGGATGTACATGGGAGGTTGCAGGTAAGCACGGGTCAAATGGTTTGCAAACAATGACGAGGCTCATCAGATCGAACCGTTTGCACCGCAATCATGAGGTTCGCGGAATCTCACCCATATCTTTGCTTTGCAAAGTCCATTCGGTCAAATGAAACCTCCATTCCTGCTTTTTTCTCTTTCTTCCGCTCCTGGGCTGTTGGAAGCTTCGAACTATAGACCAACCCCGGTATTGCCCTCAGTTGCTGGTTCGAGAATAGGGTAAAGTGTGTTGACTTAATTCAGCAACATTCTCGCATATAAGTTATCTTTGTTCACTCCGTACCAAAATGGGTAGATTCCAGAGACAAAGTATTGAACGCAGATATAGTACCCGACGATAATTTGCCATTGGTTGTGGAGAACTTTGCGATCTTGAACAGCGCTTGTTCCTCCTCGAATCAGATTTGGGCACATGTGGGCCCGTGAGCGTACTAGGCTCGCTTGAATCTGATTAGATTTGAATCCAAGTGTTATTACTCCTCTCATCCATGAAAGCTATCATTCCCAATCATCGAACCGTTGGGCCGTCTATCTCACCCCGCTCTTGTTACTCTTTCCTGAACAGAAGCTTCGGTCGCTGCCAGACCCGCTCGAGGCGGTTGCCACGCAAGTCACTGCAGACATTAAGCTCCTGTGTTTGGACGAGTTTATGGTAAGGCTCCTTCAAAGTCACTGCCACTGTCGCCATAGTCCTCGTATGCGGATCTTTCCCTTGTCCCCGGGCCTTTTAAGCCGCTTTCAAATTACGTTTATTTCCTTGATAAACCATCGAAACGGAGATTGCAGCGAGTGAGGATGATGAAGTGTCACCGTGATTTCCAAGTTAAAATCTGAAAGCCTGGTGAGATGCGATTGACAAGAATCCATTCCTTGCTCTGGGCAAAAAAGCTTTGTCTGTCATTTTCCTGGAACGTTGACCTTACATCAAGCCATGATGAAAGGACACTTTCACGTTTGACGACGCGTGGGCAAACTCTTTTTCCTAGTACAGAGCTGTGTTGTCTTCGGCCAGGCAGAAGAACCTATTGTCCTCTTCGCAGGTGACGGATGTTGCCGACGCTATGATACTCAACCGGCTCTTCCAGCACCTCTTCTCGAAAGGCCTGGTGAGTCGCCTCTCTCTCTTCACCTTTTGCCTTTGACAGCTTGTTGGTGCAGCTTCGAGAAAGGTTGCGAGAGCAGTAACGATTTTGGTCCTGCCCGCTCTAGTCCGTGAATTCGTCATTTCAATGCGCCGTTTCCGCTCTGAGGTGGACAAATCACGCCGTTGGGGTTCTCCCCAGCAGCACGCATGCAAGAGATTGCAAAAACCAATTGGGGATGGCACTTTCTGATTGAAAGCGATCGGAGGATCTTCTCTTACTGCCACCTGTGCACGAGCGCACTTGGTGCATGAATATTCTTAACTCTTTGCACTGAACGTCGACAACGGTGAAATGAACGATCAGGCGAACCGTCGCATCAAATCGCCAAGAAAGATCCTCAGATGGAGTATGTTCCGTTACGAATTTCCAACTTTCGGTACTGCTGGTCCCAAATGGTGAATTGAAAAGGTTCTTGAATCTGCACACGGCCAGCTTTCTGACATCAAGCCTTGAAATTCTTGTCTTTAGGTCGACTTGGCCGCTGTCCGACGATCGAAGCAAATTCCTGACCACTTGAGATTGCGCTGGGACATTTCACCCAATCACTCTGGCTGCTAAGCAACAATCTGTTGGTATCAACGTCGGACCGTGCGCCTGACCTAATCTACGGAGGCTTGCTGCGCTGATCTGACCAGAATAACCTGGCCGTTTCTCAATACCCTGTCGTATCAACGTCGCAGCGTGCCTCTGACCGGCTCTTCGGAAGGTTGCCGAAGCCGCTTCCCCCTTGCAATATTATCCAAGGTTTTGACGCCAAAAAGTGTGCGGATCTTTTAGTTCCAATTTGGCCGCTGATTTGACAGGTTCTCGTATCGACGTCGAACCGTGCGCCTGACCGGCTGTACGAAGGAGGGCTGCAGCGGCAGCTCTTCCTTCCCTTCATCGAAACCCTCAAGCAGCGGTGCGTTGTCCACGAGATCGGGTCCACTACGGACTACCGGAGACTAACTGAGGTGGGTCTGCTCCTCCGTGAGAAAGGTCCCAAGCACGGCCCCCATTTTGAGGACTACACATGGACCACATGAATAGATTTTGGGACGTTATTGAGGCATCCATTGTTTTCTGGGCGCTTCATAGGCCTGAACGACTATTTTGCTCGCGAGCTGCATCTTGCGGTCCCATCATTGGCACTTTAGTTTCAGGCGAAGCGCGTCTCGGCCTCGTTCTTGTTCTTTGCAAGTTCAAGTCAGGCCTGGTCTTCAACGATCCGGGCGCCTCAAGACGCTTGAAGCAACAAAGACCTTGTTTATCGTAAGAGCGCTGGGCAGACGACCTTAGCTCTGCACAAGTTAGATGTCCCTGGTGGTCTTAACATTCTGAGTACCGGTTTCGCAGGCCCAATGAGTCGTTTCATTCTACGGCAGGGCGCCTTCGAGATGCTGAAACCCAAGCCGACCTGCTTCCGAACATTGCGTGGCAGACACGAGTAGATTTCCGATCCACGGACTCTGGTTGTTGAAATTGCATCTCCATTATTGAATGCGCAGGCCCAGTACGGCCTCGTTTCCTACGGCGAAGGCGCATCCAACCTGTCGAAAGCCAAAGTCCAACAGAATGTTGGAGTTTGTGGAGCGAAGAGTTAGCTTTCGCGGAGATTGGACTTCAACGTTTAAAATTACCAGTTGCGCGCTGCTTGTATTCTCGCAGGCCCAATTAGGCCTTTTCTTCTACGGCCAAGGCGCCTCCGAGATGCTAGAAGCCGAATTCAAACCAATTACAAACGTCTATGGCAGACGAATGTAGCTTTCTTAATGCACGATGCTAAGATGACTCTGAATTCCTCCTTATGTTCGGTTACGCAGGCCCAATCAGGCCTCTTCTTCTACGGCCAAGGGGCTTCGGAGATGCTGGAGGCCAAGTTCAACCTCATCACGGAGAACGCGCGGTTGCAACCGGCCACCGTAGCAGTATTTTGAAGCTTCTGCCTTCGGTGGTCAAGATTACTAACTCACCTGCCCCTTGTAATTTTCAGGCCCAATTAGGCCTCTTCTTCTACGGCCAAGGCGCCTCGGAGATGCTGGAGGCCAAGTTCAACCTGATCACCGAAAATGCGCGGTTGCAACCGGCCACCGTGGAAGTGGCAATGGGCCGGCGGATCGAGGCGACCAAGGCAGCGGGCGCGCGCGCTTTCTTTGAGTTCACAGAGTTGTGCGATATGCCGCTTGGAGCCGCCGACTACATCGCTCTCTGCAGTGAGTGCCGCCTGGCTCTCTTTTCCGCTTGTTTGTTCCAGCTTTGTTTCCACTATTCCAATTTCTGTCTCCCCTTCTTTTTCTGCTCATCCGTGCCACTAATACGCATCAAGAATTGTTCACCCTCAAATCAGATGATATGCTTGGTCACCTCTTTGTCCACTCATCACACGTTATGAATCATTTCCCTGTTCACGGTTCTCCCGCTCCAGACTTTGATGCTGCCTCTTTCCGTTTCAGCACTCGTTCTTCCAGTTGCTCTTACTTTTGAAGCCAGGGTTGTTGCTTTAAAGTCAGCTGCCTCGTCCTTTCCCAAGGATGAGGATCTGCTGATGGCAGACGCGTATTTGAGGATTCTGTTCGCTTCTTCGAAGTCTCTTCCAAGCAGCAGTAGAGTCTAAGAGCGGCTGAATGTCACGGAGACCAGCCTTTGTCACTCGTTACTTTCGGTGCCTCTCTTCACGACAACTTTGCATGCTCGTCCATGCTTTGGGCAAAATAGGTAAAGATTCCTCTGGGAAGATCGCAGAGAAATCTCTGAAATTTATGCAAACCGCAGCTAATGGCCAATCAGTAGAAAGTCCCCAGAGCGCGAATGCGCAAGCCCGTCCAAGGAAAGCCGAAACAAAGACTAGCATCTTAAGCCAAGATATCACCTTGCGCAGATGTGAAGAAAAGTCTGGGGAACATTGACAATGCATTTCCTCGAATGGCAGATTACTTCCACACGCTCGCCATCGACGACGTGCCTGTTTTTGGAGCCAGCAACCGCAGCGCCGCCTACCGCTTCGCCACGCTAGTCGACGTGAGCACTCCCCTCAGTCTCCAGCATCTTTTGCCAGACATCCCGTCTTTCTTCTTGTCCCGGCAGAGTGCCATTTTCATTACCAGTGCTGAAAGCTTTTTGCTCCTCCTCCCCTGCACGAGCTTGAGTCCCATCATTGACAAACGTCTGCCGCAAAGGGCAACTGCACCAAACATGACCTTCTATACTAGACCCAGCAAAGGCAGTGATCTCCTGCGCTTTTGGGATTTTCATGACACGACGACGATCCCCAAGTTATGTGCGAGCATAGGATTCGTCTGCTATGCTCAGCGGAGGCGACTCCGGTCGCCTATACTTGATTAGACTAAGAAACGCGACACTGATCTCCCATGCTACTTTTCTCAGCAACTGGCGAAAAGGCACTGCTTGCTCATGCTGCTTTCTCTAAGCTGCAGAAACACCCGGTTGATGTTCCCCGGCCAGTTGATGTACGAGCACACGACCGGGCAGCTTTGCACAGCTGAAGTCACACACAACAATTATTCCCCATGCCTCTGCAAATTAAAAACACGCTAATACTTCCTCAGGCTTTTTCAAACCTGCAAACAAAGAAGGTGACGTTCCCCGTCCAGGTAATGTACGAGCACAAGACCCGGCTGCTCTGCTCGGCGGAGGCCACCCCGGTCGAGCTGTTTGACCGGGTGGTCACATACGCCGACCGACCACAGCAGAGAAGCTCGCGCACCTGGGACAACGAGAGGGCGGACGTGCTCGTGGACAATGAGCTAGGGTTTGCCAAGGACCGGATAATTAGCAGGTGAGTCACGAGTGCTGAGCTTTGCAATCCGACCATTGCTTGGAGCTCGTAGTGCTGGATGACTTCCGGTCTGGTGAATGGACTTTCCATTGTCAGATTTGGCGTTCTGGGTTTGGGCAGGGCCAAGTGAGCGCCACCTGGAGGGTGCGCAGTCCTCAGCAGTATAAGGGTAATTATAGTTTTGCCCTGCTGGTTCGATATGACGGCGCATGAAGGAAGAGATGTTTCATCGGGAAGAACAGTTTGGGTGCAGGATCAAGGAACTGACTGCAGAAACGAGTCGATTAGTCAGTGCAGGTTCTTCGTATCTATCCAAGCGGGCCCAACGTTGTAACACAGCGTTCCAGCATTTTCGTCGGCTGCTCAAATTGAAGACAACTTTGCGTAGCTCCCTGCGCTCCAGCCGCTTTTTCGCAGAAGTGTCTCTTTCGAGATGGTGCTTGAATTCTGCGCAGCCTCGACAATCCAGGGGAATCCGGGTTGTTTTTGGAGATTTTCCAACACCAAACGGAGGAATCAATTCCGGACATCTTGACCCATATGATTTGGTAACTGTTCTTATGATGGCTTCCTTGCCTTGCAGGCTGACAGAGATGCAAAGTTTGGACTACCTAGAGGACTGGTCCCAACGCCATTTCCACACCGACCATCACGAGGACGCCGAGGAAAATAGAGCCGCGCAAGGGTAAACACGATCTGTAACGGGACTAATCTTGTGTTTGAATCAGTTGGCTGCTGCGGCTCAGCATGAAGACCAATCTGATGAGTGTGCTCCAAACATTGTTAATCTGTAGGAGACATATGCGACATGAGGTATGAGTTTGTGTTTTTGGTAATGAGGCCAATACAGTAGCTTGATTGGAGGAAGCAGCCCGCAAGTCTTTGCGCTGCGAGCTGGGTAACACCCGAATTTATCTGTTAAGATGAGCTTTTGCCTACTAAATCTAAATTTGCGGGTTCTCGATATAAATTGCATTTTCGATGCAAAGCATGAAAGACTTCAAAAGGTTGCATGTGCACCTCTGCATGCGGGCATGATGCTCGTATTAGGCTGGGGACGAATGATACTTGAAATTTGGATGCAAGCCGCATGCCATGCCATGGTGTACATTGAATTATTGCAGTTGTGGCAAGGGGATGTCATGAATGTTCTGTTGTTGCCAGATAGTTTGATCCAACATTACTTTCGTGCACGTCCGTACGTTTTGCGAGAGCCGGATGTGCATGAGCCATGCGCAGCACAAACGAGCTCGTCGTTACTCGAGCTCATGACGAGCTCACTCACGACCTTGCATGAGGTAGTGGTGCTTCCGGCCGTGCCTGGATCCATTCAGCTGTGAGATTATGCTACGAGATACAAATCAAGCATATGCTGGATTGAAGGCGTGGAAGCTCTCATGCAGCTCGGGCGAACAAGGATCTCTTACGTCCTAAATCGTTGAGGGATGCGCATAGGCTACTGCTTATTACATAAAAAATGATTACATGCCGCTCTATTAAGATGCACAGACCGGCTTACATTACCATGGCTCAATTACTGGAGTCAGCGGCCCCACAGCATCACAATGAATTGTGCTCGTCTTTTTGAAAGCTATGCAATAACACTAGTCATGCAACTTGTGTTCCACCAAAAGAGCGGCGCGCGAGGGGGACGCAAGGCGTGCACCCAACTGTCAGTCGCCGACCTGTTTTGAAACAGGGCCTCCACCACCGGAGTGAGCCGCCGCCCTGCACCTCGAAGCAAAGACAGGTCATCAGCCTTGGATTCTTTGGACACTCTGCGATCGAAAAGATCATTGAAACGTTAGCGAGCGCGTCTCCACCGTTCGATGATCCTCGCTTGTATTTCCAACCGTTCAATCTCTTTCCACCTTTTCCCACAGGTCTTTTGCTAGATGCATCACGCCCACGGCCGGGCTGATGTCATACTGATGCACGTGCAAGGCGAGGGCACGTGGCAGGTTTAGGAGGCCAGCTCGCGCGTCAGCGGCCGCGACCGCGGGCCGCGTACTCCTGCCCAAGGAGGAACGCTCGTTGCAGTCAGAAACCGCCGCTTGTGCTTCGGACGCGAGCTTATTCACACCGTCTTCGTGCTTAGACACATACCCGTCCCGAGCTTCTTTTGACCTTTCGGAAACGTCATTTCGACGCCCGCCCGGCACAGGGACTCGGCCGCAATGACGTCAGCTACCTTTGAACGGCTCTATCGAACGACTGTAACGTGCTCGTCGTCGACTTTGGTTCCGGCGCAGTAGTGCAGAAGGATGATTACTCTCTGACCCAACTCTGGAAGGCCATCAGCTTCCTTCCAGTACCCACTTTTCCTTTCCCCTAGATTTCGTCGCGCGGAACGCGCGACCAGCTTCTTCACATGGCGCATTCCCGAGCGACCGAGAGCCGGTGCCTAGCACCCGCTTGGTCGCCACCTTTATGCGACATTCCCGGCAAAACTGTCGTTCCGTTTTGCTGTTCTAGAGCTTCCTTCCTGACTAAAAGGGCCGGAAGTGGTGCCATGGCCGAGGCTGAAGAATTGAACGGGCTCGTGCTGCCTGCGGCCTCCCTGCGGCACGCGTCAAGCCCTTAATAAAGCGACCCACTGTTTCCGTTCAACTTTTGCTTCCGCCGAACTCCGTCAGCCTTACGTTCCGCTCGAGGTCCGCCTGAGCTTGTCAGTGCTTCTGGGGGATTGGGCGCATTGTTTTTGCAAACATGCGTCTAATCCTTGTTCCCGAAAAGGGAATTCCGAGTGTACATGTCGGACGTTCCAACCGTTCCTTTGGGCGCTCTCGTTCGTCCAGGTCCAAACTCAAAGATGGCTTCGTTCACCTGAAAGAGTAGTAGCCTGAAAGAGTCTTTTCATGACCCGCACAATCGCTTCGAGCCCTGTCGACCAGTCTGCGTGTCATGCCGTGTGAACGGCAGCCAATTTAGCACCACGTGGCTGCGCTAAAGCAGCCTCGCAGATCGCGGGGGGGGCGGGGATGGCGCGAGGAAGACTACGCGGAAAGTACCTGCGACGTGTCGCCGTTTTGTTGGCCGATGCGTAGACGAGTCCGTCGGAGGTCGCCTGGGCGTCGTTGATGGGATCCAAAACGCCCCGGGAAAGGACCTCCGCCGCGATGCCGTTGCCTGCGCTTTGGAAAGTCGGGGGAGAATGCCCCCCTCGAGCAGTTTCCATTGCTTGATATTCGTATTTTTCATCCAAGAGAGAGCGCGCCCCCGCTGCCCGTACTAGTTGCAGAGGCTCCTTCTCCGTTCCATGGTTTCTGTCCGAGCCTTTTCTTCCGGAGCCCAAACCGCCTTCCTCCGGTCAGATTTGCCAATCGGCTCGAGATTGTTGTCAAAACTCAGAGGCCGGCGGCCCTCTCCGGCCCGCTACCGTCGCAGCATTGGCGCGAAGCGCGGCGGGAGTGGCTGTCTGATCACTCTCGAATTTGCCGAACAGCTGAGAGCCCTGCTCATAACGAACCACGGCGACCGAATGGAACCACGGCGTCCATCATAGGCCCGCGGGGGCCTTTGCGTGCTTTATATTGCATGGATGCCGCACCACGTACTGAACTTCGTGCGGATTCTCTTTGCCACGTGGCTACTTGTTAAGAAGTGGAAGATGCAAATAAATCCTTCCGCCAACGCAGTGTGCCTCAGCGCTAATCTCAGCGCTAACCTCGGCGCTATCCTTGGAGTCTATCCTCGGCGCTATCCTTGGGGTCTTATCCTCGGCGCTATACTTGGAGTCTATCCTCGGCGCTATCCTCGAAGGTTGGACGTGCGGCCAACCTGTCTAGGTTGGCCGGCCTGCTCAGTGTTCCGGCACTGCTGCAACCTCAGGCAGAAAGGCTGGCTTTCAAAGACGTAACCTGCCTCGTGATTTGAGTATGAGACACAGCCTCTGATACGTCTCTTGACAACCAGTCAGACCGTAAGCTAGTCTGTCACACAAACGGTTGATGCCAGTAGACTACACTGGCCTAGTATAAAGTATCCAGAAGCCTTCGATCTCACCATTCCACTTTCTCTGTCAAGCTCCGAGCTCGCTTCTCGAAAACCCACCGCAAAGCCCCCCGCTTTGCCGCGATCATGGCGCCAGTCACTAGTTGGTCGTCCTCGACAGCTGCCGGGATGATCCTCGCCTTCCTCCTGGTTGGGACGACGCTCGGTCTGGCGGCTGCTCAGGCGCCGTTCACTTACATCGTCCAGGTAGCTGTGGTAAGTCACTGATCACGCATATCCGCAACACCTACAAAAACTCTCTTCTTTAACGTGGTTGCTTGTTTTGGAAGTGCAAGCTCTTAATGTTAGATAGGGACTGACTTCGTCATCGTGTGAGAAGCATGTATGTGCCCACATGGAGCTCGGACAAAAGGGGAAAGGTGACTCTATCTCTATCTGCTCGCTTACTTTCTGAGAGGGAATTCATGGGCTTTCGATATCTGTTCAGTGCTGATCACAATCATTGATTGGCTTCAAGAGTTGCCAGCGTGAAAGAGGCATTGGCCGACGTCTGCAAAAGGAGAATGTCCCAGTTAGGGATTGGAAGTTTGACTTCCTGCTTTTTCCCTTGTATTTTGTCATCATGAGCTGCGGACACGAACGTTGCTCCTGGAGTTTTGAAACCTTGAGCAGATGAGCCAGTGACTTCTAGATGCATTTTTTGGTTTTGCAGAAAAGCAGCCACTGATCACGTCGAAGTTGTGTACTAAATTCTCATTGATGAGAGACATGAAGCCCTCCGCTATCCCTACCAGTGCTGAAGCTGGTGGCTGCTTTTGGATCGACAATGGAACCGATCACTTCACGTTCAAAACGAGACTGACTAACCACCTGGCTCAACGGCTTGCACATATCTAAGCTGTCGTCCTTTGCGGGCTTCTTCTAACCCCCCCGTTCAGACTTTGTCGTCCAGTCAGGAGACACCTACTTCAGGATCAACATTGGCAGACAATTTCTCATCTGTCGTGCGCGCAGGGTGTTTTGGCTGTTAACCACGTTCGGTTACGGGCTGGTTCGCAGCTGGTTAACTGTCCAATGACCAGACTCGAGCAGTAACCAGGTTCTAAGCGTGGCTACTACGCGGTTATTGGTCAAAGAACCAGACTGAAGTTTGGTTATCGAACCCGTTTAGCAGCCAAACCTTCCCGTCACGTGCAGGACTACCCCTTTTACGACATCCAACCCTCGCCCGGCCCCCCCGGCACTTGTGGCGGCTCCTCGTACGGCGAGAACGCCACCGCCTGCGAGGCACGGTGCAACGCGACGGCCGTCTGTGTTGGTTTCGTCCACAGGTCTCCAGTCAACTGCTGCTTTATCAAGAGCAGATTGTTGTTCCCGAGGCTTGGCGCGGACACCACGTCTTATGTGAAGGCGCCGTTAGGTGAGCTCCCGATCCACGATTTCACAGGAGATTTGGTTGCTAACCAGGCTTTTACCATACCCATTCTGCAAGTTATTGGACCTATTCTGGTTCTTGGTTATGGGATAACCAGGCCGTAGCCTTGTTTTCAGGATGGTTACCGCCCAAGTCTGGTTATTGGACAAATAACCACTTTCTAACCAGCCCATAACCAGCCATGATTACGGGCCAAAAATCCCTGTGTTTTAGTGTCAATAATGTACGGTCAGGAAACGGTACATGACTCCGAAGATCTTCATTGAAGCAGGCAAGGCCAAGATATTGCAGAATGGCTCTGGTCAACGACTCTTTCAGAGCGACCGACAACTAAGCTGAGCGTATCGCGTCAAAGATTTTTTCCCGTTTTTTCCAGGCTATACGTACACCGTCCAAAACGCAACGGTGAGTCACGCGGCAGGCTCAATCTTTGCTCTACTACACTTGCTGTGTGTCAAAATCAACGTATTCCGATTGCTAGAAAGTACCTGCTTTCTGCTTTTTTTTCTGCTTTTTTTTTTTCCTTATTTTTTTCTCTTACTCAGTGCCGATGTAGCTTCGGCTTCTCGTCAATCTCTTGCCCTTAGCCGCGGTCCTGTTACATCATCTCAGAAGAACGCTTGATTCCTCGTTCCAGCAACTGCAACGTCGCAAGTGAATCAGCAAAGAAATGTCCCTTCGTGGTTGGTGGCTCGGCTCTCTTTGCCAAGAGGCGGACGTTTCTTCTTCGAAACAGCTTGGCACATGCAGGAAGAGACTAGCTAGCGCTCGTGGGACTACTTGGTTCGCAAGTCGATCAGTAGTGCCTCACGTTACAGTCGCAAATGCCCCGAGCATCTCCGTGTTACGCTCGTTATTACGAAGTAGTCTTATACTTGACATAGAATTTGGCACGTCTTGTGACGTTGTCTCGTCCTCAGTTCAGCCGTATCAAAAATAAAACCCAACATACCGTTGACTTGAGAACTCAGCCACTTCCTCTCACCCGAAAATCCTCGAGGTCTGGAACTAAAATATTCCATACCTTCATTCTGCAACAAAGTTTCTGATGCTGCTGTGTTGTTCATCAGGACTACCCCGGATACGACTTCAGACCCCTGCCGTTGGCGGGTCCCACTTTTTTCCCGCCTCTTTGCGGGGACATTGGGGTCAGCGAGAGCGCCGCAGCGTGTGAGATCCGCTGCAACGCGGTGGATTCGTGCGCTGGTTTCGTCCACTACCCCTTTACCAACTGCTGCTTCTTGAAGTTCGCGCTCCCGCCGGCGAACCAGAAATCGGATGTTACCGTCAACTCGTACGTCAAAACGGGTAAGCTTTAGATGCGCAATCAGGACGCTTGTCGACATTGATTAATGATCAATTGAAGGCTAGGTTCGATGCATCCACCGGTTGGTGCATGCGTCGGTGATAGGCCAGAGATGCAAAAGCTTGACAATGATTGTTGACAAAAGAAGGCTTAGTGCTCCGGAACATTATAGCTTCTTTCAGACACAAGTGCTCTCTGATGGTCTTCACATTTACTTCGTGGCAACCAATGATAGATCGAAATCTGCATAGCCTTTGCGGCAAAGGCTACGTCACAGGATTTCGTCAATCTGAATGTTCCCTTAGACTTCTATGATACTACGTCCGAACGGCTTGAATCTGAACCCAGTCTTGTCATTTACATGCAGCCTATCTAGGGTACTCCGTTGAATTCGGCCTGGTAAGTTACATGCGAAGTGGTCTGCACTCATCTGAGTCATATGTACATTCAAGTTACCAGTGTCTCTTCTGCATATTCCAATCTTGCTTGCGTGTATATTCATCCACTTCGCTAGGGTCTTGACTTAAACACCTGTTTCTTTCGGCTGATCGTGACCTAATAACGACCGCATGTGTTCAAAAGTAAGCTCGGCCAACACACGACTGTCTGGCGTTGATGTAGGATTATTTCGGCTTCCCAATCACCGTCCCCGGAGCCCCCACGTCGCCCGCCTGTACGTTCCCCCCAGTTGGCCAGGCTGCTTCCGACATTCCGTCGGCAATAGCCGAGAATCTCAACGCGTGCGTGGCGCGCTGCGATAGCACTCCGGCATGCCTCGCAATCGCCCACTACGCCGTCCCGAACTGCTGCATCTTGTGGAGCACGGTGGCCGCCCCGGATCCCAAACCCGGGGCTGTTTACCTCTCCAGGAGGGTTGGTGAGTTTCGTTTGCAACATAACTCCCTTACAGCTTCTCCCGACCAACCTGCCAGTTTTTAAGTGTCATCTAAATTAGACTCATTTCGCTCAGGAACAGACTGACTAACTCACACTAATAATTTCACTAAAACTAGCAGGTTGCTCGGAAGAAGCTGTAGATGCACTCCCGCTGATGGTTGCGGGTTTTCGAGCGGTTCTAAAAGACCGGTTATGAATGCTCGAGAAGTCGAGTAAAGTTTTATAGTTTTTCCCACCTCGTTCCGCCTTCTTGTCCGGCTGCTACCAATGGCATGCTTGAATTACGGCTTATGATGGCCTCAGTCCACTGAAAGCGTGAACGTCTCGCTTAAATTGTTGACTCGATAACATCAACGGCAATTCAAGAAGTACCACCGTCTAGTATTCCTTACCTGATTCTACTGTACTGCTGTGAGTCCAGCTTAATCCTTACCAGTCGCTTGACGTATGTAGCCAATCTGGTCCCTCAAGCAAGAGAAGGGACAACCTGACGACGAATTACTTGACCAGATTCCGCTTGAATCGAAAGCAAGTGCCAACATTATCTAAATTGAGAAGCTGCGGTCCTGAACGTTCCCCTATTACTGCTGGGCTTGACACTCCCTCTCGTGTGTGCAGTCCGTGCATGCTCAGGAGCCTCCGCCGTCAACTGCAACACCCTCCCAATCCCAGTAATGCAGACTACGGGCCCATGCATTTGTGTGGCACCCGTTGGAAACAACACTTCCATGGCGACCACGGTCCCGGTGCGTTCTGCGCGCCGGGCGTTACATGCTCCGCCTGTAAGGGCTGCAACAGCAACGCAGACTGTTCCGTCCGTTATTCCTGCGCCGCCAACTGCGGGGGTGTCGCGCCCACGGCGACCAAAGGGTTCTGCCTTCCCAACTGCGGAGTCCTGTCTTCAAACCGTGGCACCGGCTGCTAAGTTTGTGAGGTCACAAGTCACAAGTCCTGCAAGTATACATACAGTCTGCCAAAAGTTGTACATTTGAATCCGAAGTAATGGTGTCTGTCGTTTGGCAGGAGAGCAGTTCCGATTAGAGGCAATCAAGACGAGACAGAAGTGAACGGTGGTTCCGACTTACGAGCAGAGTATCAATGAGTAGATCAAGGTTGCTTATTCTTTCGTCTCGGCATGCAGAGGAAAAGAGAAGAACACAAACACTTTGTACCCTTTCACGTTAAGAACAACGCCACTCCCCACGTCCATTGAGCTCGACATACACACAAGTAGACCAATCGGACTACATTTGGCAAAAATGCTGTATACAGTATTTGTATCTCAGCTATACCAATTGCTTGGTGGATCGATATCACTTGCGCAAGTCCCGCTGCAGTAAGCCGATGTTCGCGAACTCCTCGCGTAAGACTGTTGGCCAAAGTCTCCATCGACGGTTTGCTTCCGAGCTGGTCACTCAAGTCAGCTGGTTTCCAGTACGCCATTCAGATTGTAATCAGAAAGTACAAATGACTGACTTAACTTTGTATCATTTTACTGCGTTGAATTCCTAGAGCTAGGCGTCAGCTGGGACGCTGGTCGAAAATCAATCATGCGCATGCATGGACTGTTTTCATCGGCCTGATCTGCCTTCTCCCGAAACTGCCGCAGCGTTCAAGCTTGACCTCATGCAAGCTTATACTGCCCGCCGGTGCCGGCTGACCATGCATCAGATGGACATGATTAATTGATGCATGATGCGACCGCCGCGCCCTGGAACCGGCATTTGTTGGGTTCATGGAAATATCAGATTCCAAGCCTCAAATAAACTGATATTCCGTATTCCTGAGATCCGTCTTATGGGGTCATTCATGCACGTTGTCGAACCTGGTCCTTATTGGCCCGATTAACTGATGCAGTGCATTGTAAGTTTGATTTGCGCATGCGCAACTATCTGGCCGTGCAAATGTGAGCTAGCTCAGAAGCTATATCCTGTCCGACTCGCAGTTTTTAAGCAAGCTGACGAACACAGCAACGGCCGTACTACGTTTCATTCCAACTTCAAGCTACAGCCAGGCAGCTTTCAACGGACATGCCGACGACCATTTTCACGCAATACATGAAGGGTCAGTGAAGCAAGACATGCAAACATTGTTGATGCACACAAACCAAGACAGTGCAGGATTTCTGGCAGGCGGCACTCTGCTCTGTAACTTCCATGACAACTAGCTTTGCATCATATCGTTGTCCACTTGCACAACGTCAGTTCTGTTATGTTCGATTACCAGCAGATCGACTAGCTAGCCGTCTCTAAGTGACATGACTCGTTGCAAGTTCGCTAAATATGCTTCGATATCTCAACTGCGAAACGCGAAGGTCTGGAACAAACATTTAACCCGTAACTTGTGCGCACTGCCTGTACATTATGCTCCTGATCTGGCTTGACTACAATCGGTGCTCGAAGTGCGATCCGGCGGCAGCATACGAAATGTTCATACGATGAATGGTCGCAATCTCACCAGTAAGACATATGCTCAATGAAGCCGGTAATCCAACCCGGAGCCATACTCCCAAGCCTCTAGCCGCCGTTTCCACCGATACCTCTGCGCAAGGGAGAGCCTGGGAAGCAACCACCTGGAAAACAATTGGCGAGTGCATCGGCTTAGAGTGTTGCAGTAAGCTAGGCCCACAAACAGCGGAGAAAATGAACAAGCAACGGTCGAGACAGAGAGGAGAGTCAAAGAAAAGAGTCAAAGGGCGACAAACAGGTTCAAGAAAGTGAGAGGTTTGGAGGCGACTCGCCCAATCAAAGAAACACAAAGGAGTCTAGGAAACGGACCCTCAGCTCTCTGCCATCCTGCAATAAGAACCCCACTTGTAGTTGACTCAAAAATGTGTGCTAAGTTTCCAATCAGCTCAGTACAGCAAGGTCAATGAACAGTAAACGGGACGGTGGAGCGTACTTAGGAGTTGAAAGGGCGTCAGACTTCATATGTCGGCCCGAGCGGTGAATCTAGAAACCAACGTGGGCGCACAGACTCTTCTAGCACAACTGGCAAGTGCGCTCAACTTTCGCCCAAAAATCAAGCGATCAAAACTTGGCCGGGGTAACTTTTTCACTTTTTTTCCGCACGCGGCGCAGGTCCGCCTCACATCGGTTTTCAGATTCGGCGTCTCAATACGGGCACGATTGCCGCGCAATCGAAAACCGCCGTATGCGGCTGACGTCAAGTAGGACCAGTCCTCTGAAGCCCTCTTTAGGACGGAACAGGTGCGGAGTGCGAAGACCTTGGATGGGGTTTTGATTGTACCCAAAAATATTGACTACCTTTGGCCGCAAAGGTTACGACAAAGCACGCGCTCACCTGACGAGGGGCGCGAACAGCTTGTGCGCAAGCGAGTACACTGCCAGGCCGACGAAATGGCGGAGCCAGTCAACGAGCGGGATCAAGCCAACCTGCGGAAGCATACAAAGGGTTCTGCGTAAGCCGTCTTCTTTGTCTGTTGGTGGGTGATGCGTATGGTGAAAGTACTCTCTTCCGGTACGTGGCAAGTAGACCTCGTTCACGAAACAGTGTGTCGTCTGGAAGATTCTTATTAAGGATGCTTTGCAGATCCGCAAGAACTGTCGCTGCTGAACCTACTCCATAAGGCTTGAGCGGCGGCTTGAATGAAGTGACCGTCTCATCCATCGGCCCGTTCCACAAATTTGGAGAAGAAACAGATCCAAGATCTCTGAATGAACGGTCTTCAAACAGCATCCCAGAGAAGAAGTGCCAGCCAAAAGCGTGCGCAGTCACCCCTGCGCCCTCCGGGAGCGCAGGCAGAATGGAACGAACGGGACGGACTGGAAGGGAACGGAACGACACAAAGTTACACTCCCCTGTCTTAACATGGTGGGGCAACAAAAGCAGCCGTCTCGCTACCACTGTGCCTCATCGTGAGGGGAAGCAGATGCAACCGCGAACGGAATAAACGGGAAGAGACCGGAACGGAGCAGGAAACAAACTCGCCTGTCTCAAATTGGTGGGTAGCATCAGCGGCCGCGTCACCATCGTCGCGCCCATCGTCAGCGCGAGCGAATAAAACAGGAACGGAACAACCGGAAAGAGAACGGAATCGAATTTGCCTGTCTCAGAATGGTGGGCACCATCAGCGGCCGCATCGTCAGCGCAAGCAGATGAAATACGAACGGAACGACCGGAAAGGAAACGGAATCAAACTTGCCTGTCTCAGAAACCTGTCTCAGAATGGTGGGCAGCATCAGCGGTCGTGTCACCATCATCGCGCCCATCTTCAGCGCGAGCAGATGAAATGCGAACGGAACGACCGGAAAGAGAACGGACTGAACGGAGCGGAATCAAACTCACCTGTCTCAGAATGGTGGGCAGCAGCAGCGGCCGCGTCACCATCATCGCGCCCATCGTCAGCGCGAGCGGGACGAACTGCGTCACGTCCTGAAGCACTAGGCGGACACGTCAGCAGGCGAAGTATCCGCGGAGCAAATCTGAACCGTTTCAAGCTGAAGGGAAGCAACCACTAGCACCGAGTTATGAATCTCGCATACGCAAACCATACGCAAATAGCTTCAAGAATGCAGAAAGATCGGGTCTGGCAAACCACAAGCTTTTGAAAGGCGCCTTACAAACGGATTTCGTGGGGGTAATCTACTCAATCATTGCTTGTACCCGCGACGAAACATGGAACACGAAGCGCCCAATCTTGTCCCGTACCTTCATGAGCCTTTTGACGATCAAACAGCTAGAAGCAACGCTATCACTAGGAATATGAGGGCACATCTCATGGAGGGAAGGATACCGTGGTCAAAATCTCCTTTTCTGCATCGTCTCCAAGCGCGTGTGTTTGTTCCGTGCAGGTAGAAAGAAGGCGTTACTCTTTGTTTTTCCCTCCTAAGAAAGAAACTTAGTGACATAGAGCGGTCGTAAAAACACAAAAAAAGAAGGATGCGAAAGCGGGAGCAGCGAGAAGAGCCCACCTGAAGGAAGGGTCGGAGAATGGGCTCCCCCAGGCGCTGCATGCACCCGAAGTTGACCGACAGCAGCTCGTTGATGAAATTGGGCGGCGGATTGGATCCCACTTCGTACGACATCGACTTCTGGAGCAGCCACGCGCCGCTCAGGTTGGGCTGTAAGAGGACAGAAAGTCTTGCATCGGAGGGGAATATTTACCTCAAGAATCGGCCATTGTAACTTCTAAACAGACTTCTTAACAGGGTCGACTGTAGTCCCTTTGCGTGTGAAAGGGTTGTACTCAACTTGCTTGATTGACCATAAAAGAATGTTTATAGAGGGCCACCTTGAAAAGACAACGTGCCAAGGCCCACCGTCGTGGATTGTAGCACTTTTACAAACTCTTAACAAAGAGTAATGAAGGCGACAAGTGAGAGTCGAGACATTCTTGCAAGAAACGAGGCCGAGATTAAATAGAGATTCCTGTGAAAGGAACACGAGATCCGATCCTAAGTGCAGCAATCAGGTGGGTTGTAAAATCGGAAACGCAAACGACCCAGCTTCAGGACAGGAGCTGACAGGGGTCCACAGAAACGAAACAATCCTCCGATCGGACTGACCAATTCTTGTTGTCGTCGGTTAAGTCGCACTCACAAGATTTGAGGCATACCTGATATGGGTTGAGCAGTGCGAGGTCCCGCTTCTTCAACAAGTCCGCATCTAGTGCGTCCGAGATGCCGTCCGTCAACCGTCCGATGTGCCGAGTGATTGCGCCAAAGCCGCCGAACGAGAGCGGCGACTGGATCCCGCTCGCATCGCCGATCTGCCGGAAATTGTGGCATCTTAAGAGTGGGCGTGCGCAGAGGCATCTGCACCGGCGACTTTTTCGCCGTTATCCAAATTTGACAGTCGCCATGCATAAGCGCGTGGCATTATGGTCGCGGCGATTGTGTGATTGAGCTCAGTCTGTCGAGTCGCCAAAACCACGAGGAAACCCACGTCCTCTTTCAGCGCCGGCAAATCAGTTTGCAACCCGTTTAACTCGTGAGACATACTGCCAGCCGCAGGTGAAAGCCAGACGCCTTCGTGAATGGCTGTTCACTGGAGCCAACAGAAGACTGGGATTGCAAGATGGATATACGACCGGAATGATCCTTACACTCCGACGAACATATGCAGCCAATCTCCAAAAAGGAGTTCAGAATCAACGACGGCTGGTCGTCAGAGTCTCCTCTAATGGGAGACAGCTTTTGAAAAGCTGGCACCAGAAAAGAGGACGGTGACACTAATTTACACACCGCTCTGTTCGTAAAAGAAGCCATGCATTAGATGCAAGTAAAGTGCACGACTTCCGGCTCTTCAGAGACTCGTCAGAAAGGCAATTTTGCGCCCCCAACTAGTATGAACTGAAAACGCGTCTCGAGCCTATTGTGAATCAAATCTGCTCAAGAGCGGTGCCTGTTTAACGATATGACACGTCGAGAAGAATCCTCAGCTGCATGACCAATTCAGAACGGCGAAAGCGGAGCTTACCTGCAGTACCCTGTCAAAACCGGGCTGCAGCGGACTGCTTCTGTAAGTGGGGAAGCAGCCAAACAGCACTCGCAGAAACTCGAGGTTCTCAAGTTTGACGCCCTGCGACAGAAGAGCGCCACGTGTCAAATTCAGAGTCTCGACTAAACAGGGACAACCGTCAAGACCAGTGTTGAAACGGCAGAGTTTTACAAGCCTTGGAGCAGCTTTAGCGTTTCCTCTCAAAGGCCAACCTGTGCAGAATCCCTCCGCTTGAGAACCACCTCATGCCGAACCTTACACAATTAGTGACCTGCGCACCAGCATCGTCAAATCCCCAAACTAGCTACACACTCCAATCTAGATTGTCACCAGCGTCTACAAGACCCCACGCGAAATCACCATTTGTCGTCCTTCGAAAGGCGTCTATGCAATGTTCAGCACACGGCCACTTGCACTCTGATATCACCTTTTCTTGGCGACAAGGAAGAGAGTTGCGGACTCCGTGATCGCCCTGTGACGTTAGGTCCACGGGTTTCATGACGCCCTCTGATGCTAACCAGCGTTCTTCGAACTTCTCTGATTCCCACTCCCGTATCTTGCTCCAAAACTTGGACGGCCCAGCCCTTCATATTGACACTCTCGAACCTCCAACATTCTTCCAGCCTTATGCACAGCCTAAGATCGCTTCACCGAGGCTCTAAAAGCATCCCCAAACCCTTCGATCTGCACGTTCATCCTGAAAAGCACCCCGAGTCTCTGACATATTAGAATAATCGTCTAAGCTCCCTCGTAAGCCTCTAGGCTTCCCTTACCTGGTACTTAGGCATCAGCTGCCAATAGTCCTCGAGCAGGGACTCTAAAGATGGCCGGTCCGGATGGGCATCCAAATAGGTGAACATATATGTCGTTCGGTCTCCGGGGCCGGATCCCGCAGGAAAGGCCTGAAGACATGTCACTTGGATTGAGATTGTCATTTCTTGATCGCTTAATACGTTGCTGAGTGTACGAGTTTTGGGAGCCCTTTGATCATTATACATTGTCAGCTTGTGACGGCTGCGAGTCGAGGCTTGGCAGAATAAGAGTGGATCGTTCCAGGTGCTGTCGGCTCTGCCCCTCGAAACAAGGCTTTTCGCAATTGGACCAATCGTTTCTCACCAGAGCTTCTTCTCAAGACTGGGATGATGTCAAACAAAAAGGGGTCGGAGACAAATGCAAATTACCGTTTGCGCGTCTTCTTCCTAAATGATAGTGAACTTCCACCTTTCAGACATCGAACTCGCGGCATCTTCAGAAAGTGGAGAAACCAACAAGCTTTTGATACCGATGTAACCGTCAAGGAGCAATCCTTCCCCCCAGACGTAGCCGCAACAACCGTCTCTCTCAGACTTACCTCCCAGAAGTACTGCAGCGGCGAGCGGCCCTTGCGGGTCGCGGGCGCATTGGTGAGGATGACGTCACCCCCGGTGTTGGTCTCCTCCGGGAAGCCGCGCGCGCACGCGCCCACCACCAGGCACACCCCGTCCGGCTTGCGGCCCCACCGCAACTGCACGAGAAGGAGCGCTTCAGTCACACCGTTGTCTATAACACAGAGCTTTTCAACATCGTTTCTCCATGATCTCGTCCTATGCACCTCGCGTTGTCATAGTGCTCTAGCACGCATAGCTGAAACTTGTTTTCGACGATTAGTAGAGACGATCCAAAGTCTGTGGCACTAACATACCCCCACGCATGGCCTTCCGCAACACGTCGACTTTTGGAACTTTCCAACATGCCTGCTTTCGCCCCAGTGTTTCGCTCCCGTTTCCGTGTTTCATCTTCAGTAGCAAGACAGAGAGACCCCCGCTTGGACAAAACAATGCAGAAAAGTGGCCTGACCTGCAGCGTATCAATCAACTTGCGACATGCAAACAACCGTTGCAGACAGGGTCCGTTTGACTCCGTTCGAAAGGGCTATGTTCGGAAACGACACAACTAGGCCCTTCTGTCATAAACTTCGGCAGAATACACAATCTCGCCAGCAACTTTCGCTTGACTTTAAGAACCTTTCTTCTTTCGCCTTATCTTGGGTGATCGAAGAGGACCCGAACAATCGAAAGGTGAAGGACGACGCCAACAGGACGACGGACGGGGAAGAAAGAGAGAATAAGCACGAGGATTTGAGCATGCAACAGTCCATTCCTAAACCTCTCACCTGCCGGACAATTGGCGAAGCATGCCCCATCGCATCGATCACGAGCTTTGCGACCAGCTTCTTCTCCCCAAGATTCAGCACCGCTCCATCCGCAAAAACGTCAACGTTTTCCAGTCCCGTTTTCTCGAGGAGAACTCCCCCTCGCTCTACGAACCGCCGTTTGGCAGACTCGATCAGCTTCGCCGGCGAAACCCCCAAATTAAGGACATCGTTAACAAGGATTTGGGTCCCGTTGTAAAAGCCGCAGCGGCCCTGGAGAGATATGATATCAACACTCAGACATCAAGGCCGGAGCAAAGGAAGATGCTTCTGCTTCGAGAACAAGTGCTTGGAATCTGTCTGTTTAACTGAGGTCCCAAACAAAGAGGTCTACGTACGGGCGCGAAGAATCAATCAAAAGTTGGCTCTGCAGAGATTATCACCACGTTTCTTGCAGGAGCTTGGACAATGATTTGCCCAGAACTGCGTAGGGCTTCAAAGAGTATGTAAGCGTCCGCAATTTCGTTTACGAACTAAAGCTTTTCGGGACAATACAAAGTCTCTCCCTGAGCTGCAGTGGGAGAAGACAATTGACACTCACTGGGTTAAACTCGATGGATATTGAGTCCTCCACCTCCTCCTGTGTCAAGACGCCCATCTCCACCAGGCTTTGCATCTCCTGCTTGGAAATGTTCCATTCCTGTGCCCTCTGCACAGCACAGTCCGGACAGTGAATCAGGAGACGGGAAGCGCCGCATCAAGCTTACTTTTACAACATTCATTATTATGTTTTCGTACGCGTGTCCAGCCATGCTTTTTGAGAGGGACAACAAAAGCGCAGGATTTGTCATTGATTCCTGAACCCCGTTAGGAGTCCAGCTCTGCCGACCACTACGTGGGGGGAAGAACGCAGAAAGCAACCTGCTTCTCATACTCGGTTCTTTCAAACCGAGTCGATCAGGTGATAATCATTCAAGAGCCGTAGGCCAGTTCTTATTGACAGAAAGACAAGCTGACATTCTCACCAGATGCCTAGCTTTACAATCGACTTGTGGAAGAGAGAACCCAGAAAGCAAGCTTCTTCACAGCCCTCAAGTGCCATTTTTATAGTCAACAATCTACTGTCTGGTGAGAGGCCGAGTGGACAGATCTTGTCAATGAAGGAATGAGCGTTCCGACATTCTCACCCCCATCAGGACGCCCCGCTCCACAATTGCCACCCTCTTCCCCCGCAGCTGCAGTGCCGTCGCTAGAAATACCCCCAACGTGCCCCCGCAAACAACGACGTCATACACGCCCAGATTCTCCTGCCCAGAAGTGCCCACATCCCTCCAGGAACCCCGTCTCTCTTTCACCGTTTCTGGAGCCGGCCCGGCTTCCCGCCCAGTTTTCATCGTCCGGATCCGCGCCCAGTTTTGGTCCGCTCGCTTCAGAGCTGCGTAGCTAACCGCTCCGCCGGCGCCCCCCGTTTGCGAATCCCGCCCCTCGGTGGCTTCCATGATGCGCTGCGTGAGGGACTGGGAATCGAGATCTTCGGGGGCCGGGGGGGCCGGCTCTGATACTATGCTCGCGGCCGACCGAGGGCCGGTGGATCTACGTGGGCTTCCTCGCTGGCCGCATGAAAGAGACGGTTGCTCCGGTATTTTATGCACTCCCATAAGCTGAGAATCTGAAAGCCCAACAGAGGACAGCTGTCTAGTAGAATAGCAAGTTTTTCGCTGCCCAATCAACAACCCGCTGGTTCTGCATGTTCTCTGCAACGCTGCTTGAGTCAAAGGGTGCACACACCCTGACACCACAACATCGCACCTTGACAATCCAACATGACTAAGTTTGAAATGTGGTGAATGCGTGGAGAATGCACTTCTGCTGGTCGGACATAGTTGATTGCTTTTGATGCAGCCCCAGTTTTGGCCCACTGCATGCACAGCATTCTTTGGCGCAACTAAAGCTCTCTTTTGAAGGGCTTCCATGATTTGATCTGAGCAATGGCGCCACCGCCCTTATTCAAACTATAAAAATCAGAGATCAACCTACTTTTCGCACACGAGGAGGTCAATCAGCAGCAAAGGAGGCTAGATTAAAGAGGCCCCCCCTTTGAAGAGGTCATGGCTTGCCTGACAGCTACCTACTCTGAAGCGCTACATCTATAAAAGGCGGCCATGATCACCTTGCGTTGGCTGAATCCTACCGAAGTCGGTAGGTACCTGCCTGCAAAATAAGAATGTAGGCAAGGGAAGGCAGCATCAAAAGCACACACATGAGCTTTGGAGAGCCTTGGACTGATATGTGACAATGCGTGCACTTTTACTATTAGCAGCTGCCACGTCTCCTCTTTCGATCACGTGGGTGAGCTTCTCAGCCGTTGAAACTGCCAGATAGACCACCACCTTTCCTTTCCTGCCCGCGAGGCTCGAAAGCCGCTGCGGTGTTACGTGACCCCAAGTGGAATAAAGGCGTACAGAAAGAACTTATAGCGCCTCTTTTCGTCCGCACCAAGGCACCTTTCAACAGAAGGATACGTCTCCTCGAGAGGATTTTGAGGCGCAACTGCTCCAACTGAAAGGAAGGGAGACGCGGGCCCGACAAAGAAAGAGTGGCGGTGAGTTTGCAAGGGGTTTGCATGCAAGCTTGGCATTGCATTGTAACGATTTTTGTTGCATCTTGTCAATGAGTCCTCAAATATTTGTAGGCAACTATCAGAAAGTCGTTGAAGCTTGTCAGAAATTTGACTTTCCATGCTCAATTCAGAAATAAGATTGATCTGAAGTATTGCTGTTTTCTTAAAAATGCGAGAGCTGCCCGAATGCATTGCAGGCAATTTGATTAGAGCATATCCAACACCTTGGGAAGCTGCTCGCTTACAAGTTACAATGCAATCAGTGTGCAGCTCTCTTTTTGCTTTTAAACTTCCGAACTTAAGTCTCCGTCACCTTCGAAGGCACAATGTAGGGAAACCCAACATTCCTTAGACGACTGGAAAGAAGTAACTCATTTCGCATTTGAACTTCTTTCTATCTACAATTGAGTGAAGCAGGAAAGTGGCGTTCCCACAAGCTGGAGCCAGCCCTTGCAATGCACCACTTATCCAGGAAAGCTGTGTTCTCAACAGGTACGCAGCTGACATTCAACATCACCAGACCTACGTATATAACCAGGCACAATGAACCAGGTTGCCGGCATCTTTGGGTTTGGTACTCTGCCGGTCAAGGTGGTTAACCCTGATGGCCGCTTCCGGGTTATCTCCACAAAACCCATGCCGGGCGATCGGTGGGTCGATCTGTTGGTCAAGGCAGACTGCCGGGTCGAGGTGGGAACTTCGTTCCGCGCTTTTTCTATACTTTCTTGTAACTTGGACTTGACTCCCTTTTCTCTCGGTTTGTCAGACTGCGTCGATCACTCAGTATATGCTTTCAGATGTGGCCGCGTTTTTAGTCGATTGGCAGCGATTTCTAAATGCTTTTATCTACGAAGCTTGTTGATACACGACCACCAGCTTTTGTACGACCTAGTTGACTCCAGTGATGTCTCATGTTTGCTTGGAACGTCAGACTTCAGTAACTTTTGATAGGCACACAAGAGATTCTTTGAGTTCACAAGTTGCTTGTTGCGCAAGAGCTGTCCTTCATCTCTGGTGGCTCAAGATTCTTTGAGGACAAAGACATTGAGAAGGACAGAAATGAATGGCTTGCTGGCAGCTTCCCAATTGTTAACTCAAGGCTCCGTACAACATTCTGGGCATAAGAAATAGGTTCCTCGCATCCCTGTCAGTCAAGGATGCTGCAAGACATACGAGAATTCAATGTCACAAGCTCAGCATGTGATTTGTACTGAGAGGAGTTTTCGATTCACGACTATTAACTGACAATTGTAGCTGATTGTAACCCACTCCTAATGCTTCCATCTCCGCTCCTTCAACCATCGACGTCCTCAAATCCTTTATCCTTACGCAAAAACCCAATTCTCCTCGATACCTCGTTTTCGCACACGCTCTAAACCCACCGCGAACACTCTGAAGCTCTTTACAAAACCCTCACTCCGCTCTTCAGCCCTGTCCTTACATGTATTTCACACTACCCGAAAGCTTCCTCCGAGTTCCTGATTAAATCCAGGTTCCTTGTCATTAGGTTCCGCATCGATCAAACTGGGTGAGCGCTCATTTTGGGTCCTCCGGACCAATGGAACGCTAAAATCAGTCACGTGATATACAAAGTCACAGACCTGGGACAGGATTCTGCTAGAGAGGCAGGGTACAAAGCTGTAGGAAGCGAAGCTGGTGGGCCTAGCCGCTTTCTGTCGACGCGGCACCTCATTCACCCCCCCACCCCCCCGCAGATCTGCACTGCGTCCAAGACGATTCTGAGCAACGCTGACATCATCAAGCTGATCGGCGACAAGTGCGATGGCGTCATCGGCCAACTGACGGAGGACTGGGGCGAGGAGCTCTTTGGCGCGCTCGACAAGGCGGGGGGTCACGCGTTCAGCAACATGGCGGTCGGGTACAACAACGTGGACGTCCCCGCGGCCACGAAGCACAGGATCTCCGTGGGAAACACCCCGGTGAGGTGCTCGTTCTTTGCCCAGTTTGTCCTTGTGGCTAGCAGTAGGACGGTCCGTTGACTCGATCCGTAAGCCCGATACCTCCTCCTTTTCAAGATTCGTCACTTGCCCTTACGGGGGGGCGGAGTGGTTGGGTGGAAATAATGATGTTTCATCACTGTTGTTGACGTCATCAGAGGCCAAGGCGCTATGGACATGCGCGTTGACTAGTGAATTTCTTAACGAGGGCTCTTACCCAACACCTCCGCTAACCTTCATCCGCCCTTGAGCCTTTTTCCGTATGTGACCTGGAACTGTCACTTCCTCCTTCGGCTTCCTACTTCGCCCATATCGTATCTAGTCAGAATTGATTCAAAATCTCGTCATTGCTTCGTACTAAGGACGTCTTAAAGGGGGGTTACACCGCTAAGCTCGAATCCGCGCTGCCTCTTCATGTAGGGGCGAACTGAGAGAGTGGTAGGACTTCATCAGACTTTTTTCCGCCCATCTTAAATGTTCAACAGTACTTCGTAAACCTGTAGTTTCTCTCTGATTAATGGGTCTCGACCGAAACCTGGCTAAGCTTGCGAAGGCGCTGACCCTTGCGGCGGCACTGCATGTCGTAGATTGTTTAGTACCTCTCCTCGCTCCTTAACCACTTCAAGATGCTCCTGTAAAAGTCGCCCGTAAAACTGTGGTTTCCTCCAAACCAGGGGGTCTTGACCAAGAGGACGGCTGAGCTCGCATTGGCGCTGACCCTTGCGGCGGTGCAGCGATCGAAACAGGTTCAAAACCTTCTTGCGCTTCTGAGTTAGTTCCTATTACATCGTTAAAGAGTCGATTGTAAACCTGTGCTTTCCTCCTGACCAGGGAGTCTTGACCGAGACCACGGCTGAGCTCGCATCGGCGCTGACCCTCGCGGCGGCGCGGCGGGTCGTGGAAGCAGACGTCTTCATGCGCGCGGGCAAGTACGACGGCTGGCTGCCGACCATGTTTGTTGGGAACTTGCTCAAGGGACAGACGGTGGGGATCATTGGCGCGGGCAGAATCGGGACAGCATATGCAAGAATGATGGTGAGCGGACCTCCGCGCCATTATATTGGGTGCGAGTTGGAGTTTCTGCTTCTTGCTGGTCCGTTCTGCCATTCCAAGGCAGACCATTGTGCGCATTTGGCAGACGGTGGGGATCATTGGGGCGGGCAGAATCGGGACGGCATATGCAAGAATGATGGTGATTGAATTTCTGGGCCATCACTTTTTGGCGCTGGTTGGAATTTTGCAGTTTGCTAGCTCTGCCGGTTTTGAGGCAGACCATTGGGTGGATTCGGCGGCAGGTGGGAGGCTTTGGGGCAGGCAAAACCGGGACGACGTATACAGGACGATGGGGAGTCATGGTGCTAACTCGGTTTTCAGGTTTCTTCGGTAGTTTCAGTTGATTCGAGGGGCAGAATGAGGCGGACCGTCGTGCGTGTTCGTATTGCTACAGCTGCTTGCTTCGAAGTTGCCATTGGGTGCCAACCTTTCTGAGCCTTTCTGATTCTGGGCCGACTAATACTTTCCTTGCCGTCGATCGGACATTTTAAGATTAGAAAACATGATCAGAGCGCTTGGGCAGATTTGAGGTAAAGAGATTTGCATTTCAAAACAAGTATTTTCATGGGCTGCACTCTTGACTCCCTACGTCTATTCAGAACGTGAGCAACCCGTCCTGTGCGGCACAAATCGATCCCTACTTTCGCCGACAATTTGAAACAGTAAAAGAGACCGACGTCTCGGCCCAAAGTGCTTCTCACCCCGTTTCAATAGCGCGAGCTATTGAAAAGAGGCACGTGCTTTTGCAGGTGGAGGGGCACAAGATGAACGTGATCTACTACGATCTGTACCAGTCTAAGCGGCTAGAGTCCTTCGTCTCAGGTGGGCCTGTCTATTCTTTTGCGCACGGGCTTACATTCTGGTGTATGCACAAGAAGAGACCTGACCTTAATAGCTGGTGGTGGTGCCTACTATTCGGCAGTGTACGGCAATCTTTCAAGGAGCTAGCGCAAGGAGGCGGTACACTGACGGCAAGTGGCGTCTGTGGAGGACGTCCTGAATGTTGCACAAGTCAAGGTGGTTCCTTAACTAGCGAAATGACCAATTAACGAAGAAACCAAGTAACCAAAGCACATTTTCGTATCCTGTTTCCTGTTGCAGCATGCGGGAACTTTCTGAAGGCCAGGGCGAGGAGCCGGTGCACTGCGGTGTGCGGCCTTCGTGAAGGGAAGCCCTGGAGACAATGGTCGTCAGAACGGTCGTTTCACTAACCCGAAAATTCAAACCCTGTTTCGTGCAGCGTACAACGCCTCCTCAAAGAGCCAGGGCGAGGAGCCGGTGCACTGGCGGTGCGCGGCCTTCGTGAAGGGAAGCCTTGGAAACCACGGTCGTCAGAACTAACCCGAAATTTCAAACCCTGTTTCGTGCAGCGTACAACGAATCTTAAAGAGCCAGGACGAGGAGCCGGTGCACTGGCGGCGCGCGGCGCTCTTTGAGGACGTCCTGAAAGTTGCGTACGTCTGAACGGTCCACCGACCATCCTAACTGACTGTCAAATAGGCATACCAAAACTCATTCATTGAACACTGACTTGCTCTTTTCCCGCAGCCTATGGCGACTTTTTGAAGACTCAGGGAGAGGAGCCGGTGCACTGGCGGCGGGCAGCGTCCGTAGAGGACGTCCTGAAAGTTGCGCACGTCGTGAGCCTGCACCCCGTGCTGGACAAGACCACGTTCCACCTCATGAACCGGGACCGGCTCAACCTCATGAAGAAGGTGACGTCACATCTGCCATTGATGACGAGGCAGTCTCAAGCTTCAGCATGTCCTCTTGACTTTTTTGCACTGATTCGAGCACACCGGAAAAGGGAGGGCGGGTTAAGACCGCGGTCCATCCATAAAACGGACCGCCACAACCTGATGAAGAAGGTGACATCACCTCTGCCATCGATGACGTGGCAGTCTCAAGCTTCAGCATGTCCTCTTGACTTCTTTCCATTGGGTTCGAGCACACAGTAAAAGAGAGGGCGGGTTAAGACCGCGATCCATCCTGTAAAACGGGACCGCCTCAACCTGATGAAGAAGGTGACGTCATCCCCGCCATCGTTGACGAGGCAGTCTCAAGCTTCGGCATGTCCTCTTGGCTTGTTTCCATTGGTTCGAGCACACAGTAAAAGAAACCACGGGCTAAGACCACGTTTCATCGTAGCAACCAGGAGCGACTCAACCTTATGAAGAAGGCGACTTCTCGCTCAAGCTCCTTAATTCGCCCTGTGGTTTGTGCCCGTAACAAATGCAGTCTCAGCGTTTGTGAAGTACGATTTTGCATGGATTCAAGCGCACAATGCCAGAGAGCCCGGGTCAAGCTCACGTTCATCCAACTTCAAGCACGGGGCTGCAGGACGCCCTTCTGGTCGAGGCAGCCAGGGGCCCATTCTGCAGATGCTAGTGAACACCTCGAATATGTAAACGTTACTGCAGGGCCCCATCAAAGCATGGCCTGACTCCCTGCGAACCCAGTCCCTGCAGAACGCCATTCTGACGGACGCCAGCCGGGGCCCCTTTTCGGCTCTCTGAAAAGTACATGAGTTCGGAACCTGCTGTACGAGGCCCTGTCGAAGCATGACCTGACTCGTTGCGCACACATCCCTTGCAGGACGCCATTCTGATCAACGCCAGCCGGGGCCCCGTTGTGGACGAAGTCGCACTGGTGGAGCACCTCCGGGCGAACCCAATGTTCCGGGCAGGGCTCGACGTGTTTGAGGTGAGGTCCCGGGGGATCCCCCCGGTCTTGAGTAGAGAACCGGTTGGGGCGACACCTCGGTAGCAGTTTTTACCGTTGCACTTCGAGCTGTGTAACGGTGGAAGACGACTTTGATCTAGGGGCTTAGGAGATACTGTCGGTGGCGGCAATTGGTTGCTTTGCAAACCCAGCGGATGCAGCCGGCCGGATCGGGTGTCGGTGCCGCCCGTGTCGTTTGACGCCGCAGATACGGGGCGTTCTGAACGTCTTAGGAGGAGCGTGATAGATTGGCCTCGCCCTGCTTTTAGTTTGTCGTGTGCATATGGCGCATGCTGACAGAGTGTTCAAAGAGAGTCTGTGATAGCGTACGTTTAGGGGACGCCCTCATCAGACAATGCCGGTGCTCGGATTCGGACATCCACGAAGTTACTCCCCCTGTCGAGACTCTTGCGTATCTGCGAAAATCTCTCGCCGCAGGAAAAAGAACAGCCCGGGCCTAGATTTGCCCCAAGCTTGTCCGAGAAACGCGCTCGCCGTCAGTTTCCAATTTTATACTTTTATCTTTGTCGGAGAACGACTTGATGATGCACGACGAGCCAACCATGAAGCTCGTATTGAAGGACCCTCGAATGCGTCACAAAACGCGCTGCAAACCGCTCTCTCTCGAAGCTACGCATCCCGTGGCTAAAGAAAGAAGTTGTGTCCGCTCACGTTATTTCCAAGATTCTTACCTCTTTTTCCGTACACGCCCCGCAGGACGAGCCAAGATGAAGCCCGGTTCGAAGGACCCTTCAAAAGCGCTGCAAAATACTTGATTTTGAAGTCTGATTTGCCTAAGACTTTAGGCATCCCCCGCTTGTGTGTACTTTAATCAGGCACTCCTTGCAGGATGAGCCCACGATGAAGCCCGGTTTGATGGACCTTCAAACGCGCTCTATCTTGAAGCGAAGTTCCAAATCGAACCAGGCAACTTGTCACAGAAAGAAAGTCAGTTTCGCTCAGGAAACGTGACTCCGGGAGATCCTTACCTCATGCTTCGTACCCTCGCTGCAGGATGAGCTCAAGATGAAGCCCGGTTTGAAGGACCTTCAACCGCGCTGCCAACTGCCCTGTCTTCAAGCTACGCATCCCGTGTCTAAAGAAGGAAGCCGTGTCCGCTCATCTTTAGACGTGATTTGGGGAGATCCTTACCCCTTTTTCCTCGCAGGACGAACTCAAGATGAAGCTTGGTTCGAAGGATCTTCAAATGCGTCACAAAGTGCCCTAGTCTTGGAGCGAGGTTCTAATCGAACCAGGCAAAAAGAAAGTCAGCTCCGCTTATTTTTAAAAACGTGGTTCGGGGAGATCCTTACCTCTTCCTCCTCACACTCCTTGTAGGATGAGCCCAAGATGAAGCCCGGTTTGAAAGACCTGCCCAACGTGGTGGTAGTGCCGCATATCGCGTCCGCCTCTCAGTGGACTCGCGCGGGGATGGCCACGCTCGCGGCATGCAATGTGGCGGTGAGGATTTGACTTTTCCCGGTCGTCGATTAAAGAATTATGGAAATTCGGGCTTCGAATCGATTGCTTCTTTGATTGTATGTCAGATCTATCTGATGTTGATGTTTGTGTTAATGAGGATCGGTATGCAACTTTGGACCAGTGAAGTGACCCGTATCCAATGAAACGGAATGGCAGAAGTGAGTTAGCTACGCCCCTATTCGTGGCGGAATGAGGCGCGAAGCTTGCCTTCCAAGGGACAGGTTGTACTCTATTCGCAGGAGAGGAAGCGCCAGTGATGTTGTTCTCTTTCTGATTTACGGTTTGTTCATCTCTCAAAGTTCTGCTTGCGTTCACCGATAAGTCGGTGCCGAATAAGATGGCGTGCGATTGAAGGTGTGGGTACGGTTCGCCACCGTTTGGCGTTTGCACCGGTTGTGAAGGATGCAAGGATTTCACGTTCCCTGCTTGCGTCAGCATGTGCGCTTTTCGTCAGTCCCCCCATCCCGCACGATTCAAGAAGACACCCTTCCAGAATCGAGTCCATTCTGAACGGAACACAAGATTTCGCCTGTTCTTGGACGGATTAATGTTTTGACTCTTCCTGGCTTGATTATGCAGGGCAAGCTGCTCCGGTACCCGGTATGGCACAACCCCAACGACGTGCTCCCGTTTGTTGACGACTCTAGGAATCCGCCGCCGGCATGTCCCAGCATCGTGAATGCGAAGGAGTTGGGCCTGCCGACCCTGAAGTCCAGCCTTTGAAACGTAGGGCTTTGGTTTTGTACCGGCCACGTTGATGTAGCTATGCTTTGCTGTTGTAGTTCGATTTTGTTCGGAAGCCTGGATTGACCAATGATCTAATAATATAGGGTCCTGCGGAGGTCTTGATTACAAAACATGAAGTTGCGTCATTGAATCAGTACGCATAAACCTCGTGTACAAAAACGTGCCTGTGTCTAACGCGGGCACCGACCGTGTTTCGAGATCGAAATGACCTCATCACGAATAATTCGCTTATGCATGCTCAGTTACGGATGTAAAGATTGATGATCTTGAAGTGGCCACGTCTGTTTATTGATTGCGAGACAGTCAGGCGCACGGCTGACTTTGCATCAACGGTAACGCATTGCATGCTGGGGCACGAATCCGACACCGTCACCTAGCTTGCACGATCCGAACTTCGTAGAGCTAGAGTACTTGTGGGCATCGAGATGATTACACTGGAGACTCAAAGCTCATAATGAATAGGAGGACGGAATGACCGTCCTTAACAATTCTTATATAACCGCAATACGTAGTATCATGTCGGCCATGGGCTCGCTGATCGATGGCGCAGAAAACTTCCTGGAGTAGAATCGAGCTTCAGTGCGTGGCGCATAATTCTTGGGGTTAACGTTACCTCGACGAGCTGGCCTTCTACATAGGCTTCGCGGCGGCGTGGGTCAAGTCCACCGGGTCCATGTAAAACCAAGGGCCAGTGCATTGTTGGCTTTAAAGCTGTCGATCATTCTGCGTCGTCACCCCGGGGGCCGTCGATCCGAGTCACAAGGCTTATCAAGTTGTTCCATCCAATCAAACGGCCAGGCTTTCGACACAAGCGGGTTGCAAGAATTGGTACATTGCAAGCTACCCAATGAATGACGCGGAGGCATGACGTGCTCATTAACTGTAGTGAGCCCTTAGTGACCTGCCTGCACTTTCTTAAGTTAGTCAACCGTTTCTCGAATCCTTAAACCTAGGGATCAAACCTTAATCTCCAAGATCGGAACTATCATTCGAAACCATTTTCTAGCATTTTCTAGCACCAAATTGAATGAAATGACCTGTGTTGCGTTCTCTAAGCTACATCGCCTTGGAAGGATGACGCCTCGATCTTGTCCAGGACTGCATTTTCCTACACTGTTAAATCATATCTTCTCTTTATTCACCACTGAATGTCTCTAGAGACCGCTGGTCAATATACTAAGTCATCTCTTCCCGCAAGCAGATATTGCTTTTTGCACGGAAGGATGCTCACGCGTACTCAACTGCAGGAGAAGATGACTAAGGCCATTTTAGGGATCGCGACAGGTCTTTTGCTTGCATCTGGATTGCTTGTCACGTGCTTGTTGATGAAGCCAGACCGCATTACTAACCTACCTGACATCGTGCCATCAAGCTGATTCTTCTCGTTTACGTCATAACGCAAGGGGCGCGTCAAGTTGACAAAATCTCTGAAAGTGAGTCCACAGTGAGGGTCAAAAGCGTCTAAAATCATCAGGAGTGTAATCGACAGGGAGTTTAATGTCAGCCACGGGCGTGTACCTAGCTAGCAATTGCTTTTACGCAATTAATCGACGGCTTGGGTTCGCCGGTTCTACAATTTGAACACATGCTTGGATCTGCAACCTTTCTATCAGGCCCTTTGCGCGTATTATCATCATGCTGTAGACTGATAGAGGCAGTGACTTGCGTTTGCCACTGAAATTGCCAGGTCACCGGTTCATCACAAAGCCGAATCTTACGTGATTATGCAAGGAGACACCAGATACACGTCTGAACTGCAAATTGTCGACCAGATGATACGGTTCCTAGCAGGTAACCGGCCAATCAATCTGCCAGGATTCAGATTCACACGTCGGCACAACACCGGACTAACATTTTTGCAAACCCCCAGTGTTTGAAAAGACAGATTCGCAGAAATTTCCGTTTGGAGTCCGGGTGTCTCCAACGGAGAGCGACATCCTTTCTCAAAGACAATGCATCCGAGGACTTGAAAACGACTCTGACGGAAAGCTTCTGAAGTATCCCAATGGTAGAGCACTTCTTCAGGGGGATAAAGGGAGAAGAATCGAGTAACTTGAAAGTCGTCCTTCGCAAATTAAACCCTTCAACTCACACGCGTCGTCTCCTTTCTCGGCCTCCAGCATTTCCTCCCCCTCCCGAGCATCGAGGACTCTCGTGTACAGAGTTATGGTGCGCATCTTCCGGGGCCGCCGCCAGAAGACGAGCAGAACGTTCTCTCCCCTCTGCAGCGCCTCCCGGAGCATTGTCCCGAGGTAAACGCACAGCGAGAACATCGAGAACGCGATGGAGGGGACGAAGATCCTCTCGTCGACGTAGATGCGGGTACCGCGGGAACTGCCCAGGACGTAAACGAACGACTGGAGAAAGAAAGCGCCGAACCGTGTGAGAAGCATTCTATGTTTTTGAGTCTGTGGAACTTACAGAGGCGACGCTTGAAAAGCCAGAAGCGCGCAGGGGGTCGACTCCCAGGACGTAGAACACAGGACTTTTTGGCCCTTAATTATGGTTGGTTATGAGCTGCTTATGGGCTGGTTAGAAATTGATTGTGTGTCCAATAACCAGCCTTGGACGGTAACCAGCCCCGGAACAAGTTTAAAGCCGGGTTATTTGTCTAGTAACCTGAGATTCAGTCCGGTAACCCGCCTGGTTAGCAGCCAAAACTCCCTGTGGACCACCGCCTGGAGGAAGACGGCCTCGAACCGTATCAGAACTATCTCATGTTCTTGAGCTTTTGAAAACTTAAGCGTACTCGGGGCGACGCTTAAAAGCCAGACGCAGTACGGAGGGGGTCGACTCTGAGTCGGGCCTGGTTGATGCCCTTCCACTTTGCACGAGGCTTCGAAAAGGCTGTCGAGAAACTTTCCTAACCTAACATGTCCAAAGGCGGGGGTAACCGGAGACTGGAAGAACGGCGGGTTAAGGCGGGGCCTTTTGACTCGTTATCTTCTGACTCGCCACGTTGAAGCTCCTGAATCATTGAGCGTACGGTACATACGCAAATCAACTCTCTTGAAACCCAACGCTACGAAGAGATCTTTCTCGTTACGTCCCGCTGGACTCGTGCGAAAAGAAGCTTTGCTACGCTCTCTTGATCTTTCAAAAGTCTTTCGAAGAAACGAGTAGGAACGTGCGGCGGACAGCATTCACAGAAACTTGGACTTGAGCCGGCTTCTCACAGAGACGAAAATGGCAGGGACTTAACCACCGACCTCAAGCCAAGAGACGCTTTCTTTGCGGAGGCGAAGGGGCTGAGAGAATTTTAGTCGAAACTAGTTGCATATTGCGAAGACCCAGTTTTCAGAGTCCCGCTTACGGACTCGTTCTAACGGAGACGCGCATCTCGAGACTTTCATTTCCGCCACTGCTTCTAATCCAGGCCCTGAGCATTTACCTGGAAGACCGCTTGGGGAAAGGAGCGCAGCACCACATCGAGGTGTGCGCGCGCGTTGAGGTACTCCTCCATGCCCGCCACCGCGTCCCCCGACCGCATGAACCGCCCGAACCGGGCTGAGAAGCCCAGTTATTCAAAGACCGGAAGGCGCAGCACGGCAACCGGCCACAGACGAAGCGCTCGCGCCCAGTGTAGTTTCCCAGTGGGGGGCGCCACTTGCAGGCTCGGCTCCCATGTTTTCCCAGATAGGGAGGCGGGCCAAACCCACCGGAAGGAGGGGCAGGCCGGCAGGCTGAAAATACCCCCCCCGGCCGCCCAGGCGTCGGCCGCGTAGTACCCCAAAAGCAGAAAGGGGCCCACGATGGACGAGAGGAGAACCCACATGGGCCACACGCCCCACACGTCCCGCAGCACGGCGACGTCAAAGTACAGGTCCACGTACGCGGCAACCGCCGTGATGATCCCCCCGAGATACGATGAAACCTCGAAAAGTTTTGCCAGGATGGGCCGTTTGCTCAGCCAGCTGTCCCCCCCACTTTGGGGCATCAGCCGCGACTCGAGCGCGATGGCCATCCCCCCCACGAGCAGAGCCAATGTGAACGCGCCCCACGTGGCCGCGACGATGTACTTCGCCTCGGGGTTTTGGCAGAGGTTCCCGTCCTGGACGCGGCTGAAGGAGACCCCGGTGTAGGCCAGGCCCCCCGGGCCGAGGTCGATCTTGTCCACGAAGTCGGTGTCGTTTTGGAACCAGTACACCCCTTGGGCGTTGAACAGGTAGGGGAGTTCGGGCGTAGTACTGCCCGTCGTGAGCTGCGGAACGACGGCTATCGGGGAGTTCCCCTCCAAAAAGAGCGAGATCTTCCCGAGACATGCCTCCTTCCGAGTGCGCTGCGAGAGTTTCGCCCCGGTGCCGATGAGGTTCACCGCGCAGCCGTCGGAGCAGCCCCGCCAGAAGCGGATGTCGCGCAACTGGGGGGCGGGGCCCAAGATCGTGACCAGTTTACATCCGGGGGGGACCAGCGACAGGTCGACTGACGTGACCGGGGGGTTATTCACACCCAGGCGAAGGGCTGTCAGGTTGGTGGCGTTGGGCATCCAGCTGCAGGTCGAAGGAAATCCAAATGAAGCAATCGAGAGGCCTTGACTGACTGACTGTTCTGCCTGGAAATTTGAAAGTCCGTGCCCTCTGTCAGCTTGTGAAAGAGTGGCATCTAAAAAGTCCTCCAGAAAATCAACGAGAGAACAGACCTTTTCTTCGTTCACTCGCCAGTACTGCCTCCGAATCGAATCTACAAACGAAGAGAGTGCTAGCCTTTTAAAGATACGGTAATATCAGCCCCCGATGCCATCTCACATGACAAGCGCACCTTGTCCGTTTCTTCCAAGCTTCGTTTCCCATGTAATGTAATAGGACACTGCGCCAAAAACCTACGTCGACGGCGAGTAATGTAAAGGCACTCTAGTATATCCGGAAAATAGAGAAAGTTCTCGGTTCGAAGTAAAGGAAGGAAAAGCAAACCCGACGAGGGGGTGAGACTCGTACCCAATATCAGCAGAGAGCCACAGAAAGCCACCATCGACATTCTGTAGTGTCCTTTTCTCGGTATTCAAGGGGGGAACAAAGATGAAAGCAAACAGGGTCCGGGTGATCTGAGATCAGCTTCCGGAAAAATGAGGCAGCACCTGATGCGTGTTGGAAGATAGAAAACAGAGCCAGAATCGAAAGCGGGAAAACCCGCAGGGCAGTGCAACAAGCCAAAGCAGAACCTATTCCAAAGAGGCCCCCGTGACACCAGAGAGACGACGACAAGCTAGTGCGCAGGTGGAAGGGACTTACTTTGGAAGGGGGTAGTCGATCCCCAAAACAAGGGGCATTCGGACACGTGGCTCCGCCGGCGAGCCAGTGAACGCATTCCCACTCAAGTCCAAGTTGCCGTAGACGCAGGTGGCGATGTCGGTGGGAACAGGCCCGGAGAGAGCGTTGTACGAGACGTCCAAGTCCCAGACGCACATGTTAGACGGGAGCGGGCCGGAAAGCATGTTGTGCGCCACGGCGAATTCCGAGTTCCCAAGGCCGGCGCTGCGATAGCCGTCTTGGCGCCTCGCGTAGGTCGGGGGAATAGGCCCCGTCAGGCTGTTGTTCGAAACCCGGAAGACTTTGCAGAAGTCCAATGTGGCAAGCTCCGGCGGCAGAGGCCCCGACAACCGGTTGTCCGAGAGGTCGATCTCGCGGAGGCCGCGATTCTTCCCAAGACTCCGGGGAATTTCCCCGGTTAGGTTATTGGAGGACAGCCGGAACGTTTCCAAAGACTTGATGTTGGCAATCTCCGCCGGAATCGCCCCGGACAGGCTGTTGTTGGACAGGTCGAGGTAGTACATCCCGAAAGGCGCGCGGAACAGCTCGGGGGGGATCTCCCCAGACAACCGGTTGCTACCCAGATCAAGCGAGAAAGAGCCACTACTAACTGGACCGCCTAGGGCCCCGAGCTCCCCTGGGATCCGCCCAGTCAGGCTATTAATGGACAGGTCTATGTATCTAAGCTTGGTCATGCGGCCCAGCTCCGCAGGGATCCCCCCACTTAGGCGGTTCTTGAAGAAATACAATTCTGTCAATTGCACAAGGTTACCCAGGCCGGCGGGGATCTCTCCAGACAGGCTGTTTTGGTAGATCGATAGCGATGTTAGGTTGACAAGGGAACCTAGCTGAGAGGGGATGGGTCCGGACAGATTGTTGCGCGCTAGCGACAGTGACGTCAGCTGGGTGAGTCCCGTCAGCTCCGAGGGAATGGGCCCGGTCAAGTTGTTCACTGAGAGGTCAAGCTCGGTTAGGCTGGTTAGACCCCCAAACCAGGGGGGAATCCGCCCGGTCAGGTTGCACCCCCGAAGGTTCAGGTATGAGAGCCTGGTCAGCGCGGCAAACTCTTCCGGGATCTCACCTGAGAAGCCGCGGCTGTTCTCAAGGTCCAAATGGGTCAACCGCGCGAGGCGGCCAAGCTCGTGGGGTATGGGCCCCAACGTGCGGCCGTCCGAGAAGCTTTCTAACTCAAGGAGCTCCATATTGGCAAGATTCCCAAGTTCAGGGGGGATCGGCCCGGAAAGGTTAGCACTCTCCAGATTGAGTCGCCTCAGTTTGGTAAGCCTGCCCAGCTCCAAGGGAATCGTACCCGAGATCCCAAAGTTGTTCCCCAGGAGCAGTTCTTCCAGGTTGGCTAGGTTGCCAAGTTCCGGGGGAATGGGCCCCGTCAATGAGTTTCTAGACAGGTCCAGGCTCTTCAGCGCAGAAAGCCGTCCGAGCCCCGAGGGGATCGGCCCCATCAAGCTCGCTCGTGTTATGTTGATGTAGAGCAGGTTTTGGAGGTTTCCCAGCGCATCCGGAATCGCCCCCGACAGCCTGGTCCATTCCAGGCGCAGATATTGGAGGCTTCGCGCCTCCCCCAATTCATGGGGAATTGTGCCGTTCAGCGAGTTCCAGGATAACCCCAGGTAACGGAGATTGGACAGGCGGCCGAGCTCTGGGGGAATGGGGCCGGACAGGGTGGGGCTGCTATACTCGTATGCCCTCAGGTCGAGTTCTACAAGACTGGCAAGGCTGCCCAGGGAGGGGGGAATGCGCCCGGAAATGTAATTGAAGGAGAGATACAGGTACTGCAGCCTGGTGAGAGAGCCCAGCTCCGGAGGGATCGGGCCCGTAAGAGAGTTGTCAAACAGGCTGAGGTAGGTCAATCGGGTGAGCCCGCCTAGTGCCGGAGGAATGGCGCCCGAGAGCCGGTTGCTTCCAAGATCCAGTTTCCGGAGTCGTGGGAAATTTCCCACTTGGGGAGGAATGGGACCCGACAGATTGTTGTTATAAAGGTACAACACCTCCAGAGCAGTTGCGCCACCCAATGCGGGAGGAATGGAGCCCGAGAGCGGGTTCGTTGAAAGACTCAATATCCGTAGTCGCGTGAGGTTTCCAAGTTGGGGCGGAATGGGACCTGACAGACTGTTGTTCCACAGATATAGCTCCTCCAGCGCAGTTGCGCTCCCAAACTCGACAGGGATCCCCCCCGAAAAGCTATTCCTTGACAAGTCGGCGATTACTAGAGAGGGTGAGGCGGCGACGGCTGGAGGAAATGCACCTGATAGCTGGTTGTTGAAAACGGCTAGCCAGGACAGAACAGGGATTTGGGCCAACGTGGCCGGAAGGACTCCCGACAAAAGATTGTTACCTACGTCGAAGTACTCCAGGTTTGCCAGTTGGCCGAGCTCCGCAGGGATCCCTCCAGAGAGGCTGTTGTTAAAGAGTGCCAGTGATTTGAGGGATCCAAGCCCGCCCAGGGTGCGGGGAATGGCCCCTGAAAGTTTATTGATATGGAGCCACAGTTTCTGAAGTCCGGCAAGGTTGCCTAGCTCAGGGGGAATGGGCCCTGAGAGCTGGTTGTCTGACAGGTCAAGAACAATGAGATTTTGCAGGAGACCCAGTTCAGGAGGAAGAGCACCGGTAAGCCCCCGAGAGCTGAGATTCAGCGTGGAGATTGCATTAAGATTGCCGCCTGGGACCATGCTGGCTACTTGGTCTAGAGTTATGCAGGAACCGCCATTAAGGAGTGAGGCCAAAACAAGGACGCCCATAAGCACGCTCCGCAGCCCCTCCATTGGCGGCTCGCCCTCCGTCCAGATTGCACTAGCGCAAACCACAACTCGCAAGAGACTGACGTTATGGGAGCACTTCGCCAGCTCGTGCTTGTTTCTTGGAAGTCACGGCTCTCAGCTCATTCAACTTCAAGTACATAATACTTGGATACCGTAGTGTGGCGGTAAAGCCTGGAGCTAACGAGCACTGGCTCGAGCCAAGGATCCGGTCCCTGAAATCCGGACTGTTCGGACTTCTGTTCGGAGTTCGTGTCGACATGTGAGGGATCCCTAGTTTTCAAGGCCTGGTACGCTCCCCCAACCAGGATAGGTAGAGCCGGGACCATGATGACATTGATTGACCAGCCGGCTATGGGCCGGCTATACACCTGGAGGGCCCGACGCAAGGTCAGGTCTACTGTAGGTGTATTCCCAGTAGGATGACACCGGTACATTCTGGCGCGGGATCGTGTCGGACCAAAGTAGGATACCGGGCACCGCACCCGGGTGGGCCTGAAGTGGTCGGTGACAGGCTCCCGAGTGGATCCCTCACTGCTCAGTTAGCTCAGTGCCAAGTGGCGACTTGTCAGTGATCGGCCGGGACTGGAACGGTACGTAGTTATGACTGAGGTACCTACCACGCTTGAGTGCGCCCGCCGCGCGCGCGGCGCCGTTCGCTAGGATACAGGTAGCCTCGGCTGGGCTTGAAGTTGAACTTGAAGTTTGAACAGTCGGCCTTGCAGGCTCCAGCCTCCAGGCTTCTACTACTAGTACTAGCTAGCTGTATCATGCCGCGGTGGGCGGTGACCAGGTAGCATGCACATTGCATGCTGCCTTCTGGTACGAAAGGAAAACCCGAAAGGCGCCAAAGCCTCCAGAATTCGAAGCTCACGATGCAGTAGACTGATCGCGTTTATCGTTGAATAGCTAGGACCGTAACTTGAGAATAATCTCAGCAGTACCACATTGCATCTGCAGTTGAAATTTTCTCACTCAATTTTGTCTCAAGTGTGCAAGGATGGGGTCCTCTGGCCTCCCAGGGGGGCGGGGCCCGTCATCCTTTGTCCAGTCTCGCACTTTGTTCCTCATTAATCTAGCTGCAATCATGGAAAGTGCAGACGAACGCCTTTTACCAGCAGGTGCGCCAATTTATCAATGCGCTTCAGTTGCATAGATTCCATGTGCTTCTTTTCAAAATCTGGAAGCGGTTAATTCAAAACATGCAATGCATCGTAGTACATTTTCGGGATGCTTTGGAAAGAGAGTCTCGAGCACAATACATTAGCTTAGATTGGTAACCTGCTTCTTGCCCTAATTCTGCAGAACATTCAAAAGATGACGCATTGCCCTGTGTTTTTCCATATGGTTCGCATTTGTGCCTTTCTCAAAGACCTGTTTCAAAGAGTTGATGGTCTGCTAAGAGTGGCAATGAACAGTTTTCAGAAGGCATCACAGCATCTGAATGTTACGTGCAATTATTAAAGAGGTCAGCCACGAAGCCAAGAAGCTATTAGTGCAGAAAGGCAAATGGCTGTGCTGCACATTGCAGCACATGCAACCCGTACACAAGGTGTCCTGGAAGTGTCTCAACCTTGTTATTTGCTTGGGCGTAATGAAGAGTGCACTTGTTCGTGCGCCGCAATCAGAGCCGTGGCTGCTCCCTTCTGAACAATCTGCATTGTTTGGTACTTCTGTTTGGGAGAGCCTGTCAAGATGGTGAGATTATGCTCAACGGTTCTTTTGCAGGTTGTTGAAAGCATGTTTCTCGTCTGGCGGAACTTGATGTGCTTCAATGACATACAGATGACTTCTTCTTCTCTTCCACCAGAATTGGAGGTGGTCCTTCAAATCTTTTTGAATCACACAAGTCAGTGTAGACTCTCAAACTTCGAGAGTGAGACTTTTTCTACTCTGTAGTCTACTAGGAGGTCCGGCGGCATTCAACAATCACTAGCATTGGAGACTCGAAGCTTCAGGGTCTGTTGTATTCATGCTGGAGAAACCTCAGAGTTACCCGGTAGTACAGCAGGAGGTTGGGGTGACCCTCAAAACCGGCCCTAGCAGGTAGAAAGCTACATTCGCTTTTGAGTAGTGCAGTTATTTACCAAGCTCTTTCTCTCGCGTGGTGACACATGGTTAGGATGGCTCATGAGGGCAGCAGGTGAGCCTATCGAGCTTGTTCTAACATGGCAGCTGTTCTCAACATTTTGAAGATCGAATTCCTGACTCACAAAGACCCATCTTCTCTTATGCAGTTTACCAAGAGGTCGGGGTGGCCCTTAAAGCTAGCCCCAGCAAGCTTGGCACGCTCACCTTCACCAGGGCGCTTGTCCAGGCGCTGTTCAGCCCCATGGCCGGGTTTCTAGCCATGCACTACGACAGAGGGACTGTCATTGGAATTGGGACTATCATCTGGGCGGGCGCAACTCTCATTGTGGGGCTTAGTACCACCTACTTCCAGGCGATGATTGGGCGAGCGATCACAGGGGTAAGACGAACAGGCTTGTTTGTATCTGGCACGGTCCAGTCCAGCCGGACGATGTAATCAATTGTCATCAGTTGGTCAATAATGCAGTACCCTGAAAGGCCTTCTGTTGTGATTTTGAAGGGGCGCTTGAGAAGTGGGAGAATGGAGGTCGTGTGGAGATGTATCATTCTTAGCCGTGCCATCAATTGATCAATTCGACTCTGTCTTCAAGTGGTGAGACTGCTCCACCGAGGTGTTCGGCATGGGCTCGAATATGACCATGTTGCACTTACGCATTCTGCCACGCCAAATTATCTCAAGCAGTGTGTCAATATGAAATTCGTTCCTCCCTTCTGTGTATTAAACCCCGCTTTCAGAAAGGCAAAATCGTAACAAACTAGGCTTTCATTTCTAGGCCTGGAAGATTGGGGCAGGGCACATAGCGAGTCCGCTTCAATCAGGTCCTCTTTCCAGACAACCTTCTCTTTTTAAAGTCAGAATCATTTAGGTCAAGAGAACCTTCAATCGACGGACCCTTAAGCTAGTCATTGATTGTCTTGGTCCTGAGGCTACCCCTCCTTGTCAACTATCCCGATGATTCATAACGTCCCGTTACTTGAAAACGAGTTAGCCGTTCAAAAGCATGTTACCTCCTTGAAACAAACCCCAACTTGCTTTGACTCCTCAAAACGACCTTGCCATCATATCCTCAGCCCCAAATCCAATTAAGCAATCCCGAAAGCTAGAAGACCGGTTTTGCAACTCACAGAGCTTTCTCTACCCAGGTCGGGCTTGCTATCGTCATCCCCGCCATCCAATCCTTTGTTGCCGACAGCCACGAGGAGGGCCGCGGGTTAGCCTTCGGTTGGCTCAACCTAACCGGAAACGTGGGGGGCATCGGGGGGAGCATGGCGGCAACCATGCTCGCGGGGGGGCGCTACTTCGGAATGGATGGCTGGAGAGTTGCGTTCGTCGGGATGGCCGTAATTAGCCTCGGCGTGGGGTGGCTAGTGTATGCGTACGTGGTGGACCCGCGACCCGTGTCGGAAGGCAGGTAAAACGGGGCCGGTTTTTCCTTCTTCTTTTTTCCCCCGTTCTGAAGCACCCAAACAAAGCACCCACCGAAGAACGCCAACACAACCGTTCTCGTCTCCAGCAGTGTCGGCACTCCCTGCCAGAGCCTTGCTTCGTTGTTGGCGGGCTTCTCCCAAACCCCTGCCTCCAAGTTGTTTTACCTCGGCGCCTAGTTTCGTCGTTCTTCTGATCTCCGCGATCAAACAAAACCTTAACCCTGACATCAACCCGGCCGGTCCCTTGTCCAGCGGCCCCGGTGCATTTCGTGAGAGCCTCGTTTCGTTGGTCAAGACGTATTCTCCTCAGTAACCAGGTTTCCTTGGTGAAGCACAGGCTGAGCTTTCAATAATCGCTGACCCAGGCGTCGTCTTTTCCCGCGGCGATCTCAATCCAAAGACTAACCCAGCCGCAGCGGCGCGGGCGCTTTCTGCAAGAGTGTCACATCTCCGTTTCGGGTGTTGTTGCTCGTTAACCAAGTTTCTTTCCACCTTCCGTCAACGAAGCACCGGATACACTTTCAGATAAAGCTAACCCACTCGTTCCTTTTCCCTGCAGCGATCTTGACCCAGACACTAACCGCGCCGTTTCCTTTTCCAGCGGCCCCGGCACGTTTCGAGAGAGCCTCTCTTCGTCGATGACGGGCGTCCGCTCAGTGCTCAAGTTGCGGTCCTTCCAGTTGATCATCGCGCAGGGCGTCATTGGGAGCATCCCCTGGCAGTCGCTCGTTTTCTTCACCATGTGGCTGCAGCTCATCGGGTTCAGCCACAGCAACGCCGCGTATCTCATGGGGCTCTTCTCCACAGGTAGGCCTGAGCTTTCTCAAAGAGTCCTTCAGCACTCATTCATTCTTTCTAAGTATCACGGGTATTGAGAGCATCCCGTGGCAGACTCTCGTTTCGATACCATGTGGCTGCAGCTCATCGGCTTCAGCCACAGCAACGCTGCATACCTCATGGGGCTGTTCTCAACAGGTACGATTGAGTCTTCGAGGATCGCAAGGGTTGAACCTCTGAATCTCTTTCTTGAGTGCTTTTCTGGGTCGGTAGGTTTCCTTGAAGGCGCTCCTCTTGTTTACCATGTTATTGCAAGTCATCGGTGTCAGCCACAGCATTGACGCGTATCTCAGGGGGCTCTTCTCCGCAGGTAAGGGTCTAGGGTGTGAAAACCATTTGGGTGTTGGAGGACTTTGAACTTCCAGCCACCGGAGCTGATTTTGTCCTGGAAGGAGCTTTCCTCCTCATAACCCTGTTCCTGACAGCCCCATTCGCACTCCTAACGTCACCCTGCGTCATCTCCCGCCAGGCTGCTTCAATGGCGGCCGGCTCCCGTCCGCAGCACGAAGCGCTTCTTGGTTCAGGAGGCTTCTAGATTTGTCCATTGTCACAGGTTTGTCGGTAGCCTTACCTGTTCCTCTCGAGCTTTAGCTGCAACAACAACGTCACCCTACGTCACATGCCCCAGGCTGTGCGCTCAGCACCGTCTCGGCGGCTATTCGAGGATTGAGCGGCGAAGCACTTCCCAAAGGCAGGACGCTTTCGGACCTGCCCGATGTTCTACCGCTCTTTTCACCTTTTTTTAAAAGACCCCTGTTCCGTAGCCCCAAAGCTTAACAATCACGTCACCCTGCGTCTTTTCCCCTAGGCTGCGCAGTAGGCGCCGTTCCTGGCGGCTGGCTAGGCGGCCTCACGGCAAAGCGCTTCGGTGCCCAGGATGCTTCAAAACCCTCTTAAGTACTCTCTTCCCTTAGGAAACGTTTCGTCTTCAAAGCCCGTCCGTCCTAACCCCAAAACGCAATGCTGACGTCAACCTGCGTTATTCCCCCAGGCTGCATGCCGGGCGCCATTGATTGCGGCTGGTTCAGTGGCCGCGCAGCAAAGCACTTTACCGGGCAGAGGATCTTTATCACCTGCCGCATGCTTGCAAACTTTGTTCGACAAACTTCCAGTCCCTCGACCTCCGCAAGCGTGACGTCAACATACGTCATCTCTCCCAGGCTGCGCGTTTGGCGCCATATTCGGCGGCTGCCTCGTCGACCGTGCGGCGAAGCGTTTCTCGGGCGCAGGACGCTCCAAGATGTGCACATATTCAGTATTCCCTTACGACCAACACTAACGTCACTTTACGTCATCCCCCGCACGCTGCGCGCTTGGCGCCGTGTTCAGTGGCGGGCTCGGCAATCGCAGGGCAAGTTTTTTGCGCAGTGCAGGACGATTCAGCTTCTCCTCAGATGTTCTCGTCCTAAATTGGTTCCTTCTTATGACCCTGTTCGTTGAACCCCGAGTCGCAACTCTGACGTCACCTCCATCCTCCTCTCCCAGGCTGAGCGTTTGGCGCCATGTTCGGCGGCTGGCTCGGCGACCGCGCGGCAAAGCGCTTCCCGGGCGCAGGAGGCTCCAAAATCTTCGATTGTCCATCTACGACCTGCACTAACGTCACCCTACGTCATCCCTCGCAGGCTGCGCGTTTGGCGCCGTATTTGGCGGCTGGCTCGGCGATCGCGCGGCGAAGCGCTTTCCGGGCGCGGGCCGCATCATGTGCGCGCAGTACAGCGCGGGGTCGGGGGTCCCGTTCACGTGGCTGCTCCTGCTGATGATCCCCCAGGACCCGCAACTGTTTTGGCTCTACGGGGCGCTGCTGTTTCTCATGGCGACGTCCATCAGCTGGTGTCAAAGCGCGTGCAATAACCCCATCTTCGCGGGTGAGTTTTGTTACGGTTGTGGGTTGCTCGCCGAGACTGTGCTGGCTCAACGGGGCGCTACTCTTTCTTGTGGCGACCTCCATTAGCTGGTGTCAAAGCGCGTGGAATAAACCCACCTTTGCGGGTGAGGTTCAAAAACGGTTTTAATAATTTCTCGTCCAATAATGTTCTGGAAGTATAGGGAACTGCTGTTTCAAAGGGCGACAGCTACCAGCTGGGTCTCAGCGCGTGCGAGTGAGTTTTTGGGGCAGGGAACTCGTTAGTAGGGAATAGATCTAGCATTTCGCAATAGATTGCCAGGGAACGAGTTCTTAAAGGGGAGAGTTGAGCTTCGTAAGCCCGAGCCTGCGGTCGTTCTACTAGCGTCGCCGTGACTTATGGCGGAGTTGTTGAGCAGGCGTCAAAGCATGTGCAATAACCCCATCTTTGCGGGTGAGTGCTTGGGAGTAGTGAACTTGTCATAGGAGAGGCTCTTGCCGGGATACAACTTATCATACATATCTGCGGGGAGTGGCTGTCTCAAGCACGGCAGCACCCGTTGTTGGGCGTTGATCATGCAGTCGAAGTTTTCCGTTAGAGTCGCAGACGCAAGCCCTTCATCTCGTCCTGTAAAAGCTTCCAATCTCCTGTCCTTTGCAGATATCGTCCCTCCCGATCTTCGCACCACCATCTACGCCTTTGACCGCGCTTTCGAGGGGAGCCTTTCGGCCCTCGCGGCGCCCTTGGTTGGAGTTCTCGCGGAAGTAATGTACGGATACAAGTTCGATGTGTTGAAGGCTAGCGAGCCGTCCGCTGCGAACGCGCGAGCGCTGTCAAACGGCCTGTTTGCATGCATGGCGCCGTCCTTTGGCATTTGCGCGGCGACTTATGGCTTGCTCTATGCCACGTACCATAAGGATAAGGATAGGGTCGACGCGAAAGTGTACAAAGATAGGGAGCGCAGACCGCTGAAGATGGAAGAGGTCTCAAATGCAGCTTTTTCGTTGTAACATATTGAGGAGCACCGTTTCGCGGTTAGAGTAGCCAGATGTAAAGGCTTTTCATCAGGCCTCGCTAGGCACGCTGGCTCTGAGAATCAACGTCCATGGGGGACCTCGAACCTGCCCAGCACTCAGTGACTGTATATTCATCGGTCAGCAAAACACTTACTGAAGGTGCGCGGATCGGACTGAGATCAATGTAGACATACTACGTTCCCCGAGGAGCAGATCCGAAACTAGGAGAACTTCGTGTTGCGCGACGTACCGCCTTTTAGCGACCACAATCTACTATGCAGCTGTACCGTACTACATGCATGACAGATAAAGCTCGCGGACAGTCCGCATACGCATGTATGTGGTTGGTCTCTCATGCGATCGGGATCATTGCCAGGTCTTTTGCAGGGCTGAGCTGATGGGTGACAGAAGACTCTAACCAATGATTGTCCCGTGCGTTCATGATTAAGAATGCATGGGTTTGTCTTAAGTGAAACGTAGCTGCAACATAATCAGTCAATGCATGCGTGAGACGTTAGAACTTCTCATTTTGGAAAGGACACTCACTGTTCCGCGATGCGCATGACTGAAACAGCTTGTCTAATCGAGCAACCAGCCGTAACTTTGACTACCTATTTGTACTCTGCCAGCCATGATCGTTTTCAATTAGAGAGTCAAAATAGTACATCATCAAACCCGGTGCCGCTGGCACTCAACCCGCATGCAACGTACACGTACGGTCCCGAATTTGAAAAGCAGACGAAGAATTGGAGTACTAGTAAGAACTGCACATGCGGCATGCGCAACTACAACAAATATATATCTGCCGTACAGGAGATTGGTTCAATCACTCCCGGCGGGGGTCGCTGTTCATAATTGTCAGTGCATGGGCCGGATCGCCCTGCTAGAGCTAGAGATGGGCCTGTTGGAATGCCCATGCAGCCTATGCAGCAGAACGTACGTGTCTGAAGCCCTGATTGTTTAATCCATGCTGTATGTCCGCGAGCACCTGATTAATACTGAGGGCCCTATGTCTAGAGATGATCATTTGCTGAAATATGGGCATTTTACATGCTCAGTGCCAAGTTCTGCTAGCTCGATTCAACAATGATAGCTCACTTGCCATGCACCATGGGAGACCATACGCAACTTCAGGCATTCAGCAGAAAACGGAAGCGGAGTATATAGTCACCCTTAATGCGTTGAGAGACCACACACTCGGTTATTGCCAAAACAAGCAACTCCCGGAACGTCTTCCTGTTCTCCTGCTTGCATGATATGCACGCCAGGACTTTGCGGGGATTGAGCTGATTTACGACGAGGGCCCGATTCCGTATCATGCTTATGATAGTCCGTGCTCTTTGCAAGCAAAGCGTGGCGTGACACACTACATTCCCGCACATCTAAACGATGCTGGGCGCTTCTTGCCCGTGCCAGTTACACGTCGCGCGCTGCCACCGCGAGCGTATGCAGTCCACCAGCGGTGCGTGCATCGCTTCCTCCTCTTTCAAGGCCTCCATGCTATCCGCTACCAGCATCTCGTCAGGCGTCCATTTTGGCGGCACCGTGACCTTCAACCTCGTAAGCCGCGGCCGTTGTTCCGCGCCCCCCCCGCTCGTGCTTGCTTTCGCGTCCCCCCCGTTTGATATGCTCTTCGCGATCCCGTTGAAGTGGAACAGTTCGAACTGGCGCTTCTGGTTGGGAGTGGAGAGGCCCTTGTAGCCGCCCTGACTCCGGTCGAGGTTGCAAGCGGCCTGCGAACCAAGATCAGAAAGCACTCTGTGACCTTTTTGAGTGAAGGGATCCAAGAAGGGGAAAGGCTGGTGCACACGGCTTCCTCAACCAAGATCAGAAAGCACTCTGTGACCTTTTTGCGTAAAACGATCAAGAAAGGGAAAGGCTGATCCACAGGGCTTACTCAAACCAAGATCTGAAGTTGATTTCAAAAGGCAGACCGAAACTACGACGAGAATGCGAACTCGATGTTGACCCTGTACTCGACCCAAGTCTGACCGAGAAGCTGTAAGACCTCTCGGTAACCTGGGGATGAGCCTAACCTAGCCCTAAACCCTACGGCACCTGAACCTGTCCTCAGTCGTAATTGTGGATGAGCGCACCGCCCCTTGCAAAAGAGATAGACCCCGTTGCTGACCTCAGTGATTGCATCAGCTTCTCTTCGATTTCTCCAACATCATTCAAAATTGACGCCTGAGACAAAATAGACATGGATTGCACGGCCCCCGGCCATAAACTTTGCGAGAGGAACACTACAGTAAATCTCCACCATAACCGCAAGCTTGACCGTCAGCTTGACCCTAAGATTCGTTTTAACCAGTTTGGGTTAACTCGCGCACCTGCCAGAAGTCCTGCCAGAGGATGATCTCGTTGGCGCCCAGCTCTGTGACTGTGGCGGCGGGCAGGTTCATTTTTAGCTCCGTGAGCAGCTTTTCCAGATCGGGAGGGCTAATGAAACCACCGCCGCCGCTTGTGTCGTGCGCGTCAAACACGCGGCGCACCATCTCTTCCTGCACGGGTGAATCGGTTTGAGGACGTATATGCTGCAACTTCGCAGGTAGAAGGTGCTGACGGCGCAGCTTGTTTCGTGCCTGCAAATAATGAGCGCACGCCTGATAGTGCAGGAAAGTGGGATTGTTCTTTAACTCTGGGGTTCAAGGCTTCGATTTTCAAACCTCGTCCTGGTCGGGGGGGCTGCCACGTGGGCGCTCATGTCGTGCGCTGTCAAACACGTGGTGCACATAACTTTGTGGCCCGGGAGAGCAGCAGGGGAAGGAATGACGCCAGATTCCTCCTTCTACGGGTGCATACAATTGGAGTCAACTTTACTCGCAGTGATTGTTTCCCAAACCTGCCTGGCCGCATTTGGCAACTAAGCATCTTGAGACACAAATCACAACAAAAGTTCAGAAGTTGCATCGGGCCGAAACCCACCCGACTTTCGGCGTCCGACTCGTCTTGGACTTCCGTGCTGAGGGCAAAGAGGACCGTGTAGTGCCTACACGAGAGCACAAGAGACTCGTCAGAAAGAGGGAGTCGTCAGAAGATGGACACAGTTGGGGGACGGAAAAAAGAAGATCCGTCAGATTTCAATCTTCGAGGTGAGACATCAAGAAACTTAACTCCCAAGTCTACATCAAACACGCCATAGTTAACTCAAAAGCAATTGCCGAGGAAGGAGCTGCACGTCCGGTGCAGTTAGGAGCTCTAGGAAAAAGAGACGCGATTTCAAAAGCAGGAACTGGAGTAGCGAAGCATTCACAGGCACAAGCCTCGAGAAAACGTTGCCACTCACGATTCTGAGCCCACCACCCAAATGGGCCACTGCGGGTGCTTCAGGTGATACCCCACTTTGCACAGGTTCAGCCCCTCTAGCAGCGTCAGGAAACCCACCTGCGAAGCAAAAGGCTTTCTTATCTGGGCGAAGAGTTGAGGAGGAGAAAGATCAGATTCTATTCAGTCCTTCCAGCAGCATGAGAACCCCACCTATATACGCGAGGGTTTCCTCAACAGTCTGCGCGCTTGGGACCTTAGGGCCTCGTACCACTTTGCCAACAGCGTTGAGGAAACACCCGCAAAGAAGATTCTAGGCAAAGGTCGTAAACGAAGAAAGAACTGGTTAGGAGAAGGGAATGACAGACATCGTTTTGGTCGTCCGCCAACTTCAGAAACTGTTTAGGTTGTAGATTTCTCGAGCCTGCTCTGACACATTCTCGCGAGTACTCTCACGAAGCAGACGAAAATCTGCAAATACTATAAAGAGAGAAGGAAGCATAAACGAGAACGTCCGCCCAAGTGCGACAGAGCCCTCGCTCGAAGCAGCGCCTAGGCCACCCCCGTTCACTCCCCCACGACGCTGCAACAAAAACTGCCCTTGCTAATCCGTACAAGCTCCAGAAGCCCACCTAACATGTCGTCATTTCGTGCTTCAATCAAGGGCCGCCCCGTCGCTCCGGAGAGAAGCCGACACGTGTCCTACCTGCACGCTTCCAGGGATCCCCTTGACCAGCATGCCGCCCCCCAGGTCCATCGTACCGTCAAACACGTTGCTCACGGCCTGCCCGCACAGCAGCAGATTCACGATTTCCTGCAACGACAACCCCAAGCTCGATTCCAACGGAATCCTTTCCAAGCGGCAAAATCCAGCAATATACGTAGGTCGCAGGTTAAGTCAAAGATAGAAACCGTGCAAAGTTGGGTAGTCTGACGCAGCACTCCGCCAGGGTGCTCCGTGTACTGTCTTTCGCAGCATGTTGATCGAGTCTGCGCCCGTGTCTCCGGCTCAACCAAAACGCAATCAACAAAATACGCCACAGCTGGCGTTTAATTGCCGACATTTGTAACGGCATCTGAATTACGCTCGATTCCGACGGAGTGTAACTGGCCCTCGAAGAGGACGAGTCATGGTCACGGCAACCCCCGTAAGGCTGAACAAGCCGTCTGCACTTGATACCAAACCACAAAGTTGGAAAGCGAGAACGCTTCTCAGAACAGCAACAGATCTGAAACCCGAACACTTCAAAAACTTTACTTATGTCTCACGGAACTTTGATGCACGCTCGCCCAGCACTGTACGGCCTTTTCTTTAATCAGTCGGCTTCGTCAACACTTATTGGTGGACTCCACTGACGAGCATTTCGTTGAAGAACCACCCACCTGGGAAGCATGGCCGAACGGCCGAGTGACGAGAGGGGGTTCCGGGTCATCCCGATCGCCTTGGATAGCGTCCTGCACGATGGACACGTGTCAGGTGACGATCGCCAACCGAAAGGTTGCTGCTCCGCTTCTTTTGAAGCTCGTGCTCGTGAAAGTCACTACATCTTGGGAGTCCGTTCTACGAACTTTGTTTACTAGTTGGGAAACACCCAGTCTGTTCAAGTCAGCCATTCCCGACCGCACAGGCCAAAATATCCTCAAAAAAAAAAAACAACAAAATAAAAAACTCTCAATTGGAAGATCAGTCCTCCTGAAGTCCAATGCAAACATCACCGTGAACGAATCACGTCTCGCAAGGAATGCCACGATGCAAAAAGTTTCGGTCCAGAAAAGCTCCCAGAAATGTGGAGCGGCCAAGCCAAATTGGCTTTCAAGACAGAAGCCGTTTCCAGAAGGACAATCCAAGAAGACACATTGCTCTCAGGACAGAATACTCACGAGCCCTCGCGAGAGCAGCGCCGATACGAGGAACAGCAGCGCCCCCAGCCGGCTGCGGAATGCGGGCAGCGCCGCTTGCACTGCCCGTCGCAGGTCTTCGGACGTCCGACACTGGACGACGGACAGCACACCGGAAAGGGACGCAGGGGAATCGAGAGAGACGCCCCGGAGCTTTTCTTCCAAGGCAGCGTCCGAATCGCGGGAGAGAGCGTCCGAACCGCGGGAAAGGGCGTCCGAGATGTTCGAGAGAGCGTCCGCACGGAGGGGAGAAGCGTCCGAATGAGGGGTAGGGGCGTCCGAAGGTTGGCCAGAGGGGGAGGGGGCCTCGAGAGATGCAACAACGGCAGAGGTTTGGCCCCCCGCAGTCCAGAGGGCTTCGGACATGGCAAGAACGAGGGCGCTGCGGGGTAGGATCGACGCAATAATATCGTTTCAGGACATCAATGACACCGGCGTGACTTGGCAACACGAAGAGACGTAGCTACTTGCATTCCAGCATCGAAGGCAAACACACGTTCACGACGAAATCACAGTTCAAAGCCTTGTTAAAGCGGAAGTAAAGGACTTTTGCACCTGCGCAATTGTGGTGCGAGTGGTGCTGAGGAAGGAAAGAAAATGTCCTGTTTCAGATCGTCGGACTCATCACAAGAGCCGCAAGCAATCTCGCATACAAAAATAGTTGGTCGTACAGGGAAAGGTCCCCTGTCTTACTCAAGCGCAGCCCCTTCAAACAGGAACCAACTTCATACAGGATATTTTAAAATCGCGCAAAATCACCCCAAGCTCCTCGCCACACCGCTTACCGGTTCCGCTCTGCATCTTCGAAAGTGAGGTCCGCTTTCACCGCAGCTTTCCTGGGGCCCTTTCCAGCGGTGGGTGGCCCCGTAATGGAGGGCTGGTACAACAGGTGCTTCAGCAGCAGGGCCTGGAACGAAACAGATGCAATTTACAGGTCTGGGGGGCAAGAGCCTCAGCCAATTTCTCGCCCCCTACAGCGAAGGGGGATGTACGTAGAACTATGCCAGATTTGAAGATCGAGATTTGCTGCGCTGCAGATGGAGTTTGTGCGATGAGGTGCTTGGAAGGAGCGCCTTAAGTGAAGAGGCCAAGAGTGCTGGGAGTGATCAGGTTACTTGAAGCAGTCCGCTGTGTCGGAATCAGCTTGGAAGTGAGCTCGGCCCCCGAATAGGGGGCTTATGTTACAGGGCCTGGTTAGATCAGAGAGATGGCTTCTCTAGCTTGATTCAAATACTATGCTCGGAGTCTGTGCCCCTTCCCAAGGACTTAATTCAGATACGTCACCGTTTTGGAAGAGGAAAGACGCCTGCACCAAGTAGCTCTTAGACATACTGATAACTCAGGAGTGACTTAACGGGTGAGTGACTTGCATTCACGAACCCCGACCACAGAAACTAGAAAACCTAACCCAAACAAACACCCGCTCCGCACCTGAACACACCCTAACCACCATGCTAACCCCACCCGTCCCCCGGGCGCCTATCTTAAGTCACTCGGCTGTTAAGTCACTCTTCAGTTACCAGAGTGCTCTAGACCTCACCTGCACAGGGGCCAAGACACCGCACGGACCCCCTTCCTTTTGGACAAGACCCAAGGGGGTGGATGAGTCAGCGCTAAACCTGCAAGGACACGATTCCTTTCCATGAGCAACGGCTACCATCCAGCTGTGACAGTATTTCTCGGTGGCTTGTCTCACCACACATTCCATCTATGAGTTGAGCAATTCCTTTCCCAATCTCTGTTTTTGGTTTTTGGTCAACTGCCTTCTGAAAGCTGGAGTAAACAGGAGTAAACCACTAGCATGCGGCTCAGGTCCGCAAGGAATGGGAATTTGCTTTCACTTTTTTTCAAGGGTCAGGGAACGAGCTCGTTGGGTGGTAAGACAGGCTCCACAAAAGCCAGAGACATCTGATTGATAAGCTTGTGCTTAATATGCATTCAGCACTTCAGCTAAGCATGTGAAGCAGCAGATTGCTATTTGAATGTTATAATAACCTAAAGAAAAACGTTGGACCCCTAAGTGTGACTAAGTAGCTGCATTGAAACCCTCCAGCCAGCAACATCTGTTGAGCCCTTTCGCAGACCCAGTGGATACATTTCATTGAGCGCAGTGAGTCAATGCGCCCACTAGAGATTCTACCCGGTTGCTTGCATCACATGCGCAAGCTCAGCAATAGAATCCCTGCATTCATTATTTAGCTGCTGCACACTCACTTGATTCCTGCCGACTCAACGAGCGGTTTCAATTGCTCCATTGACACCGCAACAATCTTGCATTCATGCAATTTGTCATGCCAAGCTGTATTTGCATCTCAACCAAAAAGCTCAGCACAACAGTCCTCGCATCAATGAAACCAGCTGCAAACACACCTGAACCCCTGCCGACTCCACTGGTTCAAGACCTCCGGCGAAGCCCCCGACCCAAACACAATTCTGTATAGTCGCTCCGCCTCTGCTGAGGTCAGCCTCCTGCTCCCAGTCCCCTGTGGCACCGCTGCCGCACTGCTGGTTTGGCTCACACTACCCACATTGACACTACCCATGTTCGCACTACCCACATTTGCACTTTCTCCTTCCACAGCAGCTGACGCCTTCCCTTTATCCACAGATCTAACAGGCTGCTTGGCAGCTGGTTCCACTTTCTGCGCTGCAACAGCTGCCACAGGAGAACTAGCTGTGTGAGAAGTTGCGCCGATAGCGCTAGCCACACTCGCATCAGTCTGCATGGCGCTCATCCTTCGCTCCGCCGCAGCGGCGCGCAGCTCCCTCTGACGCATCGCCTCACTCTTCTCTGCCGTCATTTCTTCAACAGAAACTTCTCTGGACTCTGCGCTTGCTTTGCTGCGCTTCGCGCTGGGCTCGAGGCTTTGGTTGCTCGGACTGCTGCTCTCTGGTTTCTCCTGAGGGCCCAGGCTCATCTCAAACGCACGCTGCAGCTCCTCGTCGTCCTCCTCGTCCATAGGTTTCGCCATAGAGCAGGTCAGAGAAATTGGATTGCACCACCGGAGGCTGAGCAGCTGACATCAAACCTCAAAACTTCGAAGGCTAAAGCTGTGCCCGCCAGTCTGAGTTGATCTAGGGGCGGCGTGTTGTTTTGGAATTGGATCGGACGTAACTGCTGTATCCAGCAGTGACAAACCATTACCGCCTTCCTTCAAGTTCCTTCAAGTTCCAACTTCGCTAGCGGCGACCAGGCTCCAGTACTTGACGTGCGAGTGCTCGCTCCCAAATGCAGGCGGTAACGACTGGTCCTTCGACTGGGTGCTCTTCGGACAGGCCAGTGCGTTTTCAAAAGCTGCTTGAACTTGAAGTTGAACTTGAAGTCGGCTCCGGCGGCGCCAATTCATCCTGAACCAGCAAATCAGGACTGAGCTGGACTGCTGTTCATAGATAATATATTCCAAGCTGGGCACTTCTTCCGTGTTTTTCAGAGGTTGGGGGCCACTAGTCCTCTAGTAACTCCTGCATTGGCCCAGTGCCGTCTTCCCCGAAGCCATGACGCTCACCCTCCGTGTTGCGGGCTGTCGCGCCCTCACCGCCCACAGCCTCTGCCACATTGCCCCTTCCTGCTCAAACCTCCCTCTGCAAACTGCATTTCCTGTCCTTTTTCCCCACTCTCCAAAACCCTCCACACCCACAGCATTGCTCCCCTTAACCAGGCGGTTCTCCGGCAACCCCTTCCTCACCCGAGCTTCAGACGGCGATGCCGCCGCAGTGTCGGTCGCCGACGCCCCCGCTGCGACAGACGCGAAGCCGGCAGCGACAGAGGCGAAGCCGGCACCGGCCGCTGATGTCAGCCCGGTCGAGCTGCTAGACTTTCGGGTGGGGCGGGTTTTGAAGGCGTGGAAGCACCCGGAAGCCGACGGCTTGTATGTGGAGGAGGTGGATGTGGGGGAGGCGGAGGGGCCGAGGACGATTGTGAGCGGGCTGGTGGGATATGTGCCGCTGGAAGAGATGCAGGTAGGGGCAGGCTGTTTTGTTGATACGAAAATTCACTGGTCGTGGTTTCCAACCACTGTGTACCCGGTTCAGCTTCTTCTTGCGTGACCCTCGCTGGAAAAGTGCCGCTATCCCTGTGCATTGTCCCTTCTTTTTTAACACTTTTGCTACTTTCGGCCCTGATTGTCTTGACTTGCTTGAGCACAATAGACCCCACCAGTATGGCTGTTCCCATTGAGATTGTGTTGTGGAGGGTTGTGGAGGTATCTGTATGAGGTCCAAGGGATGCAGAGTACTTTTTTACCTGATTTGCGTTTTCATTTTCAGTCATCAGACGAGTTCTGATATTCTTTGTCCTGAAGTCGTCTTCAGCTCCTTTTGAGGCTGGAATTATGCTTGTTCAAATCAAGGCAGATCGAGAAACCGGATTCGTGGTGTCATTGAAGAAGAATCAAAGGAAGAAATTTCTGCAGCAGCAATAGACTCCTTTCAAAAATTCACCAGTCAAGTCCCTGGATGGATCATTTAAACCTGCTCGAATCGTTCAAAAGTTGGATTATGTCGTCTTCCATCCCAGGACCGCCCCGTTGTCGTATTTGCAAACCTGAAGCCACGTAACATGCGCGGAATCAAGTCGAACGGGATGCTCGTCGCTGCATCCGACGCTGAGCATACGGTGGTCGAGCTAGTAACGCCCCCCACAGACGCTCAGCCGGGAGAACGGATCTGGTTTGGAGCCGAGGAGGAATCGCAGCAGGCGGCAGCCGCGGGCGCTAACCAGGTGAGGTCCTGAGCCGTCGTTGCTACTTTCCGTCCTTTCTTCTCTCTGGCTTTCTTGGATTGTCTCATTTTACCCCGCAAGGTGTCGAGCAAAGCTGAGACGCTGTTCTTTTCATATCGCTTCTTAATGGCTTCGTCATAAACTTGGACGCTGTGAGATCCGGGCCAGATTGTGCGTCCTCCTTTGTCTGACCAACTGTTTCACGTAACGCCCCATGTTGCGAAACCAGGTTGCTCCCTCGCTCCTTGCAACTTGCTTCTCGTAAACATTTCTGTCACCACTTGAGATTCGAAGGCGTTGGGTGGTCTCTTGCACCATGGTTCGCATCGGGAAACAAGTCGTTTTGGTGGCCTTAAGAGAACCTTTGAGGGACTGTTCGGCTGGGGCGACTAGCGTCTCATCAAACCCGTATTGAATCTCTCGAAATCGTACTGCAAACAGGGGTATCATCGCGTAGCTCGATTGAACGGATGAATAATAATTTGAACTGAGGGAACAGTACATGATTCGACCCGCCTTATATGCTGCTGGAAATAGGCCAAATGACTCCCTGCTTTACGATTGACTCCTGAACATTGTTAATGTCTCGGTTGTTTCCTTCTTACAAGCATTGATGCTTCTTCTGGCCGTCGGTAGTCGCCTCAGCCGTCTGCTCTTATGCACAACGAACAAACCATTCCGTCCCTTTGTCTCGCAGGTCCAAAAGAAGAAGATATGGGAAGCAGTCCAGCCGAAGTTGAACACGTCGGACGATTTGGAGGCCCGGTTTGAAGAGCGAGTCATGCGGACGTCCGCGGGTCCCTGCACAGTCAAGTCCTTGAAGGGAGCCAGGCTCGCATAAGAGCGTCGCACTATTTGCACTCTCAAATTTCGCCTGTGGACCGGGCTTCCTTAGTGAGTCCGTCAGAGAGATCTATGTACGATGAAGAGCTCCTAGCATGTGTGTACCACTTTCAGTATCTAACGCCGCCGAGCTGCACTATCGTTTCTGGCCAACAGACTCATATGGACGCTGCTACGCGTTTGGAGGTCTTCGCATGCCATGGAGTCGCATAGGAGCTAGAGCTACCGATTTGTATAATGTTCAGTGACCTTGTGGCCATGAATACTGAGCGTGACAAGTAATGAATGCTCGATCGTACTTGCAGCTGAAATAGAAAATTAAGAACATGATCATGAGCGCACGCGATTGCTTGCTTTTGCTACTAGGCTAGCCGCGGAGGCCAGCCGCCCAGCAGACCTAGCCGCTTCGTGTGGTTGTCTTGGCAGGACTTAGTCGGATCGTGGCCGTCGTTAAACCAACCCTTGGTTTGCGCCACCCTAATACGGTAGCCGCCGTTGAGCCATTGATTCCTCGTTGCTCATTGCTCGATGTTTACCAGAATGATTCCTAATGAGACTCGTTGTCCCATTATCGATTTCTCCATTGATACTGACTTTATTTTGGGGGCGATGTACACTGACAGGGACAAACTACCAAGGGCGTACATTTGATAGCCTGGATCGAAGGAGTCCAAGGTACTAACTGGGGGCATCCAATTTCGTCGAGCAACGTGACCCCCGTGCCGACCGTGCAACGTGTCGTCGCAGCTGCAGCAATGTGCATTGGAAGTGTCAGTGTCGGATAGGTGCCATTTAAGATCACTTCTTGTTGTACACGCTTCAATAACACTTGGGCCCATGACGCAGAGATTCAGAGAAAGCAGACTACCGGTATGGACAATGAAACAATCTCGAAACAATTAACCGTACTGCTCCTTACTGCGGCTGAGCGCGGCCGCCCTCAACTTGAGGGGTTTCGGGGTTTCACTCAGTTTCACTGCACGGTACTCCGCGACGCTTCGAAAGATTCAGTGCTAGGCGGCCGCAACAAAGACTCGTCACATCATTGCAGACGTTCAGTTGTTGCCTTGGGCTGAGTGCAGCACAGCTAGGCAATTCGAAGAAAAAACTTCGAACGTTGCTGGTTGCTCTTTCTACAGGGGTTCGATCTCCATTGGCATAAGAGCCGCCTCACAAAGACCATACTGCGTTTCATTCTTTGCGCCAGGGGGTGTCCGCTTCAGCTCATGCCATAGGAGTTGCAATGGCCGGTCTTGATGAAGGTGTCGCAGCGAAGGTGCTGAAGCAGGTGATGTTCTTCTTCGGCTAGACTATGTCGTTGATGTTGATGTTGCGGTGCACCATTTTTGCAGTAGGTCAATCATCAAGATCTCCTCTGGTGTGCTTTTGATCAGTTCCTGCTTTTGAAACTCTCGGATACCTGCTTCCTTGTACCTAGAACATTGTTTACATGTCCATCTTGTTTGCGTGTCACTCGACAGGTTGCCTGATGATGGTGGTGGTGAGAATCCGATATTCACTCTTCAATCGAGGTTGGAATGCTGCAGACTTCAATGCTGACAAAGTGCCGGCATTCTTTGCAGATTGAGTTCTACTTTAGTGAGAGCAATCTCCCAAGGGACAACTTCCTAAGGACCAAGGTTGAAGAGGGCGATGGTTGTATCCTTCATAGCTTCGCTTTCTGCTGCCTTTTATGGTCACATTGCAGTCAGGTGTTATGGATGTGCGGCTCTTGCATGTGATTTACTCAAGGAGTATCTGCTTGTTCCTCTTGGCTACTACTATCATCAGAATTTTGTACGAGGGATCGCTGTGCAGAGAATGCGTTCTGGCGCCTAGGAGGCAGAAGTTGTTGTGCAACTACTTTTCAGCACAGTTGCATCGTTCCTTCTCCTTGGCTTCTTTGTGAGGCTTAAATCTAGGGTTTGATTGTTGAACCAGGGAAAAGCATGTTCAATAATGTAGGGATACCACAATCTGGTTTTCATCCTTGACCACCACAATTACATCTAGATGTCGACCTTGAGCTGCTCTGCTCCTTCAAGCGGATGCGAGAGCACTTGGGGATCAAGACTGCGGACACACCCATCAGCAAGGATCTCTTGAACAGCATTGCAGAATTGCTGCGAAGCAAGTCGACGGAGTTGGAAGTAGATGAAGCAGGTAAGGGTCGTTACCATCACCGTTACCGATCGGGGCCGCATCCTCGGGTTTTGTGTGCTTGTCATGGATTGTGCAACGGATTGCTGCTGGGACACCCTGGCGGTGAGGCACTTTCTTGTCTTCTAGTATGACTAAGAGCAAAGTCAGGCTACATTATTTCTTGGAGAGCTGCATTGCGAAATCTAGTTCCTCCTGAGGTCGTACTGAGAAGACGGGGTACATTTGCTTTCGTCGCATTGAGGCGGGAAGCTTCTTTTTTTCGAGCTCTTTTGCAATCACACCTGCCATCAAGACTCTCAAGGCCTTTTCAGATACTTTGAAAGGGGTACCACTATTCTGGCACTGCTTCTGCCATGCCAGTCTCTTGCCTCATTGCTGTGCGTAAGTCTTTTGTGTTCCATTCCTCTGTGAAGGTACGCGCGTCAAGCGGAAGAACCCCATCTCTGAAGAGGCAGCCAAGACGTTCGACGCGCGCAGCATCCATGCCACCCCCTTCCCTTGGAACATCTCGCTTGAGGAGGTTCATGACTTCTTTGCCGGGCATGCACAGGTACGTCTTGATCGGTCTCAGGTGACCGATCGTTTTCAGAGCTTGGCAAGTTGTTCGTGGTGGTGCGATGAGTAACGCCTTGTTGAGAGGCTCAACAGCTGAAGAGGTGGTCTCGTTGGTTCTGCCGCATGCCAAAGTGTAGGGCTCATGAGAGGCCTTCCAAACTATCACCATTCTGGTTTGTCATCCAAATAGTTGGAAAACGGGGCACTTTGGCTGAACAGTAAGCAAAATTGCTTACAGATCCTGAGTTCGCAACTCTACCAAATGATGCTTCGAAGAAAAAAAATGTAGCCCTCGATTGCACTGTCTCTCTGGACGGAATTCAATGTTGACCTGCAACAATAGTTTTTAAGCTTTGTGCACATGGAGTCAAAAGTCGACAAGGGTCGTCCTTCAAGAAGGGAAAGTGTCATGGCTGTCAAAAAATCCGTACTATGTTTGATGGACACGTTTCTTAAGGTCTGTTGCCACAATGAGTGTCGTCCATTTGACAGGTGAAGAGCGTGCGCCTGCGCATGAAAGCTGGCACCAAGCTCTTCAGCGGCTCTGTGTTTGTTGAGTTGGCGACAGAGGACGAAGCAAAGGGACTGCTAGACAAGGATCTGGAATTCCAGGGGGCAAAGATCAGGGTCCAACCAAAGTGAGCTATTCCCCCAGCAGAAGTGCCTGCTTGCTCGGATGCCCTTGATTCGCCAGCTTCCAAAGTCTGTACTGTTGTTTCGCGCGCTCTAATGCTCGTTGATGCAGTTTTGATGCTCGATTGAGTCTCTTGCGAAGTTTGATGGCATGATGGATCTGGAGAGCATGTTCTGAACGGGCAATTAAGGTTCCTGATTACTCTGTGAGTAAGTCGTCCATATTATCGAAGGTGTTTGCCCACAGTTACTCACGAGGCGTGTTTTTCGACAAAAGCACCCTGTCCGGATAGAATTGATCCCCATTGTAACGGGGAGTTGCTGGTCGAAGCGACTCTTCTCAATCCACTTCTCAATCCTCTTTGGATGTCCAGGTTGAAATGGATCGAAGAGAATAGGGAACAATTTGAGGCAGACCAACAGCAGCGGCAAGCTCGGTGAGTCACGTCGCTATTCAAAAGGACTTTTAATCGTAATGCGGTCTCCCATGAATTTTGCATGCCTGGAAGAGAGCAGGCGACTGAGGATGAGCTGTCTATATTGCAAATTGCCTCGATTTTGAGGAGTCGTATGTCTTTCTTTTTGGACGTCCAAGCTTTCAAACGTCACAGTCCGTTGGACATTGTCCATAATCTGGTGTTCGTGTTATCTTCCGTTTCCTTTGGGAGGCGTGGGCATTCGAGTTGACTTTGGATGCATGTTTTGCTGGAGAGTCAGCACCTTGTGTTGGATTCGTGGAGTGTCACGGAACCCCTGGGAGGAGAAACGGAAAAGGAAGAGCTTCTGCTCATTCAAGTACACACCTCAGAGACTCTGCTTTGCATCCCGTTTGTTTGAGCCTTAACTTGCCGCCGCTGCCGATGATGAGAAGTCCAAATGGGTCGTTTCTCAAAACATTCGCAGTACCCGCCCCGAGCGCTTTCGCCTTGCCGGGCTTGAGAGTGGATGCGGTTCCTTCCTTGGATGTCTGAGGCAACGGCGGCTGGCTCTTCTTTGCCTATTTTTTCGCCTTTTTTGTTGCTCGCGCTTTGTATAGGGTCCGACTCGACGTGTTCTTCGCTGTTACTGTTGCTGGCGCTTCGTATGTGATTCGGGGTGACTAGCTTTGATCGTGGTCTCTGTGCAACTGTCGACTTTTCGTCATTCTTGGCCCCTTCATCCATGCATCAAACGCTGGTACTGACATATACGACACTGACTCTGGGGCAGCATAGTAGCCGTCTTCTTCGTATCTCTGTTTTCCGTCTGGACCAGCTCCTGGCTGGCTGGCTGAGCCAGCAACCTGTAAAAGAAGTTGTCCTGTTGAGTGTTTGTCCGTCTCATACGTTGCAAACTCATCAAAAGCGTTCCTTCCTCTGCTTCTGGGCGATGCTTTGCTGAAGCCGGTCTCGATAAGGGCTGTGTGGTCGTCTGGATCCCCGCTCTCAGGGTTCCGGCCAACATTTCGGCTGGATAGACTCCCTATCAAAGGTTTACAAGGGCTCTCTCTCTTGTAATTCATTTGTATGCTCCCGCAGGCAAAAGAAAGAGGAGGCTCAGGAAGCAGAGGAGGAGGACATCGAGTACGACAAGGGCCTGATTGTCAGCTTCGAGATCAAGGACCTCACGAAGACGGAAGAAAAGGCGGGGGCGTCCGACGAGGGGGATAAGGCGGGGCCGAGCGGGGCAGCCGGGGGCGACGGAGACGAAGAGAAGTTTGAAGAGGAGAAGGAAGAGGAAGAGGGGCCGCGGATCCAGCGGGAGGACGTCAGCAAAGCGGTTGAGGGGCTGGGGGTGGTCAAGGTGAGATTTTACACTGGATCGTCTGTACACCAAGCTTAATGTGCTTACATTTGTGAAGCAGGGTAAGCTTTTTCCTTCGAGGTTGACTTGCTTGTTCGGAAGGCGTTAGTTGGATCGCACCCCTAATGTGCGCCTCCTTAGTTAGCCTTCGTAGATCAATAAGGCGGTCTCCCCGGCTGGTTTTCAGCCCGGGAGATGTCTTTGTGTCATTTTTATAGCAGGTTTGGGGCCGCCCCTCTGGACGGTATCGTGCCTTTCCTGTGTCGGATGATGACTATATTCCCAGATTGAGGACATTCGTTTTCACTTTTGAGGTCTTGGCTGCTTTGCATAGCTTTTGAGACGGTTTTGCTGCAACTCGACGAACGTGTCTCAGTAGACGCTACTGGACTTCTGAATTCAGATGGAGCCCTTTATAGATGTTCAACAGCGCAGTTCGACCGATCTTGACCGTCTAAAACCCGAGTCTCGAAGCCTCCCTGATTGCATCATATCTGTCCGACGACTGTGCGTACCTCTTCCTGATCCGCACTTCCTGATTCTGTGCTCGCTGGCTCTGTTCCAATTAGGAGCCAGTCCACAACAACGCTCTCTTTGCAGTTTCTCGGCGACTTTGAAGACATCCCTGCCACTGTGTCTGCTCGAGATCGCCTCGCTTGTCATACAGAGTCCGTTGATTGGAACACGGGAGTCAAGGTTCTCTCCAAACCCTCATCCTTTCATGTCCTGTCCATTGGATCGAAGCCCGGTCAACTCCTCTGCAGTTTATTGATTACCTTCGAGGGAACCCCGGGGGCTTCGTTCGCTTTGAGTCTCCGGACGGTGCGCAGGCCACGGTGAAGGCATCTGAAGCGGCGGACGAGGGCGGCCTGAAGCTCGCCGACGGTGACCGGTACATGGCTGTGTTCAAATTGCTGGAAGGTACGGCCTCCGCGCTCTGCATACTTCGTTGGGTCTCGCTTGCTCTCGTGTTCTCGTCTCCGAAGTAACCGAATGCACCTTGGAAGTAACTCCTTACATGCGAAGGCGATTGGCGGTGGACGTCTTTGACTTTGCTTTCTTCTAGAGACATACCTCCAGTCCACTCGACCAAGGCTCGATGGACGCGCTTCTGCCCGCTGTCGAACAGCTTGCGAAACGCCTCACATTCCCTTCAGCATGCGAGATTTATGTCTCACCGTGCGACGGACAGAGGGCTTGTTTCATCGCCCTTGGCTGCCTGCATACCGTGTTCCCTAATTGTCACCTGTGCGGGAGCTAACACTCAATCGCAATCTCTGTCCTTTGCAGGAGACGATGAGAAGGGCTACTGGGTACGGCTTCGGCAAGGCCAGCGGAGCTACCGGGAAAGCAGGGGGGGTGGCCGGGGGGGTCGAGGCGGTAACCGGGGGAGGGGGGGACGGGGGGCGGCCGGGGGCGAGGGGGCGGGCGAGGAGGGGGGCGGCCGGGGGGGGGGCGAGGGGACGGCGGGGAAGTGGAGTCGG